GTCCTTGTCTCATTTTTAATTTTATTTTATCTCTTTTAACTTTATAATATCTCATTGTCGAGCACCTCTTTTTTGTAGCCCTATCGCGCTACAAAATATAGAATCTGTATACATACTACAAATAAATATCAGACTTTATTATCACGTACAGATATTCATGGCTAAGTGACCAGAATACAGATACATTAGCTGTAATAGATCGTATGCTCGCTTCATCTATTCATCCTAGTATCGTCATCATTATCTTTGTCGACGTTGATCTCTGTCTGGCCAAAGTTGCTACTTTTGACTTCAATACTGCTTTGCCCTTCAGGCTTGGATGCTTCTTTTCTTGGTTGGGTGGTCTTTCCAAGAGCTGATCTTTCTCTCTTTGAACGCTTGCTGGGCGTCATAGACTGTTTCTTAGGACATTCAAACGAGCGGTGTCCTAATTGATGGCACGCATAACATATAATTCTAGCTTTCGACTTCTCACATTCAAACTTTGTGTGTCCAGTTTGGTGGCAATACCTGCACCAAGTGGACATATTGTTCCAGGTTGCGTGGAATATTTGATTTTCGCTTTCGCACCAACGATTGTTATGCTCCAAAGGCTGATACTTGGGGTTGTCTGTTGATTCTGAGGGACCAGAAGGAATACCAATGACAGCATATTCTGCGCCCATAAACCATCCGGTGGTGGTTTCTGTATTGATTCCTACATCAATTACCTTTCCAAATGGAGCTAAACTCAAGAACTACCTTTTTGGGACGTAAAGGTAATTCGGATAATTTCACAGTAACAAATCAGAGTGTGGCATCTGCTGTCCTGCAAGAGAAAATTCGCAATTTTGACTTTTTAAAGACTACACCATGCTCCATAAGATCGTTGTCATCATCATCTTTTTCGATATACAATTCCAGGTACTGAGTTGGACCGTCTCTCAAGATGGAGCAAGCGTAGATCTTTGGGCGTTGAGCGCTGATTTCCTGCATACACTGGAGACCAGTGTATTCTTTCTTAACTGGAGTAATGTCGAGTAAGAAAGCATCCTCATGGCTAGCTGCTCAATAAGTTCTCGACTGAAATTCTCGCAAAGGTGAGTCTGCATCTTTGTTAGGTTCAACGATGCCTTGGTGCATGAGTGATACTCGAGTTCTAGCTGCTACACTAGCATATGATCTTAGTTGTTGGGTGGCTTTTAGGTTTGGAGATTTGTCAATCCCCGCAACCGACTAAAAGTGTTAAGAGTTGGTAAGAGCCATGTACTTTTTAGCTTGTGTTACTTCGCCAACTTAACATAAAACGCTTATTTAATGCGTGTAACGCTTCAACATTTAACTTGGCACAGGTCCACTTACAATTCGAATTGAGGCATTTCTTGTCTCAAACAATGTTTCATTTAAACGTTCCTTGTCAACGTATCAGTAAGATACGAAACGAATATAAATAGCCATAAGAAAATAAGGTATCGCACTCAAAAACCAGTAAAAAAATAAAATGTCTTATGCTGCTATTATGTGAGACTATGTCTTCAAGCCTAAATCAAATAAACTTCGCTTCATTCTTTTTTTTTTTGTATTGATACTAGTCATAAGATATGGAGAATTTCAAATAATATTATCAATCATTTCACTCATATCAACATAAGTCTTTTGAATTATTGTTGTAGCCTCATATTGTCCAAATACGGAATAAAAAATATGTAAAAAAGACTTCAGAAAATTGAATGCAACTTTGTCAAACTTTCATATATAAACACAGTTCTCTGCATATTACTTCAACAGAGATTTTAAATGCACGCTGATAGAATAATAAGGCGTTGATTTTTAATAAGGGTATTAATATTAAGAATGAGGTTAAAAATGTCGAAAATTTATGTGATTCAAGCTTTGTATATTTAGTATATTCATAATAGGTTGGTTTGATGCCTATATTCCCCTTGATATTGAAAAGATATACAAACGTTCAATCTTAATTACTAGAAATACGATGAATATAAACTCTTTGTCAACAAGTCTATTTCTAAATATAAACCTACAATGTTGAAATAGAGCTTTAAAGATAAAACGCTTCACTCTGAAGAGAATTGTAGCCATTGGTTGCAGATAATCTAGCTTTGGCTTCGACAGAGAACGGCCAGATTTTAAAACTGACTCTTGGCTAGCGACGTCTAGGGAAGCCAAGAAGAGAGCTGCATAGTATTTGAAGAAAATCAAAGAAGTCAAATCAAATTACAGTAGAAACAAAAAAAAAAAAGGTTACGGGAACTTGTTACTAAACTGCACTTGATCAACCAGCAACAGTTCAAAGTGAAAGCCCTATTTGGCTACATCACAACACTGCGACAGCAGATAAAACCGGTATACTGAATCGGTGTACCCGAAGTTTGAAAATAGGGGTAATGTTAATCTTTTTAGGATTGCCCCTTCTCTAACTACAATTGTATGAACCATACTTAAATGTTTGTTTATTGTTGCTACTCAATTTTTAGGATAGCTCATCCTGGTTTATTTGTTTCAAACTTTGTCACCAAGTTTAATACTCTAAGCTAACAAAAAAAAAAGATTTATTAATTCTTCTAATCATTATGTAGAAGTTTACCTATAATCGCTGACATTTGTATCATTGAGATTTCCTATACAATAAAAACAAATCGATAGATATAGGACAAGCTAACCAGATGTTATCTAAGATCCTTGATGCATTGCTTGATTTAGATGATTTACATTTCAGATAAATGACTATATATGGATAGAACTGTATATAAATATATCATTGTAACTGATTCCGGACGACTGCTTTGGCTATTGGCTAACTGGGATGACACTCATAGCGGTCACAATCTGATGTTTGTGCTTACACAAAAGCAACGAGTAATATGGAGAAGAACAATATCACTAGCAAATTAGAAATAGATGTAGCAAACACCAGATTTTAACGTTATGAATTATGAATACATTTGCTCGAGAATTGTATTAGGAGATAATACAATCGGTTTGATTCAAGAACAACAGAATGCTCTATTGATTGAAATAATCATTGACAAGAAAAACTATTTATATGAACTGAATCTATAATATTATTGTTTTATATGTATTTCACTACAGCTATGGTCTGTTTGCTTGCAATTGACATCTTCACAAATAAAGTGCTCTTTATAGATTAAAGACTTTTGTCACATTGTGTTGTCGCTGTATGAAGACAACGGATGCTGCCATCCTGAATGTAGTGAGTCCGCAATAAAACTATGAGCTTCAAGAGATTACTGCTTCCAAGCACCACAATTGGATGATGAAGGCAAAGAACAAGTTGCTTTCGATTTTTGAGTATCATGTACTCTATGCAGAGTGAAAAGAACAAGCCTTGAGTCACCAAATAGCCAACATAAGAGAACAAACATATCCAGCCCTTCAGCTGGAATAAGGCTAGCTTCTTACAAAGTAAACATTTGGAGCTGCACGTAGCTACTTTGCTTGCCAAGACTCTGAACGAACCAGATGTCGGCCAGAACCAGTCAAAGCAATGGCAAACAAAGGGGTCAAAAGGTTACTACAGAGCGCATGTCAGAGTCCGAACTTTTTTAGTTCTGTGATCTCTCACAGCCCATAAGACGCCACTCCCGCGGACAGTTCCTCCATAGCACTAACTTTTCTTCCGTGCCCTTGCAAGTAAGGGAACCCTGCTACTGTGCCAATTTGTAGGATCAGTAAGGATAAGCCTAAGCAAACATGGTATGTAATTAGTATCAGTCAAAAAAAAATTTTTCTTATCACTTCCCTGGTATCGACATCAGTAAGTCCAAGTTGCACGTAGCTACTTTGCTTGCCAAGACTCTGAACGAACCAGATGTCGGCCAGAACCAGTCAAAGCAATGGCAAACAAAGGGGTCAAAAGGTTACTACAGAGCGCATGTCAGAGTCCGAACTTTTTTAGTTCTGTGATCTCTCACAGCCCATAAGACGCCACTCCCGCGGACAGTTCCTCCATAGCACTAACTTTTCTTCCGTGCCCTTGCAAGTAAGGGAACCCTGCTACTGTGCCAATTTGTAGGATCAGTAAGGATAAGCCTAAGCAAACATGGTATGTAATTAGTATCAGTCAAAAAAAAATTTTTCTTATCACTTCCCTGGTATCGACATCAGTAAGTCCAAGTTGCACGTAGCTACTTTGCTTGCCAAGACTCTGAACGAACCAGATGTCGGCCGGAACCAGTCAAAGCAATGGCAAACAAAGGGGTCAAAAGGTTACTACAGAGCGCATGTCAGAGTCCGAACTTTTTTAGTTCTGCGATTTCTCACAGCCCATAAGACGCCACTCCCGCGGACAGTTCCTCCATAGCACTAACTTTTCTTCCGTGCCCTTGCAAGTAAGGGAACCCTGCTACTGTGCTGCGGAATATATCAAAAGAAAAAGAGTTTTTTTTCCCTTGGCGTATAAAACTGGTGTACTCGGACTTTGAATACGGTTAAGTAAGCCACTAGGGTACCAATTACGTTCTACACTTTTTGGTCCCTTTGCACCGTGTTTTTTAAAAACTTCTTTTTGTGATAGTTGGCAGACAGTGAATATCGTAAACAAAACTACTTCAAGGTTCGGTTTCCTGAAGGTAATCACACCGAGGCTTTCGATATTCAGTCTTATCATGGAAAGAAAAGATATTCTCGAATTGTAATAATTCAATGATTATGATATTTCGCATTACTTTGAGTGATCCGCACTAAATGAAGTAGTTCCTCCTTACTTGGTACATTTGCACTAGAGAGCAACTAGAACATAAACTGGTATGCCATAAAACAACAAGAGCAGTCAACTCTCATAAACAGTCGCTTACGTTGTAAAAGACCTTCATGCCAATACACTCACTGCTTAAAGGATGATAAAGAAACATAAGATTTAAACTAAATATAGAGTTGCTGACAGTAAAAAATGCAAAGTATTTTTCGGAATTCGACATGTGTATAATACTGTCTCATATTGAATCACTATAACAATAGCCTAGATTACCTTTCCCCTGTTTGTGTCTATATATTTTTTTTGTCTGTTTATTACATCCTCCTTCTGTTCAAATAAATGTTAATTTACAATGTATATAAAAAATGCGATATGTATAGAAATGATTAAAGAGCACGAGCAGGAAGTTGAGTAGGCAAAATCTTGAATCTCTTCTTAATAGTGACACGTTGACGAGAGAACTTGTCATCGGGAGAGAAACGTGCAGGATGAGCAGACTTGGTGGGCATACCCTTAGGATCAGTTTTCTATAACCGAGATCAGTATAAAAACCTATGTTCATATGACTTACCTTGAGAGTATAGATACGCTCTCCTTGGTCGTTTAAATAATACATCAAATACATCTTTGCCAATAGTCTTTAAAGAAAAAAGAGACAAAACAAGAAAAGGCTCTCCAAAAAAAAAAAGAAAAAAAAAAAGTCTCTTTGAGGTTTGTGACTGGCAGTTCTTAAAAGCCACGACATTGGTTCATGCACACTTTTGTTTCTTTCATTTTGATAAACAATGAAATTACAATGTCTCGACCATAAAGGCTCTACACCTAATACTTTTCTATGTAAAATAAATCAACATACAGTGCTTATCAATTGTCCTCTTGAGACACGGACGATATCAAAACCTGAGTCTTCATCGCCTGTTGAACCAACTACCCATGATCTCGCGTCAATATTAGCTACGTTCAGTACTCAAGGAAAACGTACAATGGATACACAGTACTCGCTTCTTCAGACAAGCATGAATCACTGTGACCATCTCAGCGTATTTCGTACACCTGACTTTAGTTTAATCAATCTAGACAGTATTGACTTGGTACTGATAGCCAATAGTCAATGCATGTTGGGGTTGCCTTATTTGACCGAATATTTAGGCTATCAAGGCAGAATTATTGCAACTGAACCCACCATTGAATATGCCAAGTAAGTCGAATGATGCACCTCTATCTATGTGTGAGGCTGATACAGGGATAGACAACGTATGGAAGAATTAGTCATTTACCATGGACAGACAGCCACTCAGACAGAACCTTCTTCCTCCACTCATTTCTCACAACTCGGCGATATGTTTCAACAAGCCATTCCAGAAGGCTGGCGATCCATCTATACATCCAAAGACATCGTGTCCTGCATAGAGAAAATCCAGCCTGTCCGATACACCGAAACACTCTCGCTTTTCTCGACATTGAACGTTATCCCTTACAGCTCGGGATACTCACTTGGCAGCGCTAACTGGCTTTTAGAGACCAGTTTTAAACGTATTGCTTTTCTGTCGACCTCGTCTGTCTATACACACCTTCATCCAGCACCGTTTGATGATGATATCCTGAAAGACACAGATGTGGTTGTTGTGGCTGGACTCACACAACCCTCAGAAAAAGACGCGTCGTTTGAACGAGCCAAGTCACGTCTGTTGGTCCAATTAGCACGGACCATTCAATCGCTGCATAATGTCGTGCTTGTCTGTCCAGCATCTGGCATCCTGTTTGATTTAATAGGCGACATTGAGGCTTATTTTCGGTCGCTGGGGAAAGAAATCGGACCTGAGCGACATCAGACGCCTATATATGTAGTCAATCCAATGGCAGATCAAAGTCTCAAATACGCTAATATCTGTGGTGAATGGATGAACAGTGGTCGACATGACCTGTTGTATTTGCCTCAAATGCCATTGACGCATGGTGAATTGATGAACACTGGTGCTGTACAGTCCATTACATCGTTAGAGGCAGCCTTGTTGTCTAAAAAGACCATACGTGAACCATGTATTGTGTTTACTGGTGATTCAGCGTGTATCACAAAGGGGTTTCTATCTTGGTTCCTAGAGCATTGGGGAGCATCTGAATTAAATACGTGTATATTTATAGGTAACATTTGCCCCTTTTTAAATAGACTCTGTTGACATTTAATTAGACCCTGATACACCTCATCCTATTCAACAACACATACCTCCACAGTGCAAAATGAACTGTATTCGTTTACCTTTAGATACACGCTTAAAACTAGAAGATGTGCCTTCTATTCTACATACGCATTGGCAAACCCATGCCAGTGCAAAGCATTTGCTATTGCCTAAAATGAAAGGGTCTGGTCTGATTAAAGAACAAGTGTCTGATACGCAAGTCTCTATTTATGAACCTGGGCAAGTGATTCGTATTGATCTCCAGCGTGATTGGGAGCGCATCTCTGTCAGTGAGAAATTAGCCAAGTCGATTGAACCCAACATGATGCCAGCGACAGTCAATGGTATCTCTACTGTATGGGCACCTATCCATGGTACTTTAAACTATTACAACAATCGGCTTGAGATCCAACCCAGTACAAGTGTAAGAGATGATCAACTGTTTATCCATCGATATACAAAGATCAATACGGATTTGAATATTATCATTAAGCGATTTGAAGAGGTACGTTGTGCTCAGCTAAACCATAGCTTAACGCACTTGATAGCATGCTATACCCATACAGATTACAAAAGACATCAATGGCATTACTACCATTCATTTACCAAAAGATATGGATGCAAAAGTGATTATGAATGGTTCAAGTACGACTGTGGTGACGAATAATGATCAAGTCAGAGCTTTATTACGAAAGATGACAGTAATTGAATAACCTATTGTCCGGAATAAACAAAGCCATGCTATACTCATCCGGCTTGGACTTGACAATGCTTTCTCTCCTTATTATCTATTTGTTCATTATCATGTTTGTTGTAACTCTTGTTTTTCCGAGCATAAGATACGAGATCCATGTTTGCTCTCTTTCTTTCTCTCTTTAACCATGAACGAAAAAAGAACTTCACCACCACCACCTAAATATGAACATATCATAAAAACATCGCCTCCTCCTCCCAGCTACATTCAGTCCACAGTGCGACTACAGTACAAGAACCAACCGTATATTACTGATCTAGATCAAGTCGCATTTCGATCCCAGTATCTGGAATTCCGTCCTACAGATACCATGTCCGATATAGCGCAATGGCCTTTGCGTCAACGTCTTGTCTTCTATCTCAAGACATGGGCAACGACAGCCTATGATGGTCGATTGATCTTCTTTGCGTTTTTTGTCGTGGGATCCTTAGTGACCATGGGACTTGTGGTCTCTTTTATTGCTCTTCCTAGTTTAATAAAGCATTGATGGAGCATGATGTATGAGCCAATGAAAATTATTTTTTTTAATAAGTAAAATGCAAATAAAAGGTATCTAGAATAAATAATGTAATTAGGGATATTATCGCTTAGGCTGAATAGATTCATAAGAAGGAGGACTAACGTCTGGACTTGAGGGTTGGTTTCGAAGTTTGATCCATTCTCGACGACTACAATGGCGCTTCTTTTGGTATTCTAAATAACAAGGACAGAGAAAGAAACCCGTTGGTTTCGAGGTAGCTACATCTTCATCAAGGACAGGATCAAATAACAAAGCTTCTTCATAGGTAGGAAGTGAGTTATAGTCTTCTTTTAAGCGACAGTCCAAGATGGTAATGGGTGTCTCTAAATGAATGTTGGTGCGTGTCACACTGTTGGTGTCATGACAGCTATAAGGGGATGTGAGTTCAATATGGAGTTTAAGGGTGTGCCGAATATCGATTTCGGAATACGTTGTCGAATGATTGAGATGCACACAGTTGGGCAGCGTGAATATTATTCGATGTTGAAAAGAACCATTGTTGAGAGAAATATGGGCATTCTTGACACCGAGGGCACGTTTGATTTCCTTGAGCGATAAGTGAGACACAGTGGAACCAAGGCCTGGATCGACCAAACTACTGACGGACAAGATGGGTACTTTAAAATCATGAACTTCAACCCGACGTGCTTGAAATTCAGGTAATCGATAGACTCTTTTCTCGGTCAAGATCACTGAGATACTCTCAATAAAGGCGTGTTTGATATTGGGTGAAATCGAGAGTGAAATAGGAAACTGAGTGCCGGAAGAGACGATGGATTTTTCAATACAGATAGTCGTATCACACACGTCCATGTGGCGTTCTGAAGTAATGGATGTCGTAGGTAGTGAATTGGCTGTCAATGCATTATCTGACCAATGAGGTGTTCGAAGCAACAGGATATCACGGCGTGATCGAAGCTTAGTTGCACCCACACCCACACGATGAACAGTGGCTGTCACATAATAAAACACTTTGGCCATCTCGTCTTCAATTGTCTCAATCAACTGGTTCAATAACAGGAACTGGAATGGCCAGCGATGAATACCCGGTGCTAATGTGCCTTCTTGCTTGGGACTATCGAGGAAAGATTGTAAGATGACGTTTTGCTCATGAATGATTTTTTCATGGTAGAGTTTGGTGCCTCTTGCGCCAATGCCTAGGTTGGGGTTGAATACACTGTCAGTATACTGTCTTAAAAGACTGGCTGGTCGTATACCTTCAGGCCATAAACTATGTGCCTTGCCAATGAATTGAATTACCACACGAGAAGCCAACACAGGCTTGGTAAGAACGATATTGACTTCGCCTTGAAGAACATGTGTGATTTTATCTTTGGCCCCACCACGAAGAATAACAACAGGCTCTGCGAGATCAATCGTGAGTTGCTTTGCTCCTGTAAAGAAAGGAACAACGACAGGCATATTAGGGGAGAGGGAGGGAAAAAATACAGAACATCAAGAAATTGTTCCTCTTGTATTTATACTCGAGAGCTGTCAATTCGAGTCCGAACGAACGGACAATTTTTATGGGACGATCAGACATGTGGAGGCTAGAAGCTTTCTAACACATCAAAAAATGACGAAATATAAGTATAGTACTACTTTAATTTTTTTTCTATTCTTTATACATTGGATATTTATGGTAGTAGTATATCTTGTTCCCTCTTTTTTATATGTTATTTTTTCTTCCTTTCTCCTTTTTTTTTTAATAGAATCCGTCGAAAAAATTTATACGAATGTGAATAAAACAATGCATGTTACACCACATTTTGTACGACAGACAATGTTCTTTTTGTCATTTTTCGCCTTTTGAGTTACACCCGTTTCCCTAAGCCACCAATGTTGCTTTCTTTTTTAGTCATCAGGGTTTATTTCAGGCACCATTCTCATGGATTAGATAATGCCCTTATCGTTATCAGATACCCACCATGCATCCTATGAAAAGATTCCTAAAGATCTCTAGAAAACTATAGCAATGTTTTCAACCCTCCTTTTCCTATCTATTTCATCAAGTTCCATCCTACAAACGGGACATTGGATGAGTGTGAATTCTTTGTGTTTTGATTGGTAAAGAGGAAGCAAACATGTTAAACATACTATAGAGTATTCGGTTAACATCGGATAAAGCCTGTCTCTATAGATTGACTTTGTGTTGGACGAAAACATGTTTCTATCGTTTTATTCAAGATACAAAGTTCTTTACTTGTTCATGACGAGGCACTAAACGTACACGGTAATCACAAGGAATCCATGTAGGTGCTCGAATATCTCGGGGGGTATTCACATCAATCAAGGCCTCAGACACTCGTTCAAACTTGAAACAAGAAAGTAACATGGAAGCAGCCATAAACAAACTACGTTCAGCTAAGTGAATGCCTACACACACACGACGTCCTGTCGAGAAACTCAGGTGGGGTCTGTCTTGCACACCTTGGGTGACGCGATGGTCTTGTTGTTCAACATAGGGCATATGGCGTTCAGGAAGAAAACTGTGAGGATTGGGGTATCGTTCAGCATTGGTATGAATAGCATACAAGTTCATCACAACCACCGTGTCTTCAGGAATTACCCAGTTCTTATAGACGTCTTCTTGGGTAGTCGAGTGAGGAATAGCAATGGGTGCAGGCGCGCGTAAACGTAATGTCTCTAAAATCACACATTGAAGGTAAGGCAAATTGTATTCTAGGGTACAGGTTACTACTATGTTTGTCTACAGAACGTGTCTTACCATCAGAAGCAGTCGGAAGTCGATCTAACCCCACATTGTGTTTGATTTCTTCAAATACTTTGTCTTGCACCTCAGGATGGTTGGCTAAAAAGGCAATCATCCACTCCAATGTCGCTGTGGTTGTGTCTGATCCAGCACCCACAAACAAGCCAACAAAATGCTGGATTTGAAGATCCGTCAGTTCCCCAGACTCCAGAATAGCCTTGACAAAACAGTCTTGCGTTTCGCCTTGACTCAACTTGACCTTAAAGTCCTTGAGAAGTGTACCATAGAAAGAAGTAAAGTCGTCACGCACCCGCAAGTATTTTCCACGTTGAATGGGCCATATCTTTTTCAAGACGGGAAAAAATTCTCTGATTTGGTCAGCGGGACTCATGGTACTGGCAGCGCGTTCTGTTAATGTAAAGGCGTTATGGAGCACAGGATCTCCAGGCTCAAAAGAGCACATATCGCCATAAGCAATCGTCAGGATACTGGTCATGGTGTAATGTTCAATCAGATGGGCAAGCGATACACCTTGATCGTTTGATTTGGTTTGACAAAGGTCGTACAGATAAGAAAGGAAAGTGGTGCGTCGATCGTCTAAAATGGGTTGATAGATATCAATTTTAGACTTGACAAGTCCACCATGCGCTATAGATATGAATAAACATCGATACACTACCACTTACCAATACGACGTAATCGACGCCAATTTGAACCATAAGGAAGAAAAGCAAATGAACCCCCTTCATCTATCCAAATCATCAACATCATCGCTTATCCCTTATGTTTATGTTTGTTTTTTACCTCCTTGCATAAGATCGTGAACCAGAGTGTCGGGTAGATTTCTTGAAGAATAAATCTTGCTTCGATCGACAATCAAGTCTTTAATGCTTTCTACACTGTTGAGCACAACCCATCGTTGTGTACCAAAATAACAAGTAAAGACAGGTCCCACTTCCATACTCCACTGACGAAACAGTTCATAGACAGGTACAGGGCGCAACACTTGTAATAAATGACCAATTACAGGTAAATAACCGGGTGCAGTGGGCGGTAATGGTACTGCTTGTCGTTTACGGTAAAATAGATAGATAGCACTTGCAATAGCTAATGTTCCACCCACAGAATTCATCATGATCACAAAAGAAAGAGAGAAAAAAAAATAGCATTTAAATGTCTTTTGTCACTCTTTTGTTCTACTAAAATGGATATTAGTAGGAGTTGTGACTGATTTCTTTCTTTTTCTTCTTTTTATTTATTTATTTCGAATGTTTAAAAAGATTACAAGCCAACAGAATGCAGTTGTAAAGCATTGGATAGCCTTAAGAGAAAAGAAACAATACAGATTAGATCAACAGCGGGTGGTTGTACAGGGCGCCAAAATAATCAAAGAACTCTATCAACAAGGCTGTCAAATTCGTTCACTCGCTATCACGACGGATAAAAAAGACAAGGACATTAAACATGCTGCACTGGACATGGTGCAACATCCATTACCAGCTGACGCTTATTATGAGACAGATATTCACCTTGCACGACGTATTTTAGGGACATCTTCCAGGCCTGGAAAACATGATGTTTTTGCAGAAATACCTGTACCCTCACACACACCCTCATTGAAGGACACTCGGCTACTCGTGTTTGATAAGATCAACGACCCTGGTAATCTAGGCACATTGGTTCGATCTGCTAGAGCCTTAGGATGGCAGTCAGGTCTGATCAGTGAGGGCACATGTGATTTGTACAATGATAAAGTCGTACGTGCCTCCAAAGGACTCTCAATTCTTTGGCCACATACATCTTATAAGCATATGCAGACCATGTTGACTGAACTCAAACAGCATCACTATACACCACTTGTTGCAGACATGTTACCAGCCACTTTACCTACCGATCTATGGTCTCCTGAAAATGCCCATCCAATAAAACCAGGAGCAGGTCTATGTTTATGGAATTTTCCTCAGACAATGAAAAGACAAGTACCTCAAAAAATAGCTCTTATCTTGAGTTCAGAACATCAAGGTGTACATCCAATATTAGACCAAGAAATCAAAGTATCTCTGCCCATGTATTCTCATGTTGAATCACTCAATGTGGCTAATGCGGGTAGTATCATTATGTTTGAATTAAATAAATGGCTCTAGTCTCTTTCTTTTTTCTTCTATAAAATATGGCTTATTCTGTTCGTTTGAGTGGCACTGTTTTGTCTTCCTTATTATATGAATGTGCCAATTCAGAAACAGATATAGTATGTTGTCCTAGAGTTGTCTATTGCTCATAATTATTCAGGAAGGCTTTCTTTTAGGTGTTCTGTCTCACAAAACAACACTGACTAACAGTGACTCATCAGAACCCATAGAGAAACGCCAAGATTACATCAGTATGTAAATAGAGTCATGACACACGGTTAACCTACAGTTAGTTATTCATGGATACCAAAGAGTACAAGAAAAACCTTATGATCACCATGGCAACCTAATCAAACATACGGTAGCGAAACAACAAAAAGACCTGTCTTCCTTGGTAGGTTATTTCAAGTTTCGAAGACAGACAGACACGTCTTTATCTGTACGTGATCAACTCTGGATGACTTCTTGGTCCAATACCATTCCTCATGGATGTATGGCTATTCTAACAGCCCATCCAAACGCATTGACGGACAAGTCTACACAGACATATGAATTTGCATTTTGGGATATGAAACACACAGACAAGTAAGTCACAGAATAGGGGAAGTCATTGTTCTTAGTGATAGTAAACTGCCTCTTGAGATCACCAACATGAAAGAAAGTACGACCGGATACAAGAATTTCATGTCCAATGCACCTTATCAGACAACAGCATCCTCAAGGTAAGAAGAAAAAAAAACAATGCGTGAACTACTTATTTAAAGAGCTTAGTAACAAACGATTGACTACCATGTCACCTTCTCAAATTATTATCCAGCAATTCGACAACATGTATCAAGAATCCTTTCAAGCATTACAGACATCCATTCAATCTGTCATGGACAAAGAAGCCGAGATAGAAAAACTAAAGCAGGAGATCGAGTTGCATAAATCTGAAATAAAAAAGTGACTTTTTGTGACTTGAAAAAAGTAGCTTTTTTTTTCTTTCCTTTTCTTTTCTCTGTCAGTATGAAGCGAGTCGTCGACTTTCAAGAGAAAGAACCAGCTACCGAGTTTGAGTTCAAGGATACACAACACAAAAAGCAAAAATCTAATAAATTTAATGCGACAACAAAGCGTCTGAACCATGCTGAATTTAAGCAGAAAAAAAAAGACATGTTGGCATTTCGAAAGCAACTGCCTATTTATTCAGGTAAACAACCCTCCTCACTCCTTGAAGTGTCTCGGCTGACAATCAGACAGGCAGAGAAGCGATTATCGAAACACTGAAAGCCAACGATACAGTGATTGTCATGGGTGAAACAGGGTCTGGCAAGACGACTCGTATGTATCTATACTTGTGATTGCGTTGTTGCTTATATAGGATTGAATAGAAATCCCTCAGTTTCTTATTGAAGCAGGCATTGCATCCAAAGATTTGGGTGGTGTGGCAGTCACTCAACCGAGACGAGTAGCTGCTGTCAATTTAGCCAAACGTGTAGCTGAAGAAACCATGAGTCAATTAGGTGGTAAAGTAGGTTACACCGTCCGTTTTGACGATACATCCAGCCCCCACACCATCATTAAGTACTTGACCGATGGTATGCTGCTACGTGAAATTCTAGCTGACGAACTCTTGTTGAGATACAAAGTGGTGGTGTTGGATGAAGCGCACGAACGCACACTCAGAACAGACATGTTGTTTGGTATGATCAAGACCATTCAGCGTAAACGAGCCGAAAAGGAAGGCGTACATCCACTCAAGATTGTGATCATGAGTGCTACGTTGGATGCAGAAAAGTTTAGCGAATTTTTCAACCAGGCCAAGATTTTGTATGTCTCAGGTCGATTGTATCCTGTAGACACGATGTTTACAATCGAACCTCAGGCAGATTATTTGGATGCTGCCTTGGTCTCTATCTTTCAGATTCATGTCAATAATCCCAAGGGGGATATCTTGGTGTTCTTGCCTGGTCAAGAAGCCATTGAGAGCTTGACTTCGCTTGTGAATGAATATGCAGCACAGTTACGCCCTCATCAACAAAAGTTACTAGCCTGTCCCTTATTTGCTGCCTTACCCCCTTCACAGCAACAAAAAGTGTTTGATCCAGCACCCACCAACACACGCAAAGTGATCTTATCGACTAATATTGCAGAAACCAGTATTACCATTCCGGGCATCAAGTATGTGATTGATACAGGCTTGGCCAAGTTACGTGGGTTTAATCCCAAGATTGGTGTCGAGTCACTCTTGCTACACCCCATCTCCAAGAGTTCAGCATGGCAAAGAACAGGGCGTGCAGGAAGAGAAGCAGCAGGCGTGTGTTATCGATTGTATACCGAATCTGCATTTAGAGAATTAGAAGATGATACGGTACCTGAAATTAGACGGTGTAATTTAGCAGCTGCTGTGCTTGCTTTAAAGGCCACAGGGATCGATAATGTACTTGAATTTGATTATATGGATAGACCTTCAAGGGCATCCCTTGTCCGTGCCTTGGAAGAGCTGTATGCTTTAGGAGCCATGGATGATAAAGGACACTTGTCTGAGATGGGAAAGCAAATGGCAGAGTTTCCTTTAGACCCTACATTTTCCAAAGTCTTGATTCAGTCTAGAGAATATGAATGTACCCTGGAAGCCATTGCAATCATTTCACTTTTGTCTGTAGATACTATTTTCTTTACACCCTCAGATAAACGAGACCAAGCTGCTGAAGCAAGAAAGAAGTTTTTGCATCCTGATGGCGATCATTTAACACTCTTGAATGTCCTTAAATCGTACTGGGAAGTCAAGGGAGATATTGAATGGTGTAAAGAAAACTTTATTAATAATAGAAATGTCAAAATTGCCATGGTAATCCCAGTGATTCCCATCTCATTCATACATTAACTGACGTTTTTATAGCAAGTACGGGATCAATTGATTCGATTCTGTGAACGGATAGGCATGGATACCAATGCCAGTTGTGGTTCTGATACTGACAGAGTACTCAAGTGCTTTTTGACTGGTTTCTTTCAAAATACAGCATTGTTACAGCCTGATGGTTCTTACAAGAGTGTGGCAGGTAGTCAATTAGTCAAGATTCATCCTGGATCAGCCATGTTTGGTAAACGAGTTGAAGGCATTCTATACAATGAACTTGTGTTTACTACAAAGCATTATGTGCGTGGTGTGTCTGCTATTCAGTCTGCTTGGCTACCATTAGCAGCACCTAAATACTTTAATAATGTTACATTGTAATAAAAACATACCAATTTTTTTTATAGAAAAGATTTTTCCCTCTTTTTATTTGCTATGCAGAATAACCAACTACCTCCACACATGATGCAACAATTCTCGCATCCTCAACCACGCTTATTTCATCCACAGGTGGCTTACCCTCTCATGGCCAACATACAACCTTCTGAACGAACACAAGGTGCCTTTTCCACCTATGCCTCACGATTAAAACAATCAGATAACAACGCGCTTTTACTACCCGAATCCTACGTGACAAAGAAATCGCGTTTCGATTCAGAAGACGAGTTTGATGAATTTGAATCTGAAGATGATTCAGACCAAGGCACGACACGAGAAGGCAACGAAAATGAGGAACAGAAAAAGAAGCAAGAAAGACCAGACGCTTTACAGAAACAAAAAGAACTGGTCGCTGTGCCTCCACCTGCGCCTGAATGGCAAAAGATCATTCGAAGAAAGAACGATTTTACATTTACCAATCAGGATCTAGAGACGATCGCAGAGATAGAGGAAGTGTTGGTACCGGTTCGCTTAGATATTGATGTGGACGCTATCAAATTACGTGATCGTTTTTTATGGAACATGAATGGTAAGTAATCCCATAGAGGATTTTTTGTTTATTCGCGACTTGATTAGAGCAATACTTGACACCTGAAAAGTTTGCAGAAATGTTGTGTGTGGATTTACAACTCTCGCCTCATCGATTTGTTCAGCCTATTGCAGACTCCATTCGTGCTCAAGTGCTTGATTTTGAAAGCTTTAATCAAGTCAAATTGCCTTCTGAATACACGCGTGTGGTGATCAATGTAAGATCAAATGTGCATGTATGTGTTTATGCTTTTTTACTTATTGATGGTAGCTTGATTTGCAAGTGGGTAAAGTCAATTATCGTGATCAGTTTGAATGGGAACTCAAGGAAGAAAACACAAATGCACCTGAAGTATTCAGTCGTCAATTAGCTTCTGAATTAGGTATTGGAGGTGAATATGTACCTATGATATCTCATGCCATTCGAGAGCAAATGTTTAAACACAAAAAGCAATATGCAGAAGAGGTAATGTCTATGTCCTTTTTTTTTTTCTTTGTCTAAAGTACCCTATAGCTTGTGATTGATGGTGAAATCAGAACTCAATTAGAAAGTGCATTTCGTCCTGTTGAAGAAGCTAAAGACTGGGTGCCTCGTATGGACATGTTATCGAACGATGAGCTAGAGAAACTGTTGATTGCACAAGAACGAAACATTAGACGCATGCGAAGAGAAACACGTTTCAAGCGTTCAAATCGTCGTAATTAAATAAAACCATTTATTGCATCTTTTTCTTTTTTTTAATGGTGATCATCGTGGTCGCCATGGTGATCCCAAGGATGTCTCAAACCCTACAAATAGAATGATGAATAAAAACAAATGTATAATAAACATCTTACCAAAAGAACAGGACCATCTTGTTTGGCACGGTACATCATCCAGAACCACATTGTGGCACCTAAAGCCTTGCCAACAAAACGATGAGTGAAACCAGCCATGTGTGGGTGAAAACCAAAGCCTCCTGCAGCAGAACCAGCCATGTTAATAGAGTGTGTTATTGTAAGTGAAGAGAGAAAAAATAACAAAGTATTGCCTTTGAGCGGGGAAGGTAAGGGGGGCACGTCATCCTTAAGCGGAGTGCGGACCGGAAAATGAAGGTGGCATGCTGCGCGGATGGCAAGCCAAGTCCATTGTAAATTCTTGCTTGAAGCCTAAGGGGAAAAGATCCTCCTCTTCCAGCATCACTAAGAAGGTAATGCATCATCTATTCATTCATCCATCCACTTGATACAATAAGGAACACACACACATGATGGCAGTATAGGATGGACATTTGCATGAAGATACACTACCCTACAGCTTTTTTATTTTTATTTGGAAACCGAGTTTATAGTCATAGCCAAATAGAAGAGCAGCACACCACGATAAATAAACCAAAGTAGAGAGAAAGCAAAAACGAAAAAGAAAAGAAAAGAAACGATGTAACCGAGAGAAAAAAACAACATAAATAGAGACCAGCATCTTATGTGTGTGTGATTTTACCTTATTGTTCAAGTGGTGGTTATGTTGGATTACTTTATTAACATTCTGTGATAGCTTTCAACATGGTCACTCCTGCCGTAAAGCACACTATCGTGAAGAAGCGTACTGCTACCTTCAAGCGTCACCAATCTAACCGTTTCATGCGTGTTGGTGTAAGTATCTGACGAGTAACCAAATTGTTATTCACAAGTGATGATAGGAATCCTGGAGAAAGCCCAAGGGTATCGATTGTAACATGCGTAGACGTTTCAAGGGTCAAGCTCCTATGCCCAAGATCGGTTACGGTTCCGCCAAGAAGACCCGTAACTTGTTGCCCAATGGTTTCCGCAAGTTCGTTGTCTCTAACGTCCGTGAACTCAACTTGTTGTTGATGCACAACCGCACTTACGCTGCTGAAATTGCCCACAACGTTTCTTCCAAGAAGCGTGTTGCTCTTTTGGAACGCGCTGCTCAATTGAACGTCAAGGTTATCAATGCTGGTGCTCGTCTCAGATCTCAAGAGTAAAAATAATACTATAAAAAAAACTTTTTTTATTATTATTATTAAAGTGAACCACATTGCGTGATGGTGATGACTTGTTGTGGACTTTCTTTTACTTGTAATACACGGTTGATTTGATCCAGTACCTCAAGTCCTTGAATGACTTGACCAAAAATCACATATTTACCTTGGATCTTTTCAAATTGAGGGTGGTTGTCACTGAGTGTAATGAAGAATTGAGATGTGTTTGAGTTTTTGCCTGAATTGGCCATGGCCACTAGTCCTGCCTTGTTGAATTTTTTGGCAAGGCCGGGTTTTTCATCATTGAATTTACCGTTGTAGATGCTATCACCACCAGAACCATCGCCTATACATTGATTAATCCCTTTGTTTAGCTATTCATGACTTGCCTCGCGTCACATCGCCTCCTTGCACCATAAAGTCATTGACAAGACGAAACATGCGTGTGTTCTTGTAATGCAATGGTTTTTTGGAACTTTTGCCAACCTTGCCTCCTTCACAAAGACTGATGAAGTTATCACATGTCTTGGGACATTCCTTGTCATTCAACTCAATAATCACCTTGCCGCCTGCTAAAGGTGTAGGCGCATCGATAAGCCAGTTCTCGCTGGTTGCTGTAGGGTCATTGGAGAGAATATCGCGTGCTGTCTCCTTGTCTTCAGCACCCAGTTGATCGAGATCATCTGTAGCGAAACCATACGTGGATGCCCATTGCTTGACCCAGGACTTGACACTCATATAGCGTGCATGGGCATCCTCATAGGCTGCAACATCGCCAATCTTGATCTCGAGAAAAACTTGACGTGTCATAAAAAAGGTAAAAAAAAAAAAAAAAAAAAAAAGAACCATTGTCTCTTTATTACACTGGATCAAACCAAGGCAGTTGCTCGACTTGATCTAATCGAACTCGCTTATCTGGATGTCGAACTAATATCTTTTGAACTACTTCTTTGGCTTCTAAACTAATGTTATCATCCACAGGCCATTTGACTTGTGCCATCACAATACGATGAAATAAATGAGAAATCTTTTCTCCCTTATGAGGGTCATACGTAAATGGTAAATAGCCCACCAGTAAGGCATAAATAATAATACCAATTGACCATGTATCTGTTAAACGGCCATCATAGCCTAAACTCTGTACAATTTCAGGTGCTGCGTACTCTTCGCTGCCACAACGGGTGGTCAGAATAGGTTTGATAGGATCCATTACACGAGCCAGACCAAAGTCAGTAATTTTGATATGAGGTTCACCTGTTTTTTCATCAAAATAGACAAGAATGTCTACAATAGATCAATAACACAATAGTCAGCACTTGCTATCTTACTTTCTAACTTTAAATCTCGATGAACAATATTGATTTGATGCAACCAAGAGACGACTTGGATGATCTCCAAAGCCAGCCGCTTAATTAGTATTTCATCAATGCTTGAAGGAACCAACACTTGATGAAGATTGTTATGTATATGCTTCACAAAATCAAATAATTCGCCTCCTTTGACATATTCCAGCACAATGCATAAATGTTGTTCGGTTTCCATGGTGGCCTCCAACTGAACAATACGTTCATGATTAAGGCACTACGATTGGGTAAGCATAGCATGCATCAACAGGGTGTCTATACCTTAAGAACACCTACTTCTCTTTCAATACTCGACTTGACACGCAAATCTTGATACATGCGTTCTTTATTAATCACCTTGACAGCCACATGGCCTCCTTCTTCTAAATTCTCTGCTAAAAACACTCGAGAAAAAGCCCCTTCGCCTAATAATTTTTTGATGCGGAACTTCCAAATGTGCTTGCCTAAAATACGCACATCTTCATGAAGCCCATGTGGGTGAGGCGAAGGGTATTTGTATTCGCGCAGAATACCGGTCTCTTCCATATCGCCCAACATAGGTTCTTCCTGTAAAGAAGGAATGACATTTGTCTGACTCGTTGAAAATGTAGGCGAGAGTGAGACCAAAGGAATAGCCGATGTGGGCGGTGGCGATGACATGCATGCGTCGTCAAGTATCACTTTGTCTTGCTGTATTGCTTCGATGTCGTTGTCTTGAAGGGCCAAAGAAGGTGTGGAGGGCGGTAATTGGGGCGGTGTGGCCAGTGTAGGCGTAAGGATATTATGTCTTGTAAATGTGTTTGTTCTTGCTAAAGAAGGCTGCGCAGGACTAGGTAAAGGAACGATCTCTTCTTCTGGAAACAGGGTGGTTGGAGGTGTGGTGCTGCCATCATCGCTGGTACTACTGTTACTCATACGTCTCTGCAGTGTCGCTGGAGGTCTGCTCGAGAGGGGTGTGGCCGCGGCGGTTTTTCTATTGGCCAAGACAATGGCCCGTATGCGATCGGCAAAGGTAGGCGTAGCATGAGGTGTGGGTTCGTTTTTATTGGATAGGGAATAACTTGTTTTGATGTCTTTACGGCTATTACTTTGGATGGAAGGCGGCGGTCTTACTTGGCTTGTGGTCGTGTCAAAGAACTGGTTGTTTTTAGAAAAGATCACTGATTCTTCTTGTGGGGTAAAATCAACAGCATGTGTTACAATGCCTAAGCCAATGGAGGGTTGTCGCTTATGACTCTGATGGGGACTTTTATTTATAAAGGAAACATTGAGCGTCGTACTCATGATACAAAAGTGAAAGAAGAAAGAGAGATAAGTCCCGACAAGTTTTATGCATTGCTTTGATATTATTATTTTTTCTTTTCGGGTATTATCTGTTTACAAGTATGTAAATGCTGTCCATGCAAGAACGCATGTCACTACAATGTCTACCATTTGAGCCACAATGTACAACGTCACTAATTTACCCAAGCTTCGAATATTTTGCTTCATGTCACTGATCTGTAGTCCCATACCGATACTGACAAACGACAAGGTCGAGAACCATTCAGAGACATAGAAACAAAACGAATTGACCAATGATCTTGTATCCGCCGTATCAATGGTAGTATTAAACAAGACAGCTGTGATAATAAACCCAATCACGAATTTAGGAAACCGTTTCCAGAGCAAGACATAGGCGCTTTCTTTGGGTCGCGAAGGAGCATGGATGTTTCGTGGGTGCTTGACAGATGGGGTATTGATCCCTTCCGTTTCTGTAGGTTCATCTAGTTGTGATTGGACAATGGCGTCATCTGGATTTTCATTTCGACCAAGCAGTTCTTCTTCACGTTTATAAGCAGCCTGAAGTTCGTAACGAGACCATGCCCAGGCCATGACGACAGACAATGGACCAATCAAGACATTCTGCATCATCTTAACTACAGCCGACGTATTGATCGCATCATGGTCGCCATAAATACTCGCTGCAGCAATCACAGCACCTGTGGAATCCACACAGCCACCAAACCAAGCGCCACTGACCGTGGCTGACAACGCTAAACGTTTAGCAACGTAAGGTAACGCAATGATGCTAGGAATGGTAAAGATAGAAATGATGGCAATCGGCATTTCTGTCTTGTGAGGCACGCCCATGCTGGAACCCAAAGCAATCGCGGCAGAGGAACCGCAGATAAATGTAGCACCAGACATGATAATGGCCGTCTGTGTGTCAATCTGGAGGACTTGCCATCCGAAATAAGCAATCACAATGAACAAGGTAGGTGTATCAATCCAGCTGACAAACAAGGCACGCGGTGCCAAGGGACGCAAGACACTAATATCAATACAGAGCAAGACTAAACTTATAGCAATGTACAGTTCTGTCTGTTGAGCTACTTTAAGCCACGGAGGTAAAATGTTGGACTTTGTAAAATAAGACAGTGTATTTCGGACGAAACAACCGAAAATAATGGCCCAGATAGAATCACCGATACTCGCCTTTTTCAGGACAACTTGCAATTCAAGAGTGAGTAGCCGATATGAAATGAATGAACTTACCATTATTCGCCAGTATCTTGCTAACAAGTGCAATGAAAAAGACACAAATATAGCCTATAGGAAATCTTCTCCAGTTGGGAGCATTGATGGCCCACATGGCAATCCAAAGCAACAAGCCCATCATGACACTAATGACAATCAAGCCAAAGTTGTCCGTATTAGCAAACGTATGAAAAGGGTTATTGTCCCAGAGTAAGAACTCAGGTGAGGGTATATCATGCTTGACAGCTGAAGTAATACATCCAAAGAAAATCAGACCAATCCAACACGACCACCATTCTTCTGAATTCCACCACATCAGTAAGGTTCGATACTTGACAAACAGGGATTCTTTTTGGTTTGGTTCAGTGAGAGAAGTAGCTAATGTTTCTGTGGAAGTGTCATTTGATTTTGATTGGGAAATTTCTCTTAATTCTAATGCATCTAAACTAGCTATGTCAATAGAACCTCGTTTATGAACCATCATGTCTATAGAAAGAAAAAAGAAAAAAAAAAAAAGAATCTGTCTGAATTTTCTTTTTTTTTTTTGTGACTGATGAGATGAGTCATTTATAGTAGAACAAGAAACAACATGAACAATCCAACATGTATAGCTAATATTCGTCTATTACAGAAAAATAGTGTTTATTGTCGATATACATGTATTTACTATACTTCTTTAACAAGGCATAAAACTATAAAATAAAAAAGAAAAAGGAAAAAGAGAAAAGTGTCAAAAAGGAAAACAATGTTTCTCCCCTATTTATACGAATGTTTTGCATAAATTTATGTCGATCATTTGTTTATGGATTCTGTTAAATGTGTTTATTTCATTTGGTAAAAATGGCGAGCTTGATAGCGACGATGACGAATTCATTTTCAAGGAATTCTGTTGGTCAAACAAGTACTGAGAGAGCGAATGATAAGACGTTCTGGTTACTGAGGACAAACTAGTGAGTAACACGAATGTTTTCTGTTTCACGTTGCTAAAAAAAAACAAAGGCCTTTTTTTCTTATTTGAATAAAATTTCTGCTTGTGGCTTTCAACTTCTTGTTCAAGTAAGAGAGATGTCAATGAAAAAGTCTTTCTATCTGTCGTTTAGAATGTCTGGTAAAGGTAGATAGAATTATAGCAGGTATGGAACCATTGGTTTGACGCCTGTCAAATATTCATTTCTTGATCCATGGAGGGTTCGTGGGACAAGCAGAAAAAGCGAGGGCGAATAATGGTTTGGGTGTACATGAAGTTTCAAACATCGCCTTAGGAAAAGCGATATGATGCTTTCTCAGTAGTGATAAACATCTTAGGAGATAAACAAAATGCCAATAAGAAAAAACTAGATTTCTTCTGGATAATACATAGCAAAACAGAGTCATGTTGAGCGCTTTTTTAAGCTCTGTAGGATAATCTTCATCACTATAAGCATCGGCCAGTTTTTGAACAGTTTGTCTATATAAAAGCATGAATCTTTGCCTTGTCGAGTCAGGCATTTGCCTACAAATAGAAAATGGCTATCTATTCAGGTCCAAGAATGAAGTCTTGAACATAAAATGCATTGTTGTGATAGTCCCTTTTCGGTCACATATTTGACTTTGAAAGTAAGGCTGACAAATGCTTTCTTTCAGGTTGCCATCCTTCTCCAATTTATTATTGTCAAAGTTTTTTTGTATCAGCAATGAAAGTGAAAGAAAAAGACACTTTTTGTGAGATATCGTTGCCTTTGAAAGCATACTTTTGACTATACATATTGCAATGAAGATGCTAGTGTTGAGTTTCATCGGAGTCGTGCATTGATCTTTACCTTCATCTGAATACGTTTATAGACAGTGCACGCATGAAAATCTTCATAATCAGGATATCGTGTATTCTTGCTAAGACTACTTATATTAAAGCAATTATCACTTTGACTTGACATTTTTTATATTTTAAACCATTTTTACAAAGAATAGGTTACTGCTTTTCGATCATTTCTAAGGTGCTTTCAGGCCCCAATTCTTTTTCGAAGGAAGAATGAGCCTCATTTCTGCAAAAAGCAGCACCAATACATAATTCAAAGAGGATAAATTAACCCTTTACTATCTTTTTGAGCCTTTGTTCAAAGTCTAGCCAATATTAACATTACATTTCATGAAAACGTCAAATTATTTATTGTATGATTCGAAAGTATAATTGTCTGAATGATACCCATCCGCTTATTGCGCTCCAAAGTATTTTTTTAATACTATTATTGGTATTGGATGACATTTCGTATGATGAAAGGATAGAAAGAGTACAGCTTAGCAGTTTCAAAAGTAAAAATTGTGATTTCCACCTAGGTAGCTTAAAGTTACAACTAAAGCTCAAACCATTTCACCCAAATTATCTGGCACCCAGGTACTTGAGCACAACTCAAAGAAAAAAAAACACAAGAGGGAATCCCTTTTTTTAAGGCTTTTTTTTCTATAATTTTCTTTTTTGTAATTCTCAAAAGCTAAAAGTGTCTTTGGCCCGAAATTCAAGTATAGGTCACCCTCAATTCACTGTCAGTTTTGCCTTGATTGACAAAGAAGGCAATTATCCTAAAATCACAATTTCCGTTACCATGAGGGGTAAAAGATACATAGATATCTTTTCAACGGGAGCTATATCTTTGAGCAAAATTGCTGATAGCAGTTCTGCTTCTTTTGCTTGGAACGAGTTGCTTGTCATATATATATACATAGGTATTCAACATCTTTTAAAATATTAGAAGAATAAACAGACTAGAGTGTTTCTTGGAAGGAGGGAGTATTATACTGAATAATGGATCCAGTAATGATTGCGGGTATTGAATTACTCTTTAAATCACTGATTCATGACTCTTAGAATTTTTTCTCTTTTTTCTTTTTTTTTTCTTGTGTATGGATATGTCTTGGTTATAAAAGAAAAAGAGAGACAGAGAGATGCCTGAACAACAACAACAACAACAACAACAAAACTCACCATCAGATCAAAAAGATCAGACTGAAGATAACCAACAAAATCAAGATAACAAAAAGAAACGTACAGGACCTAAACGAAGAAAAGTAACGCATGGTAAGAGAAGATACGCGCGTATATGTACTTATGTCTATTGGAGCTTGTGTCTATTGTAGACGCTCACACATGACTTGTGATGAAGGTAAATCAAGATAGATGACACCAGATGCTCATTCATAAATTAGGTCGACCTTGTCAGCGTTGTATTAAACGTAGTATTGGTCATTTGTGTCATGATGAAGTCAAACAACCCTCTAATTCTTCACAACAACAACAACAACAACAACAGCAACAACAACAGCAACAACAACAGCATCAACAACAACAACAACAACAACAACAACAACAACAACAACAACAACAAATCCATGGTAGACAAGATAGTATGAGTCAACAAGGCTTAAATGGTGGTAATTACCCTCATTTATCTACAGTAGCCAATGGTAAGCCCTTCCCCCCCTTTCCACAAATAGACATATACTGATTAATACAAAGCACCCCTTGGATCCAATAGTAATTTAGGCGGATTACCACTTCAGTTTTATGGTCAGATGGGCGCTGGTCAGCTTACGTTTGCTAGTGAACAAATGGGAAATGAAATCTCTGTTATCAGTGACTTTTTAGATTCATTAGGTGCTAGTCCTACCAATACAGACACGCAGCGAGGCATCTATACACCTCCTGCTACCAACACAACAACCACAGCCGTCAATACCACCGAACGCTTCTTTTTGACAGCAGCTGATCCATCCGATGGTAAGCTCGAAGATCGTTTAACAGAAGTCATCAATGCCAAATATGAAGCTGGGTTCTTGAAACCTTATAATTATGTCAATGGTTATGCTCGATTGCAGAAATACATGGATAACAAGTAAGTTCACTTATCCAGAAGATAATATGGCTGATTTCCTTGGCCAAGTATGTCAGCCTCAAGTCGACAACGCATCTTGAATGTCATGGGCACCTTTCGTCCTGCTTTTCGTTCTGTAGCACAGTCATTAACAGACATTGATTTGATTTTGGTGGAAGAAGCCTTTGAACGCCTGTTGTTGGTAAACGCAACCCAGTTCTTGTCTGCATCTATTCACACAACTGTTAGGATTATGATCGTGTGTTTAGTTCGATGGGTATACCTGCTTGTCTATGGCGTCGTACAGGTGAAATCTACAAGGGCAACAAAGAATTTGCTGCTCTTGTGAATGTGCCTATTGAGAACTTGAGGGAAGGCCGTCTGTGTATTTATGAATTGATGGCAGAAGAATCTGCTGTGAATTATTGGGAGGTAAAAGGAATACATCGACTATGTCTATGACTGACATCTGAAATTAGAAATATGGTAATATTGCTTTTGATCCAGGACAAAAGGCTGTCTTGACCTCTTGTTTACTAAGAAGTCCCAATCCTGAAAACACCAGTGTGATTTCATGTTGCTTTTCTTTTACTATTAGACGAGACAAATATAATATTCCAGTAAGTCTATAGCCCTACTTGACAGTATAATTAATGATGTTTAGACAGTGATTGTAGGCAACTTTTTGCCTATCCAGTTACAATAAATCTTTATTTAAATTCGATATATACATGTAATTTGCCATGCTTATTCAATCCCATCTTGGTTGTCAGATCAGTCCAGGTATCCAGAGGGTGTCCTTGACATGCAGAGCTAAAATCAATCTTGGCTTCACCAATAGTATCTTTACCAATGATGTCCTTGTCAAAGACCTTGAAATGGATTTTATGGTCATTGCCTTCCAGAGGAAATGTGAATGTTTGATTCCAAAGTGGATTATCATTGTTCTTGATCACTCGTGTCTTTTGTTTATAGCGTTCATCAATCCATAGTTCAACATAAGGATCGTTCTTTCCAATCATATCTTTACCAGTCAAATTACTGGCTTCAATCACAGTGACATACAGAATACCTTGATAGGACATGAGAAGAGAAAGAAAGATAGAAAGAAAGAAAGAGATGCCTGAGTTTATATAGACATCAAGTGACGTCAAACTGGCATACTTTGTATATGAACAAAACGCCCAAACTATAAATAATCTTTTGGCCGAGTCAAGAGTGTTACAAGAAAAGTTTTTTTTTTTTTTTCTTTGATCATGGCAAATTCGAAATTTGAATATGTTCGTCATTTCGAACTTGCTGATAATCTACTACCCAACACTTGGCTTGTTGTTCGTATTGATGGTCGTGGATTTCATAGGTAACATACAGTGACACGATAATGTATTGATCATTAGATTCTCTCAAACCCATCAATTCGCTAAACCCAATGATAAACGAGCTATTGATCTGATGAATCAATGTGCTATTGAAGTCATGAAAGACATCAAGGACATTGTGTTGGCTTATGGGCAGAGTGATGAGTATAGGTAAGTCTATTGTTGAGATGCCATGCGATTGACTGATTAGTTTTGTGATCTCCAAGACATCCAATCTGTATTCCCGTCGATCAAGGTAAATCACAGTAGCTAGACATAGGACTTGACGCGTTTTAGTAAAATATGCTCTACCATTGTCAGTCTATTTGCTTCTAATTTTGTCTATCATTGGTCCACTTATTTTGAAGACAAGTTACAGTATCCACCATGCTTTGATTCAAGAACCATTTGTTACCCGAATGATCAAGTCTTGAGAGACTATCTCAGTTGGAGACAAGCCGATTGTCATATCAACAACTTGTTTAATACGACATTTTGGACACTAGTTCAATCTGCTGGTATGACAGAAACAGAAGCAGAGAAGCATTTAAGGGTAAATGACTATCTTTAAGGGGGGGGAGGAATGACTTCATTCATGTTGTATATAGGGTTCATTTGCCAAGGATAAAAACGAAATCTTATTCAACCACGGTATCAATTATAACAATATCTCGCCTGTCTATCGAAAAGGATCCATCATCATTCGCCAAAAGACACAAGTGACTTCCATTTCCCCTCGAGATGGTCAATCTGTGCAGCGTATCAAACTGATACCGACAGCCATCCATGAAGATCTGATTGGACAAGCATTTTGGGACCAACATCCTGAGCTATTGTTTATTAAATAAATGAGGCGGTGTATTATACATCATATACTGCAGTTTAGAAGAATCGAAAATCATTTGTCCAAACAAAGCAGAGTCATTCAGGAATTCGCAGCTATTGAAATCAATATCTGTGGGTTGTGTGGTGTAAGGCATTGCCATGTAATTCACATGGTTGGCTGGTATGGAAGGTGTGTCTGTTGTAGAGATCGAAGCCATGGATTCAGGACTTTGGGTGATCTTGAGTGGGATCGGCATCCGATGATTGGCTTCAATCTCATATAGGCGAGAATGCGTAGAGAGCATGTCACGTGTTGTCAAGGCCAAGCGTTCACTCATAGGCCAATAAGGACCCAAGATCTAGAGAGCAGTGTGAACAAAACAACCTATACATATATGTATATATATATATATGCTCTTTACCTTGATGGTATCAAACAAAATAGCAAGACCTAAACTACTTTTTGTATAAGCAACAGGGTCAGAAGAAAACACAGAGGTCATCAAGACAGTCGAAAAGATATAAGCACAATAGCCCATATAAGGCAATACATTACACCCACACGTATCTCTCAAACATCGAAAGACTTCTGTGGCTGTCTCGACTTGTTCTTTACAACAGGCAACACTGGCTTGGATCTGTTTATAAACATCTGATGGTAACTCAGATGGTCCGAGATCACTATAGGCTAAACTACCTCGATGGAGTGCTAACATGCCTGTACAGTACATCGCATGAGCACAGATCCAGAAATTCAGATAGTTTTGTGTGGCTGTCTCTCGGTACTTGGCCACCATCGCTGCCGAGAATCTGAAATGGTCTGGCAAGCTCTCTTTCCAGACACGCATGGAGGTATCCAACTGACTGAACTCAGCAATGGGTGGCCATGTCACTTGAGACCCATCTGTCTTGGCCCGACTCATGTATTTACAGATCTCACCAAACCTTTCCAAGACACCAACATAATGAGGCACGACATCCATCAAAGGGTCATTGGTGACTACTCTTCGATCGACAGTAAAGTTCTGGAGTGGGTCAAGCAACAGACTACTTTCTGTGCGTGTGGGGTATTGAACATCATAATCGCCGACTTCAAATCCTTGAGGACGGTTTGTACTTGTGCTTGCGAATTTATCAATACAGAGACAACTCCAAAAGATACGTCGCCTGAGTGCCATGGCGACATAATCCACTGTTCCCTCCGATAGAATGGGTGTCCTAAGCACCGATTCTTTATTCAGACCTAACTCTTGACAGATACGGACAGCAATACCTCCGTAGGTCCATGCTCTACACTAGAGTTGAGTGCTACCATCATGATCTGTCACTTACTTTGAACCTGAGGCTCTACCGTATTCTAAGCAAGACATGATACCCCAGAATTGTAGGTTGGGTATGGTAGGTTCTAAAAGAGAAGCATTGATGGACTGAGTGGCTTTGGTAGCAAACTTTTCACCTGCCCAATAAGGAGGATCTGTCTTGATGCTTGGATGATCTGAAAATCTATAGACAACATCAATACTATGGATGAATCTTGTTTAGCTGTACCTTGCTGCAATAGCCATCAATGCCCATAAAAGAGGTTTAGACACTGTTCCATCTTGAATGGATTGTCTTAATCGACCACGATGAACAAGAGGAAAGACTGAATTGACATACTGAAAGAACAGTTCAATCAGATGAGTCACAATAGCACTGGGTGGTAAATCATCCTCTTCTTTTTCCTCTCCTCCTCCTCCTTCTTCTTCTTTGGGTTTATCTACCAATGATTTCAGTCAATGGCCTGTTTATCCTGCTTACCTTTGGTTGGCAGAGGAGGTGGTAATTCCATGCCTGTATTCACTAGTTTTCGCTCAAGTTGAGCTAGCCGTTCTTCTAATAATCGAACATAACCCTTATGAGGTCCTCTCTTTTTATATTCTGTATATTGACATGACAAGTTGGCTTCTTTACAATGAAGACATTCAGGTTTAGCACCATCACACTTTATCTATAGATGACTAAGTATATGCTGATCAACGCCATCGTATTACTTTTTTCTTCCGACACAAAATACAAGCTTGTGTGATTCTTCTTTTAATTTCTCGTTTTGTATCCATAAAGAAAAAGATAAGAAAAATGTTTTTTTTTTTTTATTCTTCGGGAAAAAGTTTAATGTTGCACCCGATGATGATCTGGAGGAGAAGCAAAATCCAACTGCCAAAATCCAGGTGGTGTTGTTGCTCTTTGCTTAAATCTATGTCGAGAATGAAGTTGAATACGGTCCTGACAAGTTATTTGGACAGGTTGACCATCTACGTGTGTGGTCAAGGGATCACCCGCATAGAAGTCAGCACATCCTTTGCATGTTTCCCCTTGTAAATGAGCTCGATCATGACGGTGGCGTGTATTAGTAACAGAAGCGAGAGGGCGGCTTGCATTCGATTCATGGGTAGGCTTTACTTTAGGAAATGATGTAGTATTGGATGATGCACTATTTACAGATGATATATTCTCAGTGTGTGTAGAACGGGTGGAGGATGTCAAACTATTATGGTCAGTACTACTCGCAGAGATGGGCACCGTAGCACGTATAGACTGTTCAATAGGCTCCAGTTTAATTTTGATTTGTTTATGAGGTCGTGGATGGGTATCTACAGTATCAGAGGCTCTCTTTTTTATCCATTGCTCATTCAGTACTGTATTGATCGATGTTTGTTTTAGTTCAGGTTTCTTTATGAATTTGGTTGCTTTTGTCGTGGTCTTTTGGGTTGCACCAAGACTATATTCATGTCAATAAGCAGGATAGAGACTTTTACTTACAGTTCATTCAGTTGCCTTGTCTTTTTCACAAGTTCTGCTTTTTCTGATCGTAAGCTCTTAACTTCAGATTCAAGTTCTTGAATACGATCTTGTTTTTGTTGCACAGTCGCATTCAATTCGGTCAATTTGATCTGAAGTGTTGTGTTCTTGGCTTGTTCATCATTCAGTGTGTGTCGCAAATCTATCGGGTGAATACACATAGAGGCAAATCAAACTTACCTTTGATCTCATTTAGATGAGACAAGATGTCTGCTTGTTGTATAGTGACTGTCTCCCTCAAACTAGAGATCGTAGTGTTCTTTGCATCTCTTAAAGCTTGATACTGCGCATCCTTCAGATGGAGATCCTCTTGTAAATCTTGATTCTTGGCTTGTAATGCATGTTCTTTGTCTTGCTGCTCTTCTAATTGTTGCTTGTATTCCTTGATTTTCGATTGTAATGTCTTGGTGGTCTGTTGATTCTGTTGAAAGTTGGCAATCATCTGAATATGATTGTCTTCCCATAACTTGAGTTTGTCATTGGTAGATTGATAGGTTGCTTGCAGTGTGTCGTAAGCATCTTCCTTGCGTCGCATGTCCTTTTTTAACTTGATGTGTTCGACATGGAGTAAACCCATCGTCGTGCGCAGATTGTTATAGAGTTCCATGGCAAGTCGTTTACTTGTTCGATAGCCATTGATACGTTTAACGAGTTCCTGTGTGTATTCTGATCAACTGTATTAATAACTTGTTATAGATATAAAACGTACCTTTTTCTTTGTCTCTTGAAGGTGGCATGGACAAAAAAAAAAAAAAAGGAAAAATGCCTAGTATTTAAATGTGACATTCTTTATATATATATGTATATTTTTACTTTTTCTTTATGAGTATGAATCAAGACATTACGTTTCAACAATACCAATCGGAATCGCAATTACCTGATATTATTCACTTGATTGAAAACGATCTTTCAGAACCTTATTCAGTCTATACCTATCGTTATTTTATTCATAACTGGCCTAATCTATGTTTTCTTGTAAGTGTCGAGATGCATCTCTGATGTTCATTTGCGTTTAGGCTATGCATCAAGATAGATATGTCGGTGTGATTATATGTAAATTAGATAGACATAAAGATAGATTACGTGGCTATATTGCTATGTTGGCAGTAGCAAAAGAATACCGTAAATTATCGATTGGTTCCAACTTGGTGAAAAAGGCATTAGAGGCCATGAAGACAATGCATGCAGACGAGGCAAGCAAACCCCCTTTTTTTTTCTTAAAAGACTTTATTATATATACATATATATGTGTGTGTGTGTGCTTATTTGATATCTATACAGGTTGTATTAGAAACAGAATATACCAATCTAGGTGCACTAGGTCTCTATCAAAAACTAGGCTTCATCAAAGACAAACGACTTTACAGATACTATCTCAATGGTGTAGATGCCTTTCGACTTAAACTATTCTGTAACATGATTCATTAAAAACTCTTCTGCTACCACTGGATCCAACATGAGTTGAGTCGCTAATGTAAAGACCGTAAAGACGCCTTCCCGCATCCCTTCTGAAACACGCTTCATGCGTGCCTCAAACTGTTCAAGTTTAGTCAACAAAGGCACGGCTGGATCAGACACATTGGCTTGCTCTTCAGGCACTTCAGTCTGAGCCATGGCGTCCATGGCTAGTTGAGAATTTGAGGGTTCTTTACGAAGCAAGGATTCTCGAGACAGAAATTTACGTAGACTGGCATAATACGAGTCTGTGTTGCGGGATGTTTGGTCTGCATGCATGGCACGTTCTGAAGTGACATCATGGATAAAGATCTTGATGATCTGGTCCGGGAATTCATGATAGATGTGTTGATAACTAAGCCATGTTAGTCTTTTAAGTATCATGTATATGGCTGGCTTACATTTCAGGGTCTATTTCACCTGAATCACCCACCAAGATAAACTTGCGATGAGGGAAATCACGCAGGATACGAGGGATCACTTGTAATTTGTGTTTGCCGGGTTTACCACGGATCAATTCCCCTGTACTCACGGCTCGCAAGTGCATACTTCCCTGAGGAAATGCGTGTTGATTGATGAACTCAGCCAAGGCAGGGTAGACTTGCCATGGTGAATTGGATACATAATGTACATGAGCACCTTCTGCAGCCCATGCCTGGTAGACTTCATTCATATGAGGCACTTGTCTTGCTGTACGGAAAAAAGTGTTTTGTAAAATGGCGTCTTTGCCATCCAGAATATCAGTGATTTTGATAGTATCGTCAATATCAGAAATAATCGAAATCCCATAAGGATCAATGATATCAATGAAACCAGAAAAAGTAGATGCTATAGAGTTAGATAAGTCATGGCTGGCATCATTTATTTACCATGATCAGCAAAACAAGCTTCGACAGTCAAGATGGATGGTGTCTGATGTGCCAGATCAAGCTGGATTTCCTGATAGAATCGACCTGTGTTGCCTGTATTTACAACAGCAGCAGCCATGTCTCTTATTTTCTCTTGTTGGTTGAGGGATAAATGATGTTGACGATGTAAAATTGAGTCTGCAATGATATCAGGCAGCTGTAATCGAATGTCTGTCATACGCATCGTTTGTGATCGAAACTGGTTCAATAAGGCCGAGAAATGATCATCTTCAGCTGAATTTCTTGTGACTCTTCCATACGTTCTTCCTGCAGCTATCATGTGGAGTGAATATTCAAACTGATGCGTTTAAAGACACCTACCTAATAGCCATCGATTCAGTCGATTGGAAGTGGGTTTGGTGAATGCCCATCCCGCTAATATGACTCTGTAATGTGATCCTTTGGGTTCTACTCGACATGCATACGTAGGAAACAACATGCATTGAGGTTGAACTACTTCGGGTGTGTCATCTTGTAAAATAGCATCGAATTCTTGTGTCTCTGATCGTTGTACTTGAGGAAGTGATGTGGAGGAAAGTGAACGCGATGATCCGTTGTTTTCATAATAACGATTCATTTCTTGTCGAAGTGTGTTTGTTTTTGACTGTACAAATGACAAGAGTTGATCTCGTTTACGTGGTCTTTGGGATGGGTTCATAATTACAAAAAAAAAAAAAAAATGAAGGCATTGAGTGTGACACAATATGATCTTCCTCTTATTCCTTACAGCCAATTGTTTCTCCCCTAAAGAAATATTCAGGAGTAAGCAATGTGTTTAAACTCAATTGACATTTTAAAAGAGACATAGATAACCTATCCAGGTTGATAAACACAACTGTGAACTGAGAACCTTATTTTTCATTAAGGCATACAAAATAGACTTTCTTGGTTCTTTGTTAGAACCTGCTGAATCTGTTTGTTTGGATTTTCATTAATGCATAAGAAATAACAAACAAAAAGTCAATATAAAAAGACTCGTTTTTTTTTCTCTCTTATCAAAAAACAAAACAATATAATGATGCGCGGCCTTACTTTGATTACAATGGTTCTCTTTGGTATGAGTCTCTCAAGTGCTACTGTTATTCCAGCTGAAGCTATGGAAAAGCGTTCTCCTGCCATTATAAATGCGCCTAACCGATCATGTCCTTATGGGTACCAAAGTGATGCTTATGGACGTTGCCGTCCAGTCTACGCCAAGCGTTCTCCTGCCGTTATATCTGTACCAGAATTGCCTTGTCCTCCTGGGGAAATGAGAGATCCAAATGGAGTTTGCCGCGTCGTCTATCACAAGCGTACTTTTCAAACGGATGATGATTGATATATGAATTGCATACTTTAAATAAAAGCAACATGGCATGAATAAACATGTGTGTGTGTGTGTCTTGTCCATTTAACTTGGATTAAATTATCAGGTAAAGAACATGTATGCATTATCATTTTAGCCGTTCAATTGGTATAACAGGCTTGGCAAGCTCAAAACTATACATTGTTGATGAAAAGCTTTGAGGGATACGAAACAAGAGAAAACAGATGCATGAAAAGCTTCTTAGTGATATCCTCTCCCCCCTTTTTTTTTGGCAGTTTACAGTAACCAACCAAAAAATATATGTTTGTCCTGACTTTTACTCGAAAGCCAAACTAAACCGAAACAGGTATCAAGAGTTGTATCTAATTATGTAAGGAGTATGCAACTCTATTGTAGAATTCTATAACCATGAATAAACTTTACTACTTTCTAGTGTTTGTATAAAGTCCTTTATTCTGAGTAGCTAATCGTCTGTTTTTTCTTGATTTTTGAATGACATAGATGTTTACATGATCCTTATTATAAAGCAATAGAGGAACTCGTCTTCCTTGACCTGCGCCAGATCACTCTGGCAAATACTCTTAAGGTAGAAAACTATGTTGATACCTTATTTGGAATATTTTATCGCTCTATCTTTATCTGTTCTCGTTTAATAAGGTGCAGAAATTAAGGGTGTTTGATATATTTGATATAGATATAAAATGGAAAAACAAACACTTCCTCCTCTTGCCCTTGTCTTGTCCTTGTCATATGATCTTTTGGCGTCCCTGAATGCTAAAAAATCATAAACTATTATGGCATCAAAAAGTGAAAAGTTTAAACATAAGCATAGAGAATGTCAACTGCTTACAGTGATAAGAAAAGAGATTTACCTTAGCATGTTACATGAAAACATTTTTCTATCGTATGAAAAACGTTTGGAAGACGCCTCAATAACTTTATTGAACACTTACCATTGTCTTGTGAATCTCAACCCTGGAGCGTACGCTTCATTTAAAAATGAGTAAAAGAAACTGTAGCCATTTGGAAAAATTCTTCAAGCCTGTATTGTTATCAGAAAAAAAAAAAGGCTTTTTTCTCCTTTTCATCCAACGCTACTGAACAATATACTGTTAATAACAACCGCAATAAAAAAAAGATCAGAAACGTGTTGTTGGCCATATGGCAGCCAAGTAGTACTTCAAAAAAAACAATGAGTATTCTTTGGCATTATTGATTCAATTTGGAGAAAGTGTACATTTAGCCACAATAATCGATTTTTTCTCTTGAGATTAAGAGATACAGGGCAACTATAGCTCAAAGTCTAGCTATGATAAACCAGCCATGCTACTAGATATTCTTTATCAAGCTGAGCACTCATAAAGTGTTTGCATGCAGATTTTACTTGTAGAAAAAGGTAAGCATACGAACCTACAATTTACATAAAAACCTCAAGGAAAGTGCCAATTTTCGCATGCTTTCATGTCAAGTTATGAGAAGCTTTGTCTAAATACTCTGCTCGAAAGTAAAAAACGGATTGCAATTTTTTGTGGATCAGAAAGAGCATATTTCTTCATGCAAAACATGTATTTCTTTCCATACTTAGAATACATTAAGGACATCCTTTTTTTATCAACTCTTTTCTAAAAGAATACTCTATGTTTGCTGCTTGTCTCCATTTCCACAGGAGTTCTGTAGAAACAAACTTTTGGATAGACCTAAGCATATTGCTATCCTAAGTACGTTACATTTCTTTTCGTTCCAAATTTTTTTTTTGTTGGAGAAACATGCTAATTGCCAATCTCTATGCATGCACATATGACGAAACGATTTGCAGCCCTAAGCGTTATGCAGCGCCGCAAAAAAGGGAATGCATGTATTGATGGGAGCTCTTTTTTTTTACACTGCATTCAATTTTAAGTTTTCTGCATTTGTTTCATGGATACATAAAGACGTTCCAAAAATAAAAATAAAAAAGTATTCCCAATTTGAAACAAAAGTATGCGCGGTCTTACTTTGTTTGCAATGACTGTCTTTGGTATTGGTCTCTTTTCTGCTGCTGCTGCTCCTGCTGAAGAAAGCCATGTTCAAGTGAGCCACAAAGGTTCTGAAGTCCTTCTCGAGCGTCGACAATACCAGCATCACTTTAAGGAATGTGGTGATGCTATGCTGAAAATGGAGAATAATGCAATGTATTGTTCTGATGGCTCTACTCCTGTGGGTCTTCCTGATATACCTTGTAAAGACACAAAAAGAATTTATACTTATCACTATGGCTGTATCAGTAGAGCACATAGTATGTTATACCAAGCGCCAAAGAACATAGCCTATTAGAGAAGTAGGTCTTTTATAATGTAAATATAAGATAAATGAGCACAGGACATACAGATTGGCATGTGTTGAAGATCGAAACTAGAGGGCAACCTCAATTCTGTATCCAGCAGCATCAAAAATCAAGCGTTTGCTTGTAACTGCATAAAGAGGCTGTTATTGGGCTTTGGTGAAGTGTTGAATGTTGGAGATTTCTGCTTTCTGAGTCTACTGATCTAAGCAACACAGCAACTTTGCTGCTAAAATATTGAGCAAATGACAAAGACGTTTACAAGGTTTTTTGTTCATATCTCATCGTTTCCATAGTACAGTTAGCAAACAAGCACATTTGACAAAAACTAACGCCTTTGACGCACATTTTGAGTATTTAAGTTTGTCGACACCTCTATTTTTTGTCTTGTAGCGTCAAAAAGAAGATCTTTTTTTAAAATGTGTTTATTGATTGAGCCGCGTACACTAAGAGTAATAGTCAAAGTGAAGAGGCGGGTGCAATTAAAATGAAAGTTAATAAAATAAAACGAAATATACTAGACAAAATAAAACAAACTAAAATAAAATAGATAGATAGAAAAAAAAAAGTTACATGATTGAATGGCATTGATCCTCTTCAATAGTCTGACGAATATTGAATCGGATGCTTGCTAATATGGCCGTGGGTACAGTGGGGGTCTTGTCAAAGATAAATCTCATATGAGCAAGCCAGATTTGTGAAAGAGTAATTATGACAAAAAGAAAATCAAAAAGTTGTCAACTTGAGTATTTCCATGAGTAGTACCCTTTAGATTAGAGCGATTTTTAGCCATTTTTTACAAGTCGCTTTTTTTAGTGCAAATCAACTCCAAAGGTATCATGGGTGTTAGTAAACATGGTTTGAAGACTCTTATTGCATTTATGCGCGTATAAATAAGCTCCATATCACCTTCATATGCTCAAGAAAAAGAACAAGCTTTGCATTGATTGTTGTCTTTTTTCATTGTCAAGGCATTTAATTGCCTAGTATCTTTATTACCCAAGTAAGCATAATACTATCGAATTGGTTCTTTGAATAAATCATCCTATGGAAGGCTCACCTGCTCTACCTAAATCAAAGAAAGGAATGTTTGCTTATGAAAAAATGTCAAAGCATTATAAAATTGCATGATGTGTGATATATGAAGGCAGTCTTTAACGCACACATTAAACATAGCATAAACTACCCTATAGGTTATAAATCCAACTTTATAGACTCCTTTTTTTACATTCAACTCAAAAGACAAAATGTCATTTGCATGATCTAATGAAATCAGTAAGATATGGTCTAGAAAAAAAAGGCCCCTCCCCTAAACATCATCTATAAGCCTAATCTAGATCGTTTCTGTGCTGTTCATACACGTCTTTCAGATCATTTGTTTGGCTAATGTCTCTGCTTTGACTATTATGTCCATTAGAATTCATATGTATATTATCTGTTTTTGGTTTTGCTTATCCGCTTTATTTATTTCTCTGTGCGTTTTGAGAGAGGCATTCTGTACTAACATTTATTTGTTTTCTTGTTTGTTCGTTTTGAAGTAATAAATCGCATCTTTTGTTCGTTCTTTGGCACATTTTTTTTTTTTTTTTTGGTTTGTAAATGCAAAAACCAACAAGTATCTACAAGTATCTACAAGTAGGTTTATGAAAATTAATCTAGCAAACTTGAACGTAAAGCTGGCTTTTCCGTCATAAATCGATGCGCAACAAGCGATTTTATGATAAATCTGATAAGGAAGCAATGCAAATACGTTACCTATCAAGCTCAAAAAGGATTATCCATGTAAATTTAGGTTTATCTGAGTCTTGTAGTCAAGCAAAAAACCATGTTGTTTAATCATCCAAAGCAACAATTGTACTTGTTGAAAAGATAGGTTTTGGTGAAACAAATGGTTTTTTTTTTCGGGAAATCACATCACAGAAGCATGTTGTACAACGAAAAAATAGCCTAACAATGATCATCGTCGCATTCATTAGAGCAGAATAGAATAGATTCGCAGCTTATAGAATGTGTTTTATATATCCATTGTTATTCAAAATCTATAAAAGAATTCTTTCGTTCAGGCTAATTTTTACCTACCAATCTTTGATCTAGCCGCAGGCCTTTATTTGCGTGTAACACTGATTACATATGACTGGTTTCCAACATTTCCATTTTTTTTTTCGTTCTTTTCTTTTTCTTTTTCATCCTAAATTATATGAATGACATTGATAGCTTGTTTCAAGAACAGCAGGACTTGGAGGACGAGATTGACTTGAAATTCATGTTGATCCAAATAGGCATCACTTTGGGATTTATTATTACTGCTATCTCCTTTTTTAGCTGTCTAAGACCGAGATTTCCTATTATTTATTCACCTAAAACAGCACTCTCAAAGACCGAGTAAGCATGACTAATAAGTCATACTAGTATCTCATACGTGTATGTAGTAATCGACGACCTATGCCACTGGGCGCTGGCTGGTTCGATTGGATCAAGCCTGTCATTAAAATCAAAGACAATACATTATTAGAAACCATTGGGTTTGATGGATTTGTGTTTATTTATTTTACAAGAACACTTCGGCGTTTAGTGATTGTCATCACTGGTTTTTCGATGACTGTCTTTCTTCCTATCAATATCATCGCTGCTTACAACACAGAGTGAGTTTGTACAACATATCCTATGTAGTTAACCTTCATAAGTTTTGGTCATTGGCCACCTAATCCAGGACTCAATTTCATGTCTATTTCAGCCATGAATTATGAATACGGCAAAAAAAGTCATTTAGCCAATTTACATTGGTATTGGTCACCTACCATAGCCACTTGTATATTTACGGGTATTGTGCTGATTGAAATGATTCGATCTTCAGAAACTTTGATTCAATGTCGAAATAGATATATAGCACGATGTCAAAAAACACCTTTAGACCCAGATCAGGAGCTTATGTCAAGAACATTGCTTGTTCAATGCGACACTCTTATCTCATCACAGATAAATACAAAGAAACAACAGCACTTAATTGTGCCTCATGCAGCTATGAAACAATGCGTGGATAGCATTGCACCTTGTCAACATGCTTTGGTCGGAAAATACAACCCTAAACTATACGATCTTATTAAAGAATACAACCATATTGCTCAATCTCTGGAAAAGAACCTCTATGACTATCTCACTCAATTAAGCCAAGGTAAATAGGAAGCACGCAGTATTAGCCTTACGGACATGCGAGTAGATTCACATGCGAAAAGACCCGTTGTGCGTCTTAATTGGAAGTTGACAGCAGATGCAATTGATCATTATACAGAAAAAGCCGTTGCTTTAGACGCACTCATCAAGCGAAACAGAATGCGATTGCAAAACTGTCATTATGGCTGGGCCATTTATCCTACTCGATCTGCTGCTTATTCAGCCTATCGCTCACTACAAAAACATAATTCTATACGTGTTCAATTTGTACCTCAACCACAAGATATTATCTGGTCAAATATGAACATTGATCCTCATCAACGACAACTCAAACGTTGGTTTGGACATGGCTTGTTTTCCTCGATTGTGTCTATCTGGGCTATTCCTATTGCAGCACTGGCTGTCTGTTCCAACTTGATCAATTTCATTCGCTTGTTTCCTCAATCCAAAAAGAAGATTGATGATTGTCAATTAGCTATGGGTCTCTTTCAATCGTATTTTACACCTTGTCTCATGGTCGTATTTCATGTTGGTCTGCCTCGTATCATGAGCTATATTTCTCGACAACAAGCTTATAAGACAGAGACGATGGTAGAGCGTAAAACTCTCGGTAAACTCTATTTGTTCTTTATTGTGAACAATATGATCATTTTCACCTTGGTCAATATGATGATTGGTATCGCAGGTCAGATTGCTGCTTTGATGGTCTTAGGTAGTTCTCAAAAATACTCGGATTATTTAATGCAGATTGCCAAAAACATGACAGATGTATCTACCTTTTGGATTAACTATGTCTGTATACGATCAGCAGGAGCCTTGTTTGATTTGTTGCAATTGCCTTCGTTGTATGCGTTGCTCAAGAAGAGGAAACTAGAATCACCACCCGTATTTTGTTTTGCTAAAAACTATAGTCTTGTCCTCTCGTTTTTTACGGCTACTTTGGCGTTTTCTGTGGCATCACCTATTGTACTTCCTTTTGGCTTGTTGTATTTCTGTTTGGCCACTACCACTTTTAAATACAAGATGACATACATTTATGTGACCAAGACAGAGACAGGAGGTTTGACTTGGCCTTTATTGTATCGTATTGTGATACTGTCCTTGCTTGTATTTCAAATCATTATGATCTTGATCCTTAGTTTAATGGAAGGTAAAGATCAACTCTATGGGCTGATTCCATTGCCCTTTGTCACATTGGTAGTGGGTGCTCTGTATATTTGTCGATTATATCGTAAGATGGATATCAAGACATGGACTTGTGCTTCTCAGCCTATTCAAGATGAAGTGGCTCTGTTAAATACTGTGTATGCTGATCCTAGTCTATCTCAACCTCTTATTAAACCTAGTATACCAAAGCATCTTGAACACCTTGTTCAACAAGTGTATCGACATCATGCACAATATGACAAAATCATCAAGACATTGTTTACTCCACCTCTTCCCAAAAGTACTGCCCAAAAAGAGCCACAAGAAGAGTCAGAAGAACTGATTATTATACCCACATCCCCTTCATCCGAACAAGTGAATGTTTTGTCTTCTGTTGATCATTATCATGAAAAGACAGAGAAAGCTATACAACCCTATCCTCATGAACCAAGTACTAGTTATCATGATCCTAACGTATTCTATACACCTATTGAACCCTCTGCCCCCATACTCGAACATATCGTTCCTCCTCCTACTTATACAGATGTAGTCATTACACCTCGTATCAATCAAATTCAAACCATGCCTCAACAAAAGAGACGCCATTCTGCATAATACCATGTTATACCCCCTTCACTTTAAAAATCATTATTTTATTCTTGTTTAAGACGTTTAACAAAATATTCATCATCTTCTTCATCTTCAGACTCTTCTTCATTGTCTTGATATAATACAGAAGATTGGGCTTTTAAAGAGTGTACAAGATCAAACGATTTTTTTCTAAGTGAAGCCGAGGCTTCTTCATTCGTTTGAATTTGATGTTGTATCAACACACGCTCCAGAAACAAAATAGCTGGATCTGCATACACGGACCGAGCATGGCGTAAAATCCGCCGCGTTCGGATCAAATTGATTCGACAGACTGTCCGAATATCTGGATTAGATGTGCTTTGTTCAATCAAGAGATAGAGATGCAGTGTAAGTGTGACACCGTAGACAGGGCTATGATGACATCCAATCGCATCTTGTGCAGTCAATGCTTCCAAAATAAGGGTATATTTGTTGAGTGTCTCTAAACAATGCACAATGCAATAGAATTCCAATGAAGGGTTGTATTCGGTAATAAAGGTAATTTGGGTAGGATGAGAACGTATAAAAGGTGAAGGTGAAGGTGAAGGTGTACTGTCATTCAATCGAATAATACGTTGATAGATATCTTCCAGATTAGCATATCGAAATCCTTCTTGCTCTGCCATAAAGGACTCGAAATACCTTTTGGGTAAAAAGGGTAGTAGAGACACAATATGTGTATGACAATAGAGTTCATGCAGTAATAATGACTCAATATCGGATTTACTACTCCACGATGGATTAGGTTCATGCCATGTCAGCTGAAATGTATCTGGGGTATTTAAATAGGTTTGGAATAGTTTTTGATCCAAGCCTACGGCTAATGCTTTGGGTGATTTGATTGAGATCAAATGGATTGATTTGAACAAGTCAAGTTTACGAATCATGATAATACGACAATACTGACTAAAGAATTCAATTCGTCTCGGGCGCTGTTCTCCAGGTAAGGTTTGTGGGAAATCAACATGCCAATTCGTTACATCAATAAGCCCTGTTTTGCCGCTTGTATTGTGTTCTGCATAATAATCTGCACAGAGTAACATCCATGCCAGTCGTCTTAGTTTCTCTTTTTGGTCTGATTCTTTATCATGTTGTGTATCCAGTTGATGAAGATCCATGGCCAATGCCATACGAATAGCCATGGTTAATAAGGGAGAAGGTATTCGTTGCGGTGAAAATAGATGCATATGGCCCTGAGGAAACAAAGACAATAGAAACATAGACTGTACTACAGAGACATGGTGCACATCAAATAATTCCTCTAATAATTGACGTGCTTGTGTATGATAGTGATGCATTAGTGCACTGGCTGCTGTCATATCCCCTCGACGGTGAATAGTACCATGGCGTATCATCAATGCTGAAATACTCAAAATCAACAATGCTTCTACACGATGTTCTTTGACAGCATCAGGCTGAGACACAATCATTTCTGTATTGGCCAAGACACTAGGTATATCTAAAAAGAATCCAAACCCACATTCAATAAAATTTTGCACACAATACCGCAACATTTGCATTGCACTGTACAGTTGTAGTGGATCTGACCGAGGTATAGTCGTGATTTGAGATAGTTGAAGCACAGGATAAATAATGGCTCTAAACAGATCCATGTCGAATGAATGGGCTGGATTGAGTTTTCTTCTTTGAAAACGCGGTGGAGGTGGGTTGACATTGATTCTAATCAATTCAAGTACTTTTTCAAGCCCTGATATTGTCAAAATACTGGTGTTTAAGGTCATCATAGTCGGTGTCAAGTTGAGTTGCCAAGTTACAGATTCATTAGTGTCGTGTGGTATGTCGTCGTTTGATAGTTGATCACAAAAAGTTTCGTCAGCGTGTTTTAGAATCTGGAGTGCATCTTTGAGGAACTGGTCGATCAAGACAGAGTTGAACCCATTTTCCTTTTTTGAGAACGATAGTGGTAGAAAGGGTTCTTGAGTTATCATAGTCGAAGAAAGAAAAAAAAAGCCTCCCCCCTTCACAATAAGTATACGGCTTCTCTTCTTTAGAGTTTAAACTCAGTTCCAAATGTCAATGCTCAACTATTCAAGATCATCTTCCTTTCGTCAAGAACTTTTTAGTACGTTAGTCTAGTCACTCTTGTTAGTGCTCCAGATTCTATAGCCCCTTGTGGGAGTATATCTCTTAGGTATCAACAATCGTGTCAAGTGCCAAGTAATTGAAGACATTTTGGAATGGTGTCTTTTACTTGTGTTGGCATTGCCATCTGTAGCATTGAACAAGACAAGATATAAAGAGTACTGACTCTAAGGAATAATGAACGAAGAATTTAATATATTCTTTTTAGGAAAGATTAAGGAGCAGCACAGATGAGTGCTTACGAACAGGGACACAGCCTTAAAAAAGACGATATACTGTGCCTTCTAGATAACCATCGGAGTCTATATCAGACAATTGACGCTTGTGAAGAGCTTCAGAGCCTTCATAGTCTGCTTGAGCAGAGCTACCTTCAGCAGGAGTAAGCAAAAGCGGAAGGGAAACCAATACCAAAGACAGCCATTGCAAGCAAAGTAAGACCACGCATATTTCTAATCTAAAATGAGAATAACGATAATGTTCTTTTCTACTTTTGAATGCATTTATGTAAATAATATGGATTGAAGCTACATCCAGTGTAAAGGAGAAACGATGTTCGTTAGAACTTACCAGTGCTCCTTTCTCTCTACAGCTTTGTATACCACTTAGATCTAGAAGTCGTTTTATGATATTTACTGATCAGTGGTACTTTTTTTTGGGAGAAACAAAGATGGTAGTTTCAATCTTCAACACTTGCCAATCTGTATGTCCTGTGCTCATTTATCTCATATTTACATTATAAAAGACCTATTTTTCTAATAGGCTATGTTCTTTGGCGCTTGGTATAACATACTATGTGCTCTACTGATACAGCCATAGTGATAAGTATAAATTCTTTTTGTGTCTTTACAAGGTATATCAGGAAGACCCACAGGAGTAGAGCCATCAGAACAATATATTATGCTTATCAAATCAATTCAATTACGTTTATTTAGTGATTTGATTTTACAATGTTATTGTAGACACACTAGAAAGAAAACTGTTGTTCATTCTTTTATATATGAATTTTGGGAAAGCGATAGGAGTCTATTACAGAAGAAATGGCAGATTGTCCTTGTATCTGACTTAGTAGAAGAGAGACATGTCGATCTGTTATATAAAGACATATCCCGCAAAGCATCTTAAATAATCATTAGCAATCTATAAAGTGACACGTATTGAAAAGCTGTTCTTCATAAAAAAAACAGCAGTTTAATGTTTCTTTTGATCGAAACCTTGTCAGCGAAAACACAAGTGTCTCGATATGACAGCAAGCCGCTTTTTCATGCAAGCCTGGGCTTTTTTGCTTCTAGTATTTGTTTCATATAAATTTAGCTTGCATATAAACCTTTTAAAATTCTTTAGCGTAACAAATAGCATTTAGATACTTAAATGGTTCGCTAGCATTTGTTGATTTTAACTTTGCCGGTCTTGATTGTCTTGTTTCTCTCAGTTTCAGGGGGAGGGGGATGTAGTCAGAATAATAACTAGATGTGCGCTCTTATGTCTTATTCTAATAAACACTACTGAAAAGATTTTTATTTATAAAGTTTACTCACAAATAGCTTCGTATTATATAACTAATAATACTCTTCTGAACCTTTCTTTACTATGTATGCATGACTGAGCAACTGTAGATGAAACGGGATGAAAGAAAAAGTCTTGCTACTAAGAGCAACATAGTGATACAGACTTATGCTAGATTATTGTAGTTATTTAGTTATCACTAAATTAAGCATGTAAATATCACTGCACCTCTAAAAATTAGCCAATATGTATTACAAACAAATCCTTGTCGTTCTTTTAGAACACTTGTTATGCATCTTGATACATCTTTTATCACAGTAGACAATTGACATTCTTATTTCAAATGCTTTAAAGAAAAAAGTGTGTTAAAAAATGGTAGTCATCCATCATCAAAAGAAATATGTCATCATGATAGGATCTGGACGAGGGATCGCATGAACAAAGAAATGTAATATGGAAGCATTTCGTCTCATTAAAGCCCCTCTCTCTTCCCCTAATTTAATTCATCTGTTTTATTCGACATGTTGAATATGTAGTTTATGCTAACCCTAATTTTGATGGCAAACTTGATACCGCTTCTTCTAGGCTTTGAATATGAAACTGTTTTGTATAGAAATACTTGTATTTTTGTAACACTTGCGTTACACAATCACATCATGCATGCTTATTTTTGTCTTTCGAAAGCCTTTTCCTTGCTTTTAACAGCTGTTTAGAAACAATCCTTTCTGTGTTTTTTTCAACTATGGTTTTATCATAAAAAAAAGTATGAGAATGTTTTATTCTATGAATAATGCGAATGTTAAAAATATATAATGAATCTTATTAAATAGCAACAAGTAAACCAAACAAGGCAGCCACAAAGAGGGGACCGTTCAAATAATGTGTGGTAGCATCTGACTTGGCTGTAGAAGAAGCACCAGGAATCACACCAGAACCAGTAGCCGTGCTGGCATTTTGGTTCACACTGGCATCAAAACTAGGGTACGTGATACTTTGCTCGAGGTAAGGATGAGCAATGTTTTGACAGGTGGCGACATCCACAACATGTTTGTAGTTCTTTTTAATCTCAGGGTAATGGTTGACAAAGAAGTCCATGGTCATGTTGTTGATTTCGTGAGAGAGGACAATGTTACCAGAGTTTTGGAAGGTACCGTTGCTGCCCATCTTGATAAAGTCTTGATATCTTTGGTTGACAGTATCGGCAGTAATGCCGTTGCTACCAGCAGCCTAGAGGTCGTCTTAGGATAAGCCTCATTGATCACTTGTTACTTACCCAGTCATCTGTATCCAAGTTCCAAAGAACAGCCGTCATATTGAGTTGAGTAGCAATCCAACGAACACGATCATCCAAATCACCAAGGGCCTATACAGAAATAAGTATACATACAAATGACTCTATGTATTGACTTACAGGACGCCAATGTAAAGGAGTCACACCAGTAACGTATTTCACAGCCTTTGCCGTGTAGTAAAGTTCAGCAAGCACTTCTTGGTTTGTCAAAGTTGTCATCATCTTATGAGACCAAGTGTGACCACAAAGATGGTGGCCGTCTTTAAGACCACGAAGAGCGCCATAAGGCCAGTTAAGCACATTCGAACCAATATAAAACATAGAAGCTCTTTGATTGTTGGATTGAAGATAATCATAAAATGCATTATGAGAACAATTAGGTCCATCATCAAAAGTCTATGGATTAAGGAGTGAGTTACTTTTTTTTTTTTAGGGAGTAGAATCAATTAACTTACAAGACCCCATGTTTGTGGTTCAGGACAAGCATAGATATCAGGATTGATATCTTGTCTCTTGGGCTTCACACATTGAGTAGCAGACCACCAACAGTCAGGATCATTGGCCGTATCATAGCCGACCAAGTTAAGACCTCCTTGAGGCGTAAGAGAACGAACAGGAGCAGAAGGAGCCTTGGACCAGTCAATCGAGTTATAGACCTTTTGGAATTCTTCAGACGTGTTCATGTTGTTACTGGTAGCAATGTCCCAGATAGTAGGCCATTGCGTCTTGTCAATCGTGAAATTGGATTGATAGTATTGACATTCGGTTGCAATGTCATGAGAAGTGGTTTGTGGTATATTAGGGATGCTAATGTGAGTGGGATCCGTCTTGGTTGGAAATTGAGACATATCAACAGCAGCCAAAACAGCTGTGCTTGCCATAGAAATCAAAAATGCCTTTAACATGATGTACAGAATGAAAGAAAGAAAGAAAGAAAGAAAAAAGGAAAAAGAGGAAACCTTTGCTATAAATATTTTTTTTAGAAGGGAGAAGATGCTGTGGTTGATAGGGGATCGACTTAACTTTAAATGAAAATGTTCTTTCCCAAACAAAGTAATTGAATTATTTAAATTTATGGTAACTAATGCTGGACTTAAAATCCAATGAATAATGGGGCTTAAATCAGTTACTATATTTTGTTTGCTAATTATAGATAACACTTTTTTTTATGAAAAAAAAAGCCCTTGCATATATAATATATATATATATCGTTTTGCATATATTTATATTGAGTTAAGTAGTAATAAAATACGCTCCACTTTTTAAGGTACGTTTGAATAAACTAGATCCTTTGAAGCCACTATTTATGTTCTAGATGCTTGTAATACACAGGCTAAAAAGTTCGGGAACATATGCATCAAAATGATCTTCGCTCTTATTTTAAAAGACAGCCATTTTTTCTTTAGAATGATATCATGTTATTTATAGTGGCAAATAACACTTCATAGTTTTATCCAAAACCTGTCTAATCATGAAAGAAAAAAGAGGGAGATTTTTAACAATAAGACAACATGATAGAGACAAGAAAAGCACGGCTCCTTAGTTTATTTTCATATAAGTTGGCTGAAAATGTATTCAGTATTGACTAAAAATAGTCAACAAGTTTAGAACAAGCATTAATAATTTCTTTTTTTAATGAATCCAGGTTCATAGTTTATCCGGATCATATCACTATATGCTGTCAATGCTGTAGAGGAATGAAACAAATTAAGGAGGGATAATTCTTTTGTTGTATACAAAAAAAATATTAAACCAAAAAAAAAAAAAGATAGGATAATCAAGCTTTGTTGTGGTATGAATGCTCTATCCAACAAACTTGTTTGACATTCTTGTGTATATATAAAGCCTTTATTCAATTATCATGGTAGTCTTTTTTTTATTTTATTTTATATATATATATGTATACAAAACAAACGGTAATGTGCCATACTATATTCAGGTACTAGGAATATTCACTTATAGCTTGTCTTTAAACAAGATATTTTTTATTCACTAGTTTCTTAAGGATGAAATCAGACACAAACAATCCAAGACAGAAAGAGCATTGTGTTAAAAAGCAAGATGAACCACTTAAAAAAAAAGACGCTCACATCTCACCAAGAAATACAAACGAACACCTTTTTCTACAGAGATGCTTGAAAAAAAAAAAAAAGTTAAACAGAATGGCAAAAAGGGGTGACGTCGAAAAAAAAAAACTTCTTTCCCCCGCCTAAGAATATTGGGTGATTGTTTTACCAATCATACTTGTTCCCTTCCTTCCTTCTTTTCTTCTTATTCACTCCCCACTCTCATGGCTTCTTTAGCTCGTACTTCTACTCTTCGTCTTGCTCGTGGCTATGCTCCTGCCATGAAGCAATTCATTGGTCTCCATAAGCAAGAAGAACCAGGTAACTAAGGCAAGGCACAGTCACCACCCAAACTAATATCAGAGTAGCTCAAGTTCGTCATCACAGCACCACCAATGTGCCTGATTTCTCTAAATACAAAAAGACCAGAGCCAGTGGTGAAGCTAGTCGTAACTTTGCTTACATGATGATTGGTACTACAGGTTTGTTGTCTGCTGCTGGTGCTCAAGCTACCGTCAGTGACTTTTTAGCCAACATGTCTGCTTCTGCTGATGTGTTGGCTTTGGCTAAGGCTGAAGTGGACATGGCCTCTATTCCTGAAGGCAAGAATGTCACTATCAAGTGGAGAGGAAAGCCTGTCTTTATTCGTCACCGTACTCAAGCTGAAATTGCTGAAGCTAATGAAGTCAACATTACTGAATTGCGTGATCCTCAACAAGATTCTGAAAGAGTCAAGGATCCTAGCTGGCTTGTTATGTTGGGTGTCTGTACTCACTTGTAAGTTGGTTCAATACTAGTGGCATGAGATTGATTTCAAAAATTAGGGGTTGTGTGCCTATTGGTGAAGCTGGTGATTTCGGTGGTTGGTATTGTCCTTGCCATGGTTCTCACTATGATATCTCTGGTCGTATTCGTAAGGGTCCTGCTCCTCTCAACCTTGAAGTTCCCGGTAAGTTTCATGATCTCGATGGCGTAGCATAGAAACTGATTTTCTGAAACCTATAGAATACAGCTTTAGCGATGATAAACTCATCATTGGTTAGACAACTTTTAATAATAAAACATGATTTGAGACAACGCCTTAGATATTTTTTTTTTCTTCTTTTTATTCATTCTTACATTCATGTCTACATTGGGCACTGCACCAAGACCCTTTTTAAAGACGACACAAGCGTATCGCATCCTCACCAAAGTTCAGAACGTTTCTGCTCTTGCCTTTTCGACCTTCACTGCGATTCACGGCACTCAAATCTTGGCGGCTAATCTAGGTGGTGCTTCATTAGCCAACCACTTGATTTTGTTAGGTAGACCGTTTTACCAAGACGAGCACTTGGAAGGCGTGTTAGTCACAGGTGCTGCTACCGTTCATGTGCTTGCTGGTCTTGGCAAATGGGGCATACGTACCTATTGGGATCCATCCCGTGTCGAAACTCATCGTCTTCGATACGCAGGGTACGCACTTATCCCCTTGGTCGGCCTGCATTATTACCTTGTGCGTATGCTACCCATAGCTTATTATGGCGATTCCTCCTTTATTGATTTTGGTTATGTGGCATGGGGATTGCAGAACAAGCCTGCCTTGACCTACGGTCTTCATACAGCATTGATCCTTACCAGTTGTTACCATCTTGTCGGTGGTCTCAAGACGATCTTTCGTACCAAGCAAAAAAAAGTAACCCGTGTGCCTATGCATGGCCATAACATTGATCAAACCCCTCACTCTATCTCATCCATCATCACCACCACACTCAGTCTCGCTTTGATCTCTGGCATGATCATCATTGCCCGCGATACAACCAAAATACCACTCCGTCTTGATTTTGCAAACATGTATTTTTATTAAATAATAAAGAAAAAAAAAGCTTTTTTTTTTTATTGAGCCATCATGGCTTCTAATCCCATACCACCTTCCATTTGTTCCTTGGCAAACATTTCAAAGTATTGGAAAATAATGGTCACACACAACAAAATACCTGTGCCAGAACCAATGGCGCCGACCATATCAGCAATCACAGACACAGCACCTAAACAAGCACCACCAAAGGAAGCAGCAACAGGAATCACACGCTTGAGTTCTTTGTACATGGAAGTATCGCGGTATCCGGCAATCACGAGTTGTTGGTCCTTGAGTTGACGAGCGACATCGCGTGGAGAAGCACCTGAGATTTCGATCCATGTCTTGCTCAATAAGGCACAAGTGGTCAACATCAGACCGACATAGACCACGGTATGAATAGGGTCTAAAAGGGCGGCTGTCAAACTACGAGGAGCAGACAAGTAGTAAGCAATACCACCCACAGCGTTCAATTGAGAAGTACCGTCCAAAGCTTCCCAGGTACCTAACAAACGCACCAAGAAGTTATCAGTGAATCGCTTATACAGCATTTGAGAGATCATGAAGATATTAGAGGTCAAGGTCGATTGAAGCATGATGGGCATGTTGGATGTATAGAACAACTTGATGGGATAAGAACCACGTTGGCCACGAAGACGGTTGGACTTGACAGGCAATTCAACACGGAAACCTTGAAGGTAAATGACCAACAAGAAAATAGACAGTGTGGACAACAAACTCATGACGTTGGGCATGTTGGCACGGTAAAAGGCTTCTTTTAAAGCACGGGTCTTGTCTTTACGTGTCATGAGTAAATGAACCAAGGCAATCAAGGCACCTTCGAATTCATCGCCACGACCACTGTCCATGGTGGTAGGGGAAAGAGCCTTCCAGAAGATAGTTTCACAGATATTGGTAGCAATAAACAAGTTGATGCCTGAACCAAGACCATAGCCCTTTTGTAATAATTCGTCCAATAACATAGTGATCAATGAAGCTACGACCAGCTGAATAATCAAAATCAAGCAGACACCAGCACCAATATCACTAGGATTACCGTAAAGACCTGTCAAGACAGACACGGTAGCATGACCAAAAGCAATAATCATAGCAAACACTAGAGTAACCATCAGTATGTGTTTTCTTTAGACTATCACTTACATTTTTGTGCACCACTGAATAAAGCTCTGTCTTCTTTCAAACTATAGTCGACTTCAATGATATTGGCACCAGACAAGAGTTGCATAATCATGCCTGAAGTCACAATGGGTGTAATACCTAGTTCCATCAATGTACCACGATTAGAAGCAAGGATGACTCTCATCCAAAAGAGAGGATCTGCTGAATCAGAAGACATGATACCATATAAAGGTACTTGAGACATGACCAAGAAAATGAATAGTGTCACTGCAGTCCACATTACTTTTTGATTAAAAGGTACCTGGCTGAAGCATCAATCACACTGTTATGAAGATAGTGGCAACTTACTTTGCGATCAGGCGTGGCGATTTCTGGAAGAATAGCCATGAATGGCTGAACCAGATGTAATATCCTGACTGTGATATCTTAGCTTTGTTTGATTATGTATTCTCTCTACTTACAACCCATGCTATATACTATGTGTTTTTAAAAGAAAAGAAAAAAGAGAGAAAAGAAGAAAGAATCATTCTTAAAGTGTGTGTGTGTATGTGTCTATATAAATATGACAACCCTGAGTTTATTAAGATCACTTATAATCATCCAATCAGCATTTACCACCTTGAGTCGGTGTTTTATTTTCTTTTCGAATGATAAAAGGACAAGAATTCGCGTTTGTCAGTCAACGCGAGATTAGTCTTTCTTAGTTTGGCGAGATGACCAAGGGACGTCGTGAGGGCATCACTTAATTCACCCAAGGGTTCAAATGAAGCCAATTGTTTTACGATCAATGTGTTATGAAACTATCGTCATGAGTTATTTATACGCAACATCATCATGTACCTGAGAACAAAGACGAAACAAGTGCATCAAGAGACTGCCTACAGTGAATGTAGGCGACATGGTACCATACTCATATCTAACCTGTTAATGCAACACACAACCATTGTCTCACTCACTTAAAAGCCATGATATGATATCGACTGGCATCGATGTGGCAGTCTGTAAAGACAGGTGCAAACTTGAGTAAAGCACGGCCATTGGTCGTGGTGCCTTCAGGAAATACAACGACAGGACCCCACTTGTGTTGTTTGGCCTTGTTTGCTAGTTCTTCCAGTGTATATAATCCATGGCCACTCGATGCAGGTGATGTATGGGTCAATTGAATGGCTTCCCATAAAGAAATCATGCGCACCTTGTTTGTGTCGGTATAGATCTGTGTAAATACAGGATTGAATCTAGTTCCAACAATCAATGCTTTACCCATACCTATCTCTCTTCTACTTTACCTGTAGGCAAGATAGAGGATATCTACATAAGAAGTCCAATTGGCAATGATCACATCACCATGATGTACATGAGGTGATACTCCATGAGTTCGACTAATGCCCATCAGTTCATGTTATCCCATAACACGTTACCTTTTACGAATAGACACCGTTTCTTTCTTAATATAAAAGAACCCCATTAGGAACAAGATAAGTCGAATTAAAAGTGTCGAGTAAAGTGTGTGCCATGCTCGTTTCAAGGGACCAAGCGGCGTCTGCTATTTAGTCTTTTGTTGTTCATGTGTTTACTTACCAGCAACACACTCAATCCATTCAACAAGACATACACAACAGACACAAGACTGATCAAGATGAGTTTTATTGAACCTTGAAGAGGTCCAACTGTCCAATGAACAACATTGGACAGAGTGACAAGCAAACTTGCATCTGTTCGAGGAGGCTAAATGACATTTAGTTGGACATATTCATCTCTCATCCACATTACCACAGGAGGAAGAAAGGGTTGAATACCCGTACTTGCATCCTACTCAACATATTAATTCATGATGTTTCTTTCTCATCATCTTTACTCTCCAACGTGAATACTTTTCCATAATCAAAATAAAAAAAAAGGTATCGCTGCTGGGTTTTATTTTTTAAAAGGGGGGGTATAAACATTAATTTTTTTTGTCTGCAAGTATCTTGAAATCATCTGTCTTGATAAACACACCACGCTGAGGAAATGTCTGAAAATACCGTTTACCATCCACAGAACCATCATTATTACCCACTAATGTCACATAAGAATACCATTAAATAATAGTTAGGTTACTTACATCTTGACTCCAATTCAACACCTACCCAAGTGCCTTTAGCAAATTCAACAGGGCCAATATACTTGATGGTACCCAAGGTAGGCAAAGGTCTTCTTAATAACTCTACTTTTTGTCCTACAGCAGGCATGATCTCGTCATCACTACTATCACTGGTACTGTACCCCAAACTCCATCTGGATCGACCGGGTGACTTACTACGCTTGTTTTTCTTGACAGCCACTCTCTTTTGAGGTCGAATGCGACTCGGTGTCGTAGGCAATGAGAACCGAAGACGTGTCTGTCGAGGCTCCATGGGTCTGAGATCCAAAGCCAATAATTCGTCTGTCAAGTCATCACTGGTATGGCGTCGAAATGAACGAAATGTACTGTTGCGTCGTTGAAGCGAGACATCTTCTGTATCTGAATGAGATTGACTTGTCGTCATGGCATAAGGGCGTACATGAGCTTGTGTATCGTCTTGTGTCTGAAGTGGGAAAGAAAGTCGTTTGACCCCATCTTCTTTTTTTGCCTTACGTGGTTTAAAGCTAAAGATGGTCGAGATATCATTTTCCAGAGGTTTTGTCAGTGTACGCATAGGCACATTGATATCTATTGGTGTTCATTCCAGATCCAGTATCCATTTGTAGAGCAACTTACCTTCAGAAATCATCCGTAAATAGTCTTTTTCAATTGTTGCAAATCCATGTTCTGCCTTGACAGACATCCATCGTTTAGCCAGGTATTGAGCACATTTGAGACGGGCATCCATCAAGACACCATCCACAGCCACATTGCGTACCATCTCTTGTCGATTACCTAAATCGCGTACAATCCCCTGATACAGAATAGCAGCATTCCCATCATGTATGCCTTCATTCAACACATGTTGCAGCACAAAACTCAAGAAATCCACTGAGAATCCAAACCCAATACCATCCACACACGACAATAAAATAGGATATTCCACACAATAATAGTCAAAATGGTTGGCGATCATCTCCACATTGTAATGAAGGAACTGGTTCAGGATCTGAATCACCGGTTGAGACCAGGTAGGGAACGGATCAGCACCACGAAGGTACGAGAGGCACAAGTGAAGTGAGTGCAGGGACCGGACCGAATTGTGTTTGGTCATGTTGGACCATGTCCGTTGCGTGATGTCAGATATAACACTGTCTTCTGTCGGTGTGGTTGGTGTGGGTGTAGCAAAGATGTCTGAAAGTTGGGTCTCTTTGGCCTGGGGTTTCTGCAGTGCACTGACAAGGATCGCAAACGGTTTTTGAGACCAAAGAGGGGCTAATGAGTCCAAAGGATCCGCATAGAGCGCGATCAAGTTCGACCGTAGCTTGGGTACATGTTTCTGATGCTGATCCGCAAACACCAACATGGACGGCAACAAGGCTGCACATTCAGAACACACGCATTTGAATTGATGGCAAAGGACGGCCATCTTGAGCAAGACGGCTTTACAGATCGTGTCTGCATGACCCAAGAAATCAGCTGCTGGAAACACTTTTTGCAGGATACGCAGTTCGTGTTTCTTTTGGTTGAGACGGGTTGGCTGAGCATCCAACAGATCCGGTAAGATCAGTTGGTCTGTATACAAGTAATGAAGGATCACATCGAGTGTGGCGGCACTAAACAAGTCCGATGGCATATGGACAGACGACGTAGAGGCTTCACGAAACTCAGTACAAAAGACCGAATAAAAATAAGGTGATTGACTGGCCAACATGAATCGATGGGCTGGAAAAGACGACACTGGCTGAACATCTTGATAGACAGTAACATCCGTACAGATCTGCTGATCCAACATGCGGCTTAAATCAGCCACCCATTGTTGTTCTGGGTCGCCTTTAGGCAACATATCTACGCCCAACTTGATCTCTAAAGAAGAGATTTCTTGGTGCAGGTTGGATTCGACTTCGGATTGTAGGTTGGAAGAGGCTTCTGAAAGAGAGAGGCCGTGAATCGCAGACGATAAAAGTGAGGTTTCGTTAGGAGGTGGTGTAAATCGAGCGGTGTACCAGAAGCGGAGAAGTTGTCGCAGTGTTGTGTAAGGGATGACAGCGCTAATATCAAACTGTGTTTGGTCCGCAAGTTGAGGTAGATATTTTTGCTGAAATGAGGGTGGTACTCGTACCATCAATAAGGCTAAAACAATATTCAGTAATTTAAAAAGTAATCATACCAACGTACCTTTATGTGCCCATAGTTTTGTATGAGGGTATTTAAAATAAACATCAGCTACATAATCTTGTGCATTTTCTAGTACAGTAAAAAGGGAATGTTCAAGTGTCTTTTTTGGACGTTCAAACATGAAGAAAAAAAAAAAAAAAAGGGAGAAGGAGAGAGAGAAAAGAAAAATAAAATAAAAAAGGTATGGTGTTCTTTCTTTTATAGATGGCCCAGTTACACCAGTGGCGTGTGTGGCCAGTAAAAAGTGATGATGATGCATGTGAATAAGCCGCATTTTTTCATGGTTCACTGCCTCATTTGCCAATATACTCAAAGGATTCGGTTAAATAGGGGCTGTCATGCTGATAGACTATGTGGCGTCACTAGCTGTCATTGTGTAGAGCCAAGAGAGCCAATTTATTAATAGATCATGGCCTGAGTCGAAAGAACAGAATGGCTCCATGTCTCGTCATACAACAAGCCAATAGATATCTCGTATGCTTCAAGCCATGCTTCATTTATGGAGTGAACATCGTTTGACTATTTCACTGACTTTAAAGTCCGTTTATTTTATTTTCTTTTTTCTTTTCTTTCTCTCATTCGTATAGCATGGAAGACACATCAACGACGCGTCAACAAAAGCACCATACAAACAACAGACAACATAGCCCTAAAAAGAGCTTGGAGACAATGATTGGCAAAACGATCAAGATCAAGACAGCTTCTAATGAACAAATAGAAGGCTTCATCTATACATATGACCGTATTACCAACTGTTTAGTGATTGATATCCTTTTTATCCTATTAACCTACTTACTTATAACATGATTGTTCCTTAACCACTAATGTATACATTGTACAACTCATACTAAACAGTCTAATTTTCGTATCATCAAAATATCCTATATCAAAGAAATCATCTCTATCAGTGGAGAAGCCAAAAAGGACTATATGCCCATTCAGCCTATTCCAGTAGACCGCCTAAAGCACCGTGAATCAGAAACAGTCAAAGAATTTAAACACCAAGTCTCCAAGATTGGTGTAGGCGTCACAAAAGAAGCACAAGATATATTTAATGCATTAAGCAAAACGTAAGCCAATCGATACACTCAAGTATACTGATGTATTCTAGATTACCATGTCGATGGTCAAAAGATACCATTGTGGTGATGGATGAAATATTGATTTCACCTCCTTATGGTGTAGAAGATTGTAAAGCCAATGCGACATCAGCAGCATTACTTGCTCGAGTTAAAAAAGTGGTAAATAATCCTTTGTATATATGACTATACTCATGCTTCTTCTATCTTAGCTTGAAGGTGAAAGAAAGCGACTTTTAAAATAAATAGTTTTTCACATGATTTCTTTCTTTCTTTTTTCTCTCTTTCTTTCTTTTTCTTTATATGCCTCATTCTTTTTCAAATTGTCCTTTACGCTCTTGTTCTTTACTCATCACACAACATACTTCACAGTCTATCATTACAGCCACAGACGATGTATTGGATAGCTTGGGTTATTCACTGGCTGATCTAAAGGGACATTCGATCCATACACTTCATATCAAACTATCCTCCAATCTAACCACCAACATACCTGAATGTACACTTCAACATGCTAATGGAAATGCACTTGTATTTCAAGTCTGTGTTCATCAAAACCCTTTAGGATTCAATAGTCTAGATTATTGGTTACTGAGGTTACATACAGATCATGTGGAAACAAACCAGATGCATACAATCACTGTCTTACGGCTAAGTCCTTATGGTACTATTGAGCAGGCAAAACCCTATCAACATCAATGGATAGGTAGACCCATAATGGCCTTTGTTTATCAGGATGATGTACAGCCCTTATGTGCTCATCTATCTCAACTGTATCATAGGCCTGTTGTTGACCCACTCTTGATTCGATGGTCAGCTACCACAGAAGAAAGTCATGGCTGGATGGCATTGGCACTCACATCCACACGTATCAATTCAGCTTTGTATCCAGTGTGTCTGATGAGACCATTACAGATACCATTTGATGAAGAAACAAGTGCGTATCCTTGTTGGGTCACAAAGGCACAGGTCTACTGGACTGAATTCTATCAGTATATCATAGACAACTGGATAGATATGGTATGTTATGTAAAATACATCTTGAAAGAACATACCTCGATGCTTCAGTTAGGGATCAAATAAAGTCACATATCTATACGCGTTTTTCTTTCTTTTTTTTTTTGAATCTTTTCTTTATGGGTGAATTAACAGAACAAGAAAAACTAGAACGTCGTAGACAAAAGCGACAACAACGTATATTACAAGCAGGCGAAAGTCGTTTAAATAAAATCACAGGCACAGCATTTCGTAAGCTTATTTCATGTAGAACCAAGATAACTCATGTCGTTTAAGCCAATCGTGCTTCTCCTACACCCTCTCCTTCTAGTTCATCAAAGCCTGTGCGAAGAGCAAGTGAAGACCCCAGTGATGAATTAGGGGCACCACCACCTGTGATGGACACCATGATGCCACCTATGGCAAGTATGTTTGGACAACCTCCTTTAGGTGATCCTATGGAACAGTTATTCAGTCAACAGGGATTTAATCCCGCCAGTATGTTTGCCAATCTGGCGAATGAACAACCGCCTCCATTGGTGGACACCTCAGCTAAATATTGGAACCTGTTACATTTCGTGATGATGATCTCGCTGGGTGTTTATGCAGTCTACACCGAATGGACAAGGGCTGGATCAGAACGATTGGCTGCTTTATTGTATGACCCTGTTACGCGTTATCCTTCTGTGCATGTGGTAAGTCAATCAAGCAGTCTGATGAGAACTCATGCAATGTAGCCTTTGTTTTGGTATTTTGTGACATTGGAATTAGGCTTACAATCAGCCAGATTATTCTATCATCAAGGCACGATGCCTTCTCAGTCTACATTGGCTCAAATAGCCACTCAATTACCCCATCCGATTGGCACAGTGGCCACTGTGTTTTTACGTTATCGACTGATCTTTGCTTGTCTTGTACAAGATATATGCGTTTTGGTCTTTATTATTGGATTGGCTCAAGTTATTTCGAATGCGATTAACTATTAAACACTTGATCCACAATCACATTGGATTGAGTACGAGGAATAGCAATCTCTTTGGAAGTACCATTGGCTATAATAAAGACAATGGTTAGTGTGTATCCATGAAGATAATATGCCATACCATAATGAATAGAAACAGTAGGCTTCGTAGAAGCATCTAAGGATTTGTTGACCATGTATTCGACATGGGGATTGTTGTATTGAATACGAGGCAAGTTTTCATGTAAAAAGTGTCTAATCAAATCAGACCATGATGTCAATCCCAAACTTACTTTGCTCCTGCACTTTCGTTTTGACCCTTGATGGCCAATGTAAGTGAGATTTTGGTGATGCTCGAAGGTAATTTAGCAGCACCTGGGCCTGATGTCAACTGTTGAAGGATATCGCGTGTTGATTTAGCTGCTCTTAATGACATGTTGTTGTTGGAACAGGGGGATTGAATTTTTTTTCTGTTTTTTTTTTTTTTTTATATGGATGGGAATTCAAAGTCAGTGTGACACTCTTTTTTTTTTTTTCTAACATTGCATATCCTAAAGCACTTGAGCGTTATAGTTTATGACAAGTATGAGCAATGAAGCTGTAATAAAAATAAGTTAGAATTATAGACATAAAGTGTTTAAGAAATGAAAAACAAGAGAGAGAGAGAGAGAGAGTCATTTTCTAATGAGTGCATAAAAGTGATCAATCTTCGGACTGTCAACAAATATCCACCAACGAAATATTCCAAAGACATATAATTATACACTGATTAGAAATAAAAATTAGTAGTAGTAGTAGTAGTAGTAGTAGTAGTAGTAGTAGTAGTAGTAGTAGTAGTAGTAGTAGTAGTAGTAGTAGTAGTAGTAGTAGTAGTAGTAGTAGTAGTAATGTAATGAGTTGAAGCAATTATGCAATTGATAAGATTATTCAACTACTTTTTCGTATCTGTCAAAAGAACAAACATAATTTTTACAAGTCGCTTTTTTTTTTTAAGTCTAGATCAACTCCAAAGGTATTATGGATGTTAGGCACTAGGAGTACTTTTGAGTGTATAAACAGGCTTTATGCTAGCTTTACATGTCTATGGAGAATTATGTATCTGTTTTTTCTTTTGACAGATACAACCTTATTCATTTGACAAGAGAATGTCTATGTTAAAAGAAGCTGCACTGACTTTTCCTTTGCTTTAGTAAAAAATGATTAACTTGTCAGTAAACAGGAAAGAAAACCATAAAATCAACCTCAAGCAAAAGGTAAAAAATGTGCCTATGAAATGATCTTGAAGAGATGATACATGTATAGCGTATGAATGGGTTGCTAAAAACATAAATGACTTTTGATTGTTACAAGCGCACAGACATATCTTTTCTCCTTACTCCCTCAGAACTAGAGCCTTTTAAACGATTTGAAGCTAATTTTGAATGATAGAAATCAGGCGATGGTTGCTCATTAAATGAGAATAACTGCCTTTCATTTCATGATACTCTCTTCCTCTTTTCTTTCAATCTTGATGCAGGTCATTTGTTCTTGACTAAATTCATTTATTTTTTTTTAAGGCTGTATGGACACAAAAGAATACACCTAGGATCCTATTTCGAATAAATGGTGTTGTCATGGAATATGCATGTCAATTCTGACCAGTCATTCATTCTTTAATTTTTGCTTTTATTGCTAAAGAATGATCCTCTTTACCTTATTCTTCTTCTCCAAGATGAAAACACTTGTGCTTTTATCCTGTCTATCGCTTGTCTTTGCTATCCCCAATATCAACCAAGCCAAACCTGAATATAATTTCGTGCTTCCTGACGGATTATTTCCTGACGACGTTGTCCATGCAGCCTCCGTCCAGTCCGACTCAGTGGTGCCTATGATCGTCATGGACGAAAAGGACTTGCCTGCACCTTCTGTTCAACCCAATCTGCATCGCAACCAAGTCTCTCAGGGATACAAACACATGGGCATGGGCAACGGCTACATCAAAATTGCACCCCTCATGCCTGATGTTCAATACGACCTCTCGCTTCAACGACAACAATGGGCCCATTCTTTGTTGGACAAAGATGAGTCTAAACCAGGCGACACACCTGGTAGGAAATACAAGCAGTTGGTCGGCATGAGCGATAAGGGACAGACACAGAAAGTCAATGTACCTGCTTATGAGAACAAATCTGTGGTTGCTTCCTTAGCTCATAAACTGTCTCAAGAAATTGAGAAAATATATCCAGAAGGCGTCTCTGAACAAAGAATGGTGGGTGTGGATCAACATGGTATGATGCGATACTTGAATATACCTCATTATAGTCGTATGGCAAACCCTCATAAATAAAGCTTTATTATAATAAAAAATCTTGAGAAGATGCCCATGCGTTGGCTAGATTTGTTATCACCTTGGCTTGATCATCTGGTATTTCACAGTAAAGAATGGCACGAAGTATCTCTGTCTTTCTCTCTTGCCAACTTGAGCCTCGCATGGGCGTGTCTTCAAATAACAGGTTCGGATCCACTAATTCCAACGCAAAACGTTCAAATAAAACGATCATTTCAGGATAAGGTTCTTTGTCCTTCGTGTATGAATCCACATAAGGCAGCTGCACAAACCGAAATCCAATGTCTTTGGCAAACGGAAGTAAGCCATACACCACGCTGTTGAACTGGATCGGTAATTGTCGCATGTATTCTGTGATAAACAAGGTTTGACACCAAAGCGGGATTTCTCCTTGAATCACGACATCATGCATATGTTCATAAGGGTTTGTGTACCGTACACCCAATGTGTATGTAAATGGCGTGAATGTGGTTTTCATCGTTGTCTGTTCTGTCACTTGTCTGATCATGTCTTGACATAGTTCATCCATCGTTAATGTACCAATGTTGATGGGTCCCGTATTCAAACTGTAAGGATCAAGAAAATCAGACAGACTCGAATCAGGTGTGTCTGATACCCCTGCTTGCTGCACTAGAAAGATACCTCGAGAAAGACGTACACATGAGCGATTCAGATCTTTCTTTGTCAGGCTATGTGTTAACCGAAACATCAAATGCTCTGAGCGAGATCGTCGATAGTCAAATATGTCTCTGGTCGATAAGAATTCTGAATTAAAGCAATAGTTATTGGTACCCAACATCTCTTTTGCAGTAGGCATTTCTTGATTGTCTTTTTCTCGCTTTGTTCTTTCATAGGCAACGATATGTGTTGCGGGTGAGGATATGGTGGCTGCTGTTGTACACATGACTGATTTTCGTACTTGTTTAATAGCATAATTCCAGTGATCTTTAGAACAACAAGGAGCGATGCCCAACTCATGATCACGTATACTTGCACAAGTACAATGACTTATGTCCAAAGGAATACTTGCTTCCATAAGAAAAAATAAAATAAAGAAAAAGAAATGCGTTTATTTAAATATCTAATGGAATCTAAAAATACATGAATATCGGATTTCAAGTGATCTATGCAACTTACCGAATCATCATACCACCATACTTTGACTGTTTGGTCATCACTGCAACTGGCCAGCATACCTTGTTTAGCATTCCAAGCAACATCATACACAACACCCGCATGGCCTCTTAGTTTCTGTAGTACTTCACCTGTCTCTTGATCCCAGATATACACAATCCCGTCCTCACTTCCGCCTACAATCAGATTATTGTCTGCAAAATTGGCTCGGACGAAATTCTTGGACGTGTTCTGGTGTCCTTTCAGTTTACGAATCGGACGCACCATGCGTACATCCCATAAACGATTCGAATTGTCTTTTGAACTGCTGAGTAACAGTGTGCCACTTGCATTCATTTCAACTGAAGTCACTTCACCTAAATGAGAAGAAATGGTGCGAATACATAGACCAGACACAATATCCCAGAATTTGATCGTATTGTCTTTGGATCTAACAAAAGAGGAACATAAACAACCTCATACAAGACCATGACGTTCACTTACCCACTCACGACAAGATTGCCTAAAGGGTTAAAAATCGTCTTGGTCACAGCCAATTGATGGCCAGGAAATGACTTGACAATGGCACCTGTATTGACATCAAATAGCTTGACTGTTCTATCATAGCCCCCTGTTACTACATGCGTCTCATTGGGATGGTACCGAACAGAATAAACATCGCCTGCATGCCCATTCAAGGTGGTCGTACACTGGGCTTTCGCATTCTTAAGGTTCCAAATCTTGACAGTGGCATCACCACTGGCACTGGCAACAAAATCACCTGCATACGTAGTCGATAGATCCCATACACGCGACCGATGCCCCTCCAAGACATCTAGGCATTCCGATGTCTCTGTATCCCAAATACAGAGTGTATTGTCACTTGAACCGGACACAATACGTTTCCCTTCAGGACCAATGAATTCAAGGCACTTTACATTGCCTGAATGTCCTTCTAATGTAGCTTCAATGGCATTGGGTATCACAAAACTAGAATAATCGTCTAGCAATGTATTGACTGTCGGTGCAATCTTGGGATGATACCGAGAGAATTCGATTTGATAGGCAACTGCCTGTCGTAACAGAGTCAATAGACGATCTGGTGGAATATGACGGTGACCTGTTCGGTCTGCTGATTCAAACTCAAGCATGTTCTGTAACTGATCCACCAGGCTTTCTCTTGAGGCCATGATACCTTCCCAGTGCTTAAAACTAGGTGCTTCATGAATCGACTTGGCTGTCAAGAGATAACACATGTCTTTGAATTCGTTTGGTTTTGTCTGGAAATGTTCAAGTGGTTTTAAGCGTTTGTTGAGAAAAGTAAAAGCTTTTTGTATCTCTCTTCGCTCAAGATATTCGAGGTATTGTTGTTTATATACAGAATAAAGAAACGATCGGTGATTCTTTACTAATGGCTTTGTACATAGTTTTTCTACTTCTTGCCAGTCCCCGTCCAAAATGGCTTTCTTGAGTCTTTTGACTTCAAGTGTACGTTCTTCTCTTTCTTTCCGTTTCACATTGGCTTCATCGTACAGGACTGATTGAGCAGCATGGTAGCCTTCATCTTGCAAATATTGCATAATGATCGCTAATACATCCTAATCCATGTCAACACGAGACCAACACATTCACTTGTTACCTCTTTTATTCGAGGATCGTTGGAATTAAAGATATCATCAGTGGGTTGTATATGCGATGCTTGCATCCCAAAGTGTTGATTCAAAGTGGCCAAACTAAGATGATAAGTCTATTTTTCTCTAAAAGCATCCTTACTTGCGCTTATGTTTGGCATCTATACTATGCGAAATACTATTTCTAGACCAACTAAAAGGTTCATTTTCTATATGTGTGCCTTCTAAAGTGGCTGCAAGTTCTTTTTCAGTGGTATCTTCCATGGATAGAAAGAGAAAAAAATATTTTTTTTTTGTCTTTAGCAATGATTGGATCTTTTTTTTTTTTTTATCTATATCTGATTTTGTAAAGGACGCATGATGTATCTTAGATAGACGCCCCTATTGTTCTTTATGCTTTCATGCAAATTCGTAACAAGAGGCCTTTATCGTATTGAGTCTTGACATAATCCATGCCCTCTGTTGATGTCACGTGATACGTTCGATGACTCAGTACGCTACATGAGAATTTACCCATCATTGCGCACGAACCGGCTACACGGCTACTTTAAAATCCGGTCATATCATTCTGCAGGATAAACAATTGAACAATAAAAAAAAACGTGAACAATTTTTCTTCTTTCTTTCTTTCTTTTTTTTATACTTTTTCTTATACGCGTATGACAGCAGGTAGAGCCATAAAGACATCATTCTTTATCACTAATAACCTGTAGAATTATACAAGGTTTTATTTGATTATGAGACTGATAAGGACGATGAGCTTGCAGTTAAGGAAGGCGATACCATTCGTGTGACTAGCAAAGACAGTCCAGAATGGTGGTTTGCAGAAACATTGGATTCAAATGCATCAGGTTTAGTACCAAGCAATGTATGTCTTCCTATGTGATCCTTTGTCTCATCATCTTTTTTTTTTTTGGCTCTAGTTTATCGAGAAAATGAAGACAGAAGAAGGTACATAATCATGTATAGGATGTGTTATTGATACCATAGCTATAGGGCATTTGGCCATTGTGATTCAAGACTATACAGCTCAATCTTCAGATGAATTATCACTTCAGTCGAATGGGATCGTGACTGTTTTGGATACACATGCAGCTGAAGGTTGGTGGAAAGGTGATTTAAATGGTAAGAAAGGTGTATTTCCAGCCAGTGTAAGTGACAAAAAGAGTCTTCCTTTCTCATCTATATCTATATATCTATATCTATATATTTCATACTGTATTAGCATGTTCAATTACTAGAGGAAGAAGAGGATGGAAAATCAAAAAGTAAGTGCATGCCATGATCATCCTCTCATAAATAAGCATCAGATAATTTCAAATTGGCTGCTTATGGTGTTAAACAAGGTGGTATTGGTAGTATTTTAGCAGGTGGATTATCTTTGAAGAGATCATCTACCGTGGGTGGTCATCGTACTTCTATGAATGAGAAACGTACTTCACAAGCATCTGAATCTCAGGTAAGTTTTTATTCAAGTTTACTTTGATCTTATTGTGTCTCTCTCTATATATAAAGGTGCCAATGAAACCTCATCCTATTAAAATGGATAGCACGACGCCAGCCTCTAGTGTCAAAGGTAAAAAAAAAAAAGGGGGGGAGGAGGGAATGCCTCGTACATGAAATTGACCATCTTAGCTCTTTCTTGTTTAAAAGCCATGGTCATCCATGACTATAAACCTGAAAATCAAGGTAAGCCCATCCATTTCTTCTTCATGTTGACTCAATGGTCATTAGACGAGATTCAATTAATGCGAGGAGAATACGTGACGGTGATAGACAAGATGGAAAATGATGGATGGTGGAAAGGCACCAGTGAAAATGGTGCCACAGGCATCTTCCCTTCGAATTTCGTACAAGTCGTGGACGATGAGAAACCTACACGACCTGTGCGTGCCAGACCAGCCACGGTCAAGACAGAAACAAACGACAGTATGGCTAAACCACCTCCTGTCCCTGTAGGCACAAGACCTATGTCTTTACTCACGCAACGTGATACCATATCTCCTCCTTCGCGACCCACCACTTTGCCTCCTCGCCCCAACATCACATCATCCACACGTCGTCCGTCTGAAAAAAACGGTCATAAGCGGATTCCTTCTATCCCTCTCGTGTCACCTGACTTACCTCCTTTGTCTCCTATCTATGATCAACGACCTACACGGCCTATACCTCGTCCTACTTCGATGGATGCACCCACAAGTCCACCTCCTGCAAGACCTTTACCTAGCATGAGCCCTGAAGCGCATATGGCTAAACCCCCAAAAGTCAACTTGGCCAATTTAGCAGGACCGGTGGCTCCACCTCGATCACCATCCACAAGCCGGCCTTGCTCTCTTAACCATGAGGCAGTACCGCCTGTGCCTAAACGATCCATGCCACCCGTACCTGAAAACAAACCGACAGAGACGCCACACAATGACACCCAACCATCCCTACCGGATAATGTTCGACAGATGATCTTGATCGAAACAGAGAAAATCCGTGTTGAATTTGAAGCTAAATTAGAAGAAGAACGTATTCAACGCATGAAACTTCAGACTGAACTTGAAGAATTAAGAGCAAGATTAAATTAAAATAAAAATGAGTGTATTTTAAGTCATGGCTTTACACAAACAAGAGGAGGAGGATGACCAGCTTGGGTTGGTAGGAAGGAAACAAAAGGATAGTAAGTAATGACAGCTAATTTTTTTTTTTTTTTTTTTTTTTTTTTTTTTTTTTTTTTTTTTACTCATGCCATAGTCTTTGATTTATAAGTTTTAGCTAATCATGAAACTTTTTCTGTAATCAGAAGCAAGTTTTGTTACACTCATTTGTGTATGGGAAGAGGTCGATCTTCTTTCTTTCTGGTTTTTTTTTTTATAATGAGGAACTGTTTTCTTTTTCTGTTTTCTTATTTACTGTTCAGTCTACGACTACGTCTTTTGTTGTTGTTGTTGTTGTTGACTACACAACTGACATGTATCATGGTTTATTTGAACCATAAAAGAGAGCTTGATCCTATAGAACAGACATAGTTTATGACACTTGTTGAAACCAAAGTCATAAATATAACATAAGCAATGTTCACCGTGTATTTCCTAGATTGCACAGGTACGTGTATTACCAAAACAAATGCATCATCTCAGAATGGAAATGGCAAAAAGGGTTTAAATGATTTTATCAAGCTTGTAATACTCTAAATAATAACAATAATAAAAAAAAAAGACGACTTTTTTTTTTTTAATCTTTACTTCTTGATGTCTTTTCAAACGTACCTTGAACCACTGGTGGATCTTTATCAATCCCATATTTTACCTCGCTTCACGACCAAGCACAAAATCGTCGGTATCAGTACCGCCATCAGTCTCTCATTAGCTTATGTCTTGCATGACCGACTTTTTCGACCTCCTAAACACTTGCGCCATATTCCTTATTTTGGCTATTGGACACTGATTCGTTCTTATCTGGCAGGCGAATCGCAATGGGACTTTGATCATCGTGTCACATTGCCTATGATTGATGCTCAAGAAAGCAATGGCATTTATTTAGTAAGTCTTTGATTGTTTTAGTCAGCTCTTTCAACAAGAACCTTAGAGACCCACAGGTCTAGGCTGGACCGTTTTTCTAACTCGCCCAGATCATGCCAAAGTACTTTTTCTCAAGACAGGTAATAATAATCATAATCATAAAGAAACATACATATACTCATCCTACACCAAGACATGTTTCCTAAAGCTGTGCATTCCACTGCACAAAACAATTCGATTGTCGGTCGATTTGTGCTTGGACCCAACATAGCGTTTCTGAATGACCATCTATGGAAATCACAGCGCAAAATAGCCAATCCTGCATTTCATCGATCCATGCCTGTCCAGTTGTTTGGTGAACTCACGCTTCAATTGTTTGATGTGATGGAACAAACAGGTTCACGAGTCAATGTGTCGGATCTCATTCAACGCTGGACTTTAGATGCCATTGGCAAAGCAGGTTTTGGTAAGAGAAAAACATATATGTGTGTCTATGCTTAAGTTGCCTAGGATTTGATTTCAAGGCACTCGCTCAAAAAGACAATGTTTGGGTACGAAAGTATAAAACGATTGTTGAAGCCTCGCAGCAACTATGGTACGCCATCTTTCCTGTGTTCGATGACCGCACTTCCATCTGGTTTTGGCCTGGTCGTCGTGCGGTTCATCAGGACATGGACGAGTTCTTGAGCATGATCGATTGTGTCATTCAACACAAACGAGACCAAATCAAACGAGGCGAGTTCCAGAACGCTCATTTACAAGAAAACGAAAAAGATTTGTTGACGCTCATGATTGAAAGTGAACACAGAGGCGAAGGTGCCATGACAGATGAAGAACTCAGAGTAAGTGCTATGATTTACTATGGCTGATTGTCAGAGTAATATGTGTGTTTTCTTTTTAGCAGGCCATGATACGACATCGAATACAGTGGCTTATGCTGCGTATCATTTAGCCATGCATCCTGTAAGTCCTACTATCTCAAACACGTCATTCATGTCAAACAAACAGGAAATTCAACAAAAAGCAAGAGAAGAAGCACTGACTATCTTGGGCAATGAACCTGTGGATATTTTGCCTACTGTAGACCATACAAAGCAATTTGTGTATATCAATCAGGTCATTAAAGAGGTAAGTCAAAGATAGATGAGCTAAACTCATGATGGTAGACATTGCGTATCAACAGTCCTGCGCCTCGTATCAATGAACGTGAGGCTGTAGAAGATTTTCTTTTGTCAGGCACATGGATTCCAAAAGGCACTTCTGTCCTTGTGGATCTATTTAGTGTGCATCATAGCAAAAAGAACTGGAAAGACCCTGAAGTCTTTGATCCTGACCGATTTGATGAAGACAATGAGAACAATGGTCCTAGACCAGGCATGGCTTGGGTTCCCTTTAGTAGCGGTGCTCGTCAATGTATTGGCATGAATTTCAGTTTATATGAACAGCGCGTCTTGTTAGCTATGCTTTGTAAGTCATGAACCATATTGACATCAACATTAATACTGTATAATCATAGTGAGAAAGTACATTTGGACACTGCCTGAAGATTCTATCCATAAGCACGGTGTGATTAGCTCAGGCATCAACATTGTAGGTCCCGTTCATTTAGAACTTGAATTTCAAAAGCGATATTGAATAAACCATGTGTAACTTGCCCCCCCCCCTTTCCTTTCTCTTGCTCAATGAAAACAAACTATGTAGAACACTTGGCTTGGTTTGAACATACTGTCAGGCCCAAGATGATCACAGCTAGTTCACACAAGACACGATGTTGGTATGGCAGTATAAGAAAACAACCTTTGCCTTATGAGTTGATGAGCGGTTATTCAAGTAAATTGATCGCGTTGGTATCCTCTCTTATTAATATGTATCCTAGAAAACTCAACTATGAGAAAGAGACCTCGCATCGAACCAGATGACTTGCCTCACAATGACTTCATATTATGTGATGCCAAGGTAACAAGGATAGACAGATGATGCATGTTGACTCATCAAGATTAGTCACCCACCCATCATTTAAAACGATCCTCAAGTGACATGACCATCTATTATGATGCACAGACGGAATGGGATTCGCTTGAGAGTCAAGTCGAGAGCCTGTTCAAGTCCAAGTTCTATGATTGCCCTTTTGTACCTAACCAACTTGAGTCCATGATAGCAGCCATTGATGGTCATGATGTATTTCTTGTCTTACCCCTGGGTCCATTACGCCATGTATGCTATCAGTTACCTGCAGTCTATCAGGCACAGAAGACCACTGTGGTCATTGTGCCTACCTTGGTATTTCTACAAGACTATCCATTGAATACAGAAGCCATCTTTGTGTCCGACATCGACAAGAAAGGATACGTTCCTTTGGATCAGCTTGAACACCGACTTTTTCATGATCCCCCTAGGCTTCTGTACATCACACATCATGATTTTCGTCTATCCAAACAGCTCATGTATGACCTGTACAGACGCAACCGACTGGCTCGCTTTGTGATTGAGGAAGCTCATTGTATCTCGCCATGGTGGACTACAGATGATTTCTCACTTCATTATTCTCGTTTAGCCCAGTCCTTAAGAGAGACCTATGTCAGCCTACCGATCACTGCACTAACAGCCATTCCCAATACGCGCATCCAACATGACATCCTGACAAGACTCGGTATGCATGATTGTCGCATCTTTAAAAAGAGTATTTTATTATAAACCATGTCTTTCACGGTTCATGACTTCCATCATGACCTGATTACACATTTTAGCATAAGGGTTTTCATTCACAGCCACATGACGTGCTAAAGGGTTGCCCAGTTTAGCACCCATCTCAAAGTCTTGCCTTGATCCTACTAAATCGCCTTGGTGTCGTTTTAGAATCGCACGCTGTGTATAGGCTTGTCGTAAAATCTTGGGTTGTCCTTGTCCTGCTTCCTGAATCACAAAATTGAGGTCATTGGTTGCTTTATCGAGTTCATTGTTCATACGATACAATTGAGCTCTAATTTATCAGTCATTGTGTGCCTATGTATCATTACCTGTTATTGTAGGCAGATGCATAGTTGGGTTCCATATCAATGCATTGGTTTAACAAGTCCAAGGCTTTTTCTGTATTTTGGTCTCTTTCAACAGCCTGAATGGCTTCTTTTTCCATGGCTTCCAATTGAGCTATTCTTTCAGATGAAAAAGTGTATTCTAAGAACACTTGGTTACCAATAATAAAAAAAAAAAAAAAAAAAAAAAAAGACTTACTTGGTTTTGTGTCGACTGTGTGTGAAATAGCATCCAAAGGTAATCCTTGACTCTCTAATCGACATGAGATAATATCTATGTTTATGACTACTTACCAGGATTAAAAAGGAATTCTAATACGGCATCATCAGAAGCAGACATGGTTGAGAAGAGAGAGAAAAAATAAAATAAAAAAAAGGAGTGCATTTATTTATATGCTGCAGGACAAGGCGTGAGAATCAATCGATGGCATTCAGGATGTAAGCGGGAGATGAACAATAGACATATGGATTTTCATTTCCATAAAATATACATACTTAAGGTTGACTTCTTTAGGGTCCTTCTTGAATCATCAAATCAAATTCTACTATCCTAACTAAACTTATCTTTTTATGTTATGTCTATATCCTTCTTTTACTACACTTGAAGAAAATAAAATAAAATAAAAAAACTCTCTTTTTTTATATCTTTGCTAAAGTCATGTATTACTCAAGAAACGGATCATGACACAGAACGGCACCTCATCCAGATTAGATTTCAATGGCAGCTCTTCATTATTAAACTCTAAATTTTTTTTTTCTCTCTTCTCTCTTTTCCTTTCATCATCTCATCATGACTACTGGTACTGTATCCACTCAACACTCTGAAGATATTGCTTTTGCTCGCGCACTTCATGGTGAAAAAGTCAAATCTGGTTTATTAGCCAATTTGTCTTCTAAGAATGCTGATGTTCATAACGTGGCTACTGATACTTACCTCAAGATGTGGAAGAAGCCTGAAGCTGAAACAAAAGAAGATGAAGATAAGCGTCTGGATGGCTATACATCGCTTGTAAACTCGTATTATAACTTGGCTACTGATTTCTATGAATACGGTAAGTGTAGACATACATGGATATAAGGATGATACTGATGGGCTCCTCTTTTTATAGGTTGGGGTTCTAGTTTCCACTTTTGTCGTTATTATGTAGGTGAAGAATTCAACCGTGCCATTGCTCGTCATGAACACTATTTGGCTTCCAACATTGGTATCAAGAGCCATATGCGTGTCCTTGATGTAGGTTGTGGTGTAGGTGGTCCTGCGCGTGAAATTGCTCATTTCACTGGTGCTCACGTGACTGGTTTAAACAACAATGCCTATCAATTACAACGTGCTAGACACTATGCTGCTAAAGAACTCTTGCAAGACCAAACTGAATTCATCAAGGTAAGCTGAACTCATTCGATTGTTTGATTAATAATAATAACAACAACAACAAAAAGGGTAACTTTATGGAAATGCCTTTTGAAGATAATTCATTTGATGCTGTATATGCTATTGAAGCTACATGTCATGCTCCTGTCTTTGAAGGTGTCTATGGTGAAATCTACCGTGTTTTGAAGCCCGGAGGCAGTTTTGGTTGTTATGAATGGTGCATGACAGAACACTACGATGAGTCCAACCCTGAACACCGCGAAATCGCTCACCGTATCGAAATCGGTAATGGTATTCCCAAGATGCGCCGTACAGATGTCTGCTTAAACGCACTCAAGAATGTTGGATTTGATGTGCTCATGAACCAAGATTTAGCTGACATGGGTGATGCTATTCAATGGTATTATCCTCTTGAAGGTGATATTCGTAAATGTCAAACTGTCAAGGATGTCTTTACCACTTTGGCCATGACCAAGTTGGGTCGTTTCACAACCACTAATTTGGTGCGTGTGTTGGAGAAAGTCGGATTGGCTCCTCAAGGCACAGTAGAGACTCAAAAGTTCTTGGAAACAGCTGCTGATGCTTTAGTTGAAGGTGCTCGCAAGAATCTATTTACACCCATGTTTTTCTTTGTTGCCAAGAAGCCTGAATAAATGGATCATATCATGTTTATTTTATAACAACAATAATAATAATAATAATAATAATAATAATAATAAAGCATATATCTATTTATATATATATATATATATATATTTATATTTACGAAGGGCATAGATAATAAAAAATAAAAAATATTTACATATGGAGAGACTATAAACATATATACTACAATGGACTGCATAAAAAAATAAGGGGAGAAGGAGAGACAGAGAGAGAGAGCATGCATCAAACCCTTAGGTGTTCCATGGATACATAGTGGGCATAAGTGGGTCATAGAAGGCTTCTTCTAAAGAATGCCATGATAATCGATTATCAACAGAGACAGGAGAACATAGAGGTGAAGTCAGATTAGAATGCCACATCCATTCTGTATCTATCGTGGTCGTCTTTTTGCAACTATTGGATCGACTGACTGGACGTGACCGGTTATGTGTCTTTTTATGCTGAGCCAGATTGTCTGTTCTTGAAAAGTTCTTGCCACACATGTCGCATGAATAAGGTCTTTCCATCGTATGAGTACGGAAATGGCGTTTTAAATGTTCCAATCGTTTAAAGAGTCGAGCACATTGAGGTAAAGGACAAGCAAAAGTCTTTTCTTCTGGCTGTTGTTGTTTCAATACTTGGCATAGAGTAGAAGGATGAATAATGTCATAAGGAGGGCAATCAAAAGGGGAATGAGAGAATGTTCTTCTTCTTTGTCGTTGCTTGTAAGTAGGCGAACCCTCAAAGAGACTAAAGGCACCAAAGATCGTTTGTTGCTTTTCATCTTGAGGAAAGTATTCAAAGGGTGTTGACGGTAATTGGGGTGAAGTACCAGCAGAGTAACTTGTGGGTGGATTGGATTTCAAGTAAGACCAGTCATTCGTATCAGTATCTAATAATAATAATAATAAAGTGTCAACATACAATCATGAAAAAAGAATTGAATAATATAAAAAAAAAAAACTTTTATTAGGAAGATGCATTACCTGCTAAACAAGCATGTGAAGAAATAGTAGGAGAAGAAGCACAGCTATCAACTAAATTTTCATCCAAAACATGAGCCACCGCCACAGCAGACAACGACATACTCTTCCTAAGCTGATCAAACAATTCTTGTGTGGTATCCAATGACAAGGACGTGGCTGGTTCAGCAATCGCCACACTCGTAGGTTCTAATCCCATCTTTTCTCGCTTCAAGTCTCTTTCAAGTGCGTCCAGAAACAATCGATCATGAGGCACAGAGAACCAAAAAAAGACCTTTTGTTTCTTTTGTGTACGAATGCAGTTGTGTTTATAGAGCATGTCGAGGAATTCGGATTTAGGTTCTTCAAGCGAAGCATCCATGCCGGGTTTTAAATTGCGTAGATCGGAAAAGATGCCTTCTTCAAATTTCTTCAGGTTCGTGACGGGTCTGCCAAACAGATGGAATCGGTACAATAAGCAGCGGACAATGTCAGTGCCTGTCACGTGAAATAGGTCGTTCCAAAACACACACGATAGGTGTTCACCTGTGGGCAAAGGGAATGCATTGACTTGACGAGAAGGATCCCAATCATGCGTAGCTGTACTTAGAAAGTATTTGAGTTGATCAATTTGTTCAAGTCGTTCTGTTGTATTATCATTGGTAGGTGGGGCGAGTTTAAGTGTAAATGTGTTTTCGTCCATGATGAAGTGATAAAGAGAAGAGAAAGAAATGAAAAAAAAAAAGAATTGGGAATTATGTGTATATATATATATATATATATATATTCAGATTTGAAGCGTGACTAAATAGGAAAATAAGGGGAGGCAATAGCTATGTTGGTACCTGAGGATCGTATCTATTTAGGTTGTCATTTTGAAATGATGTTAAAGTGCATATACCTTTCCTTTTTAAGTCAGCAAATAGGAGTGAAGCCTGGACTGAAGATGACGTCAAATAATCAAAAACGATTGGTACGTCATGGACACGTTTTTTGATTAAATTAATCAAAAGTTTATTTATAATGAATCAACATGGTATATTCAAATTACCGTATGATTTGATAGCCAATGTGAGTCTATATTTGGATTTATGCTCTAATACGAGTTTAATGGATACATGTCAACATTTTCGATATCTTTATTTGAGTGCCAATTATGTATGGAAACATATCTGGTTTGATCCTCATAGTGATCTACATCGTGTCTATTCTTCATTGCGTAAACTAGACGACCAGAATGGACTAAGGCAGCATATTCGACAAGTAAGAGAAATAACAAAAAAAAAGAGAGACTGACTTGCATAGGTCTCGATGGATGACTGTGATGATCCCAACTTTTCACCGATCATTATGATCATCAAGTTTCCTCATTTACGCTATTTGAGTGCCAAGAACAGACTCGAGAATACCAATCTAGAAGTGGACATCAAATTACTACAAGAAATGCTCAAGTTCGCATCTGTTCAACCCCATAGTTTACCTATTCAATATGTACATGTCTATCATTATCAAATGGATGTCGAACCTCATTTACAAGCCTATCAAAAGACATGGAATAAGCTATCTCAACATGGCCATGTCCAACTCGATATTCGTATCTGTGACCATATGGATGCACTGACACATCAGCCATGTCAACGTATTGTGTGTACCACAGCGCAATGTTGGTCTTGTGGATATCATTTCAACCATTGTTGGAAGTGTGTGTCTATCTGTGATGGCTGTAAAATCAAACGTATTCCTCCTTTGGCAAATGACAATCAAGCCAAGCTAAAGCATCAACGTAAGAGGATAGAACAAGAGACAGATGAATTCAGTGTGTTTGCATAACCCTATAGTAAATGAATAAAATTTTAAAAGGACGTGTCTTTTTTTATTTCTTTTTTGTATATTATTCATCATGTCAATTCGGTGGGGTACATTCCTACTTGTGTTGAGTGTATTGTATGTATGGCCTATATGGGCTATGTATGAACATCAAGCAGGCGTATTTGACTGGTAAGATGACTTGTGAGAACTTTGTTGATGATTAGGCATCATATGTGGGTAGGTCATCCGCGTGAAGCAGTCCAGATGGATCAGCAGATTATCGTGTATTCTGAAAGAAACGTACTTGCCTCTCTTGATGCAGACACGGGTGAAGTGGGTAAGTTGACTATAGGTTATTGAATGGTCACTCACATCAACAGTGTGGAGACAAGTGCTCGAGAATCAACTTGAACAGTTTGCTACCAGTGAAGCAGGTAAACATAAATACTTATGCGCCATGAGCTAATCATACAAAGGTATCTTGACTTTATCGAGTGGTCCTGAACGCGCTCAGTTCTGGAACAAGACCAACGGACAGTTAATATGGGAATATACGCCTCAGGATGCCTTTGGTAGTACGCAACCCCTCTTAACGCAAGACGGACAAGCACTTGTCATGTTGGACTCTACTCGTCTGGTCAAACTCGACCAAGGATCACCTGTCTGGACATGGACGCGCAAAGCCAATGAAAAGTAAGTTGGTTCATCATAGCTTGATCTCATTCGCACCTTAGCCAAGTGTTTGAAAAGATGCAATTGATCCAGCATGGTCATGCGATTTATGTGGTAGCTGAACCTGATGAAGATGCTGGTTCGCCTTATTTCTTTATTCATCGCATTGACAGCGCTACGGGTGAGACGTTGTCTTCGTTTAAAGTACCTTGTGGTACTGAGTATGCAGAAGTCAATGTGATTGGCCATGCTTTGTTTTGGCAGGAAAACGATATCTTTAAATGGACACCTTTGGATCAAAAGCAAGTCAAAACTGTCTCAATTGCCGTAAGTGATGATAGACACATGTCGATGAATGGATTGACATTGGTTGTATAGTCTTTAGTGAAATCATTGCCTACAGCAGACAGTTTTACACCCAATGATATTCGTTTGATTGGCCATGTTGATCATACATCGTTTATCTTGACGGCCAATGTAGAAGAAGAAGAAGGGTCGACGTCTGTCTCTGTCATGGTTCATATGGAACAAGATGGTCTTGTGCTTGGTAACTATTTTGGTGAGCAGGTAAGCACAATGAACTTGATATGCCATTGACTGATATGGATAGGCCTCCTTTGGTGCAGTTGATTTTGAGAAGGGTAAATTGACTCGTGTTGTCAAGACCTCACCTGAGGAATTGACTGTCTCTATTTGGCCTGATCAAAAGGAGTTTGAAATCAAGCATGATTTTAGTCTATCAGGCAGTATCAACTATGTTAAGCTACTTCAGTCGTCTCCTTTACGTTTCTTTGTCGTCACCGAAGGTTCCTCTGTATTTGTGTATAATGAAACCTCCGTGGTCTGGTCCAGGGAAGAAGCACTGAGCAACATTGCTGCTGCTGAATTTATCGATCTCCCTGAACAAAAACTCGAACAGCGCATTCAGGACCAACCTCCTTTGGCTCGGTATCTGTCTCGACTCACATACCACCTCTCTCAATTGCGTCATGTGCCTCGCTGGATCTTCCAATCCCATGCTCCCCCTAAACCCAACCTTATTTCTTCTCCTCAATCTTGCTGGGTCAATCAAAGTGTGTCTCCCATCCTTTACCGCGATCATTTTGGACTGCATAAGATCATTGTGTCTGCTACCAAGTCAGGCAAGATCATTGCTCAAGACAGCCAACAAGGACGTGTTGTCTGGACGCGGTATATTCGTGATGTCTCGTTTGACCAGGTCTATCTTGTTCGCGCTGCCAGCACCCGTGAACCCCCTTGGTAGTGGCTATCGGACAAACGTATGATGAGATGGAAGGACAGACAACCACAGGCTTTGTGCGCCTCAACGCCCTGACAGGCCAAGACTATGTCACTCAAATCCCCGCTATTCAAGACTACTTTGAAGCTGTCGTGAGCACCAACATTGGCGTGGACAAAGTCATGCCTTTACCGATCGAGGACCCTGATGAACGTACCCAGATCTTAGCCGTCTATGAAGCAGGCACAGGCCGAATCTACATTTATCCCGATACTCAGGGAGCTCGCCAACAAGCTGTGAAGTTCTTGCCCACATTTTATTTTACGCACCAATCGACTGGCTATCGTGTGGTCGAGAGTTATCGAGGTAGCTTAAGAGCCGAACCGATATGGAAATTAAGTCTGCCTGATGAGGAACAGGTGGTCACGACCAGTGTGTATCAACAGGGTAAGGTGGCTTCGTTGGGTCGAGCCCTCGGTAATCGTCATGTGCTCTACAAGTATTTGAATCCCCATGTAGTGGGTGTGGTGAGTCAGACACCAGAAGCGATCAAGGTGCGTTTGATGGACACGATCAAGGGTTCTATTCTGTATGAGACAGTGCATGAAGGTGCAGTGGCACCTGTGCATATCGTTCAAGCTGAACATTGGTTTGTCTATCATTTCTGGAGTCATCAAACCAAAAGTTATCAAGTGGCTGTACTAGAACTCTTTGAAGGGGCAGAACAAGACCAGCGTATTGAAAGGTAAGTCGTGCCCAGCTATCCTATTGACTGAGTTGTTCTAGTACACACTTCTCCTCATTTGAACATATTGAACCTCATGTGATTGCCTCTGCTTTTACTTTTCCTTATCCAGTTCATGCTATGGGCGTCACACATACCCGAAATGGCATTTCAACAAAAGACATTGTATTTGCTCTACCCAATCAACTTGTCGGTTTCAACAAACGCTTATTCGATCCCCGTCGTCCCCTCAAACCTACCAAAGAAGACCAAGAAGAACAATTGATCCCCTACGGTCCTATTCCTGATGAAAAACGCTTGTTTTTATCGTACCATCTACCTGTGATCGGTATCCAGTCGATCATGACCAGCCCCTCCTTGCTAGAATCGACCTCCTTGGTATTTGCATTTGGACTCGACAGTTTCTTTACCAAGGACACGCCTAGTAAACAATTCGATGTGCTGTCTGAAGATTTCAGTAAGGCTCAGTTATTACTAACCATGGCTGGCTTAGTGGTCGGTATCTTGATTGCTGGTCCCATGGTCCGTAAAAAACGTGTCAATGCCTTATGGAAATAAAATAAGGAGATACTTTTTTTTTTTATCTTGCATAAGGATCGTCCATGCCTTTATTTGATTGGTTCGTTCTTTTCTGTTCTTTTTATTAATTTTAATAACCGGAGTTTACTTTCATGCTCATTGTCTCCAAAAATAACAGAAGCAGAGAACTCAGGCACAAATAAAACAAAACTGTGCTTTTTTGTTCAGGAATGTTGCAACTCAAGCCCTTTTTTTTTTTTTTTTTTTTTTTTTTGAAAAATAAGATTTTTTGGCCAAGGATACAAAGAAAGCACACACAGAGTTCATTGTACAGAATAAAACACAATGAGTTTTCATGATTGTATGACAGATATTGCCACGTGGGCACAATTTGTTTCTATAAGCACTTTGACTGGCTTAGTGAAAAGCACTTTAAATAGCAGAGCAATTAAGAGCAATATATGTTCTGATTGGTTTAGATTAATTGCCAGAGAGAAAGAGAGAGAAAGACTATCATGGTATGATAAATTACTACTTTATTGAAAGTAAAAAGTCTATTGTATTCCTTGTTATTGACATGTATGAAATCTAGACACATACGTAATTATCTGATAATTTAAGCTTTTGTTAGCCAATGGCAACCAGTAATGAAATATAGACTACAACTCATACTGTATTCTTTATACTTTTGTTTTGATTTTGACGGTTTATTTCATAGCCAAACAAACACTCATTGTATCTCCCATAACAATAGTGTTGAGATTGTGAGTCAACTCGGTTACCAAAATAGCAAACCCCAGAAATAAATGCCGCTATTCAGGTCCTTGATTCGGAGATGAATCCATCAACAATAAGTTTAGTCTAAATTTAACAGAAATGACTCAAGAATATCTTTCTACCAAAAAAAAAAAAAAAAAAAAAAAAAAAAAAAAAAAAAAAAAAAAAAAAAAAAAAAGCATAGTTTTTCTCTTGAAAAAATTGTTAGTATGTTGTTTATTATATATCTTGTCAATAAGGATTTTGTCTATATGATTTAGCATTATCATCTGTGTAAAAAAAAAGAAAAAGAAAAAAAAATGTCAATAAACATTACATCTAAAATAGTCTGTGCTAAGCACTTTTGTAAAGAAATATCACGCGAGCAAAAAGGTGTAGTACAAAAGACATGAGAAAAACAGGGTCCTCGGGTGGTAATTGGAACATCTTCAGTGAACACTTTTGACCAAAACAAACCACGCTTTTCAAAATGTTCTATTTAAACAAAATGATTTCATTCGACACATATGAAAGTAAAGGTTTTTTTTTTTTACTAACTTATTTATGGTGCACAATTCATGGAGCTATAAAGCACTCATAACTGAATGACAAGATCAAACTATTCATCATCATCATTACCAAGCTTCAACAGGGTTACAGTCGGCTCAAATTCTTTGCAACTGTCTCTGTAGAGATACGGCTTTTCAATATCAGAAGTTGAAGCAATACTCTTGGCCATCATTTTCTAATAGAAATTAAATGTACCCTATTTCCGCCTTCACTATATCCTCTTACCTTATAATGAAACAAAGATTCTAATGAAACTGACATATGGCTAAAAGTTTTAGAGAGAGTGGGAAGAATCGAGTTTTTCAGAAGCCGAAAAGTATACTTTTTTGCGTTGTCAATTCCATCCTCGTTAGACGCTGTTAATTCTTGAGGCTTATATTCATGAACGAAATATTCAATATCATTGCCTATTTGTAAAAAAAGTCAATATAAGCCAAGCTTATATATTAGGAAAAAAAATAAATTCAGTATTTACCTGCAATCATGATAGCAAAAGTGATGAATTCTTTTTCACTCTTTGCAGCTAATATTCTTTTATGAAGCATTTTTTTGCTGATTTCCGCAAGTCGAACTCGATCTTCGTCAACTGTTTTGGAGGGAGTGTTGAATGGTTTGATCTCTACAACACCAATTTCAGTACCATCAATTGCTGTGAATTTAGCATCAGTAGTCTGTCTTTTTTGTATTTTCATGTTTGAGTTTGTATAAAGATTCAAAGGTGCGTCCCTGCACATAAAGGATGGATGAGAATTGTATCTTACACAAGAATAACTGCCGATAACAGAACAGCTTACCAATAGACAGTTAGTTTATCATGAACATCAAAAGCAGCATTCACAAACGGGACTACATATTTGATTTTATAGTCGTTCTCCATGTTTTTTAATTGTTCAGGTGCTTCATAATATTGGTAGCTGTATTGGCAAACGTCGTTTTCTTTACAGTTGTTAAAAAAGCTACAGTATCATAAAAAAAAAACAAGAACGGGTCATTATGATCAATGGTTCAATGCTTTAGATATTTTACCTTGTATTGAGTAGAGAAACAATGTTGATATGCTCAATTTTGGTCGGTAAAAGAAGCATGTCCTTTGTGTGGTATTCAATAGCCTATAAACATGTGTAAACAAACTCATTTGTCGTTGTTGCAAGATGAGACTTACGCGAATAAACTTATTTATCAAATTTATAACATCATTATCCAATGCGTCAGGTAAGAAACAAGCATTGTTGGTGCTGTCCACAAAATCAATACCAGATATGTTCCTAAAAAAAATAGTATATGCTTATTAGGTATCCTCTTGTAGCATAAGAATTGGTATGCCTACAATCTTTCAACCATTGGTAAATTGCTTGACATGTATGCCAGACTAAAAAGGTTTTCTTCAGTAATTGGGTATAACTCATCGAAACTAGTGATGTAAGCAAGAATTGGACTGTTGCTCTTGTCAACGGGGTCACTTCGATATTCGTATGTTCCGCCAGAAGTTGTCGTTATAAAAGAAATGTCTAAATGAGAAAAAGAAAAATGTTGCTTAGAAATGCTACTACTTCGAGCAGTTGTAGATTGACCAAACCATTATCATCTTCTGGTGCTGGTGACGCTGTTCTCGCTCTTGTTCTTCTTTGGTCTTCTTCCCCTACTACTTTTTCTTTGCCTTTTTCTCTTTTTCTTCTCGTTTCTTGAGATATTTGGCTTTGTAAATCGTCCTGGATTTCGAAGGAGCCTTTTTCAGCAGCAAGGTAGGCAATCATTTTTCCATTATGAAGCATTTTGGCTTTTTCTTCCTTTTCTTCTTCTTGTCTTCTGATTCTCTCGCTCTCTTTTTGCTTTGCATCTCTTGCTTTGGCATACTTGAATAAAAAACTGCTTTTTATCTTTGGGCTTAATAGATATGCTTTCATGCTTCGGCAATAATCCTTGAATAACTTTGCTTGAGGAACCATTATGACTGAATCATTAATCAAAACCAGGCGATCAGCACCACTTTTCTTTTGCTTTTTGTTGTTTTGATCAATCAATTTTAACTCGCTGAGATCATCGAGAGTACTAAGCATAGTGCTGAATAAATCATCTCCTTTGAAATTATAATCCTCAACATGTTCAAAGTAGCTATCAACAAGAAAACTTATATTACTCCAATTTCTTAGTTGCCCTACCAGCACCCCTTCATTTATGCCTAATGCTTCTCTAAGATCAGGCGAAATTACTGTAGATCCTTTGAGGGTGTTTAATGTAGGCTTTCTTGGCGGCTTCATTTTAAAACTATCAACGTGTAGTTGGGTTTCGACTTTAAAGTTGGTCTAGAGAAGTAGCAGTTTCTCAGGTGTAAGTTTGCTTGGTAAATAATGCTATATGGAAAAAAAGAGAGGATCTTTAATTATTTCTATTATGCCGCTTTGGTAACCGCATTGAGCAGCTGCTGTCTTTTAATGACGCGGTCATTCCATACGGACACGAAACACCTACGTTTGCTTTTTTTGCTAACACTTCTTCTATGTCTCCACCAGCTATCAGCTTCAATCCGACAAAAAAGATACAGGTTTTCGAAAAGTATGATTCTTAGAAGATCAGCTTCGCGCGTATTGGTGGTGTGAGGAATTATTTTGAGTGATGTCATTTGGTTGAGCTGTAAAGGCCGGCGTGTGCATTGCCGGATCAGATTTTTTTTTATTCTGCACTGAAAAATTCCTTCCTCCACAAATTTGACTAGGAAAATTTCGTAATCTGCCTCTCTTCTCTTGCATTCGTTTCTTCAAGTCCACTAGCATTCTATTTTGATAACGCATTACACTAGGTGTGTTTATTTACGTTATGAAGAAAGGCAATCCGAGCAGATGTGGTACTTGGGTTTTCTAGTAGTATCGATCACAGCCATACGTCAGTCTGATTCTCTTTTTATGCATTCAGTCCTCCAAGCCAACGGACAATGTATGATATGGTGGCAGCAGTAGGTGCATCTTGCTCTAAGCGCATATGTTTGTGTTATGGAGAAGGCAATCCGAGCAGATGTGGTGGTTTTGATGACTGAACAGCATCGCTGCGTACATACCAAGGTAAATGCTGGCGTATTTGCCTGTCCTAAAACATTGCCGACTTGATTTGACTAACTCCCCCTTTTTTTTTGTAGGCTTCTTAATAGTGGTTGAACAGCCAAGTACAGCCATACGTCAGTCTGATTCTCTTTTCATGCATTCAGTCCTCCAAGCCAACGGACAATGTGTGATATGGTGGCAGCAGTAGGTGCATCTTGCTCTAAGCGCATATGTTTGCGTTATGGAGAAGGCAATCCGAGCAGATGTGGTACTTGGGTTTTCTAGTAGTATCGATCACAGCCATACGTCAGTCTGATTCTCTTTTTATGCATTCAGTCCTCCAAGCCAACGGACAATGTATGATATGGTGGCAGCAGTAGGTGCATCTTGCTCTAAGCGCATATGTTTGTGTTATGGAGAAGGCAATCCGAGCAGATGTGGTGGTTTTGATGACTGAACAGCATCGCTGCGTACATACCAAGGTAAATGCTGGCGTATTTGCCTGTCCTAAAACATTGCCGACTTGATTTGACTAACTCCCCCTTTTTTTTTGTAGGCTTCTTAATAGTGGTTGAACAGCCAAGTACAGCCATACGTCAGTCTGATTCTCTTTTCATGCATTCAGTCCTCCAAGCCAACGGACAATGTGTGATATGGTGGCAGCAGTAGGTGCATCTTGCTCTAAGCGCATATGTTTGCGTTATGGAGAAGGCAATCCGAGCAGATGTGGTACTTGGGTTTTCTAATAGTATCGATCACAGTTATGTGATGAGCAAAAACCAGCTTCGATCGTTTATGCAGCTTCAGCTTTCACCAAATCAAAAAAAAAAATGAAAACAGCGTCTTTATGGTCAACAATCTCATGTTTGATTTGAAAGGGGTTTCTATCGTACTTGAAAAAAAAAAATTCAATCTGTCTTCTCCATGAAGACCAAAAAAAAAGAGAATACAAAGATGTAGTATCCATTCGAAATGCCCTTGGCTTAGTGTTTGGCATAAAAATTAGCTCGAATTTTAAAATAAAGTTTCTCCGTGATGATGCATCTAAACATACTTCAATTAAAAAATATCTAGCACTGTCAAAAGAAGCAAGTGTGGCCCTTATGCCAAACGCGAAGGAAGAAAATACTGGGTTATTTGGTGGTACCACGATGGTTTTTCTCTACGTGAGATTGTCGACAAGGTTGACACGCATCAAAGAATCAGAGACAACTTTGCCTCTTGCTCCTCCTGGGACATCTACCAAGATTGATGAGAGAAGATTGAGACGCCTCAATCAAATTGAGTTGAAGAGTGTTTTTTTTGAGTATTGACAGAGTAAAACTTGAGCTGCAACAATTCGGTGTCAACGTCTGCAGAGAAATCGTTGTCCATTCCCTTCGTGATCTGTGCTTCCGTTCATACCATGCAGCTCACAAACCTGCTCTTAAGGTCACTCACAAGAAGAATCACTTGGAGTGGGCTCCTGTCATCTGGTTAGATGAATCCCGCTACACTTTCGAAGGAGCTGACGGTGGTACTAGAGTTCTTCGAAGACAAGGTGAGCGTTACGAAGAAGGGCTCACAATCCCTACAACCAAGTGGGGAAAGAGCAGTGTTATAATTTGGGGCTGTTTCTGAAGAGGCGGTATTGACCCTCTTGTGGCTGTAGAAGGTTCTATGGATCAGGCTAGCTATATCGAGGTGTTGTCAGAGAAATTTCAGTTTTGGTTCATGGACATGCAAGTCTCAGAATGGCTTGCACTTCCTATTTCAAGAGGATGGGACAACATGCCATATTTGTGCTGTAGCTCGTAGTTGGAAGATGCAACGCATGATCAAAGGGTTTGAATACTGGCCTGTACAAAGTTCTGATTTAAATCCCATTGAACATCTGTGGTGGGCGCTTAAACAAAAGATCAAGAGCAGAAGACGCAGTATCAAAAATACAACTGTATTAAAGGAAGTGCTATTGAAGAAGTGGAGTAAGATCAGTAATGATTTGTTAATCCGTTTGGTTGACAGCATGAAAGACAGATGGCAGGCTATCATTGATGTCAAAGACGGTACCACACAGCACTGACTTTTTATTTTATTTATATTATCTTAGATATCTCAAAAAATCATCCACAAAGAACTGAGCGTGTTTAAGTATGATTTTGGCATATGAAAGGGCTCTTGGATTAGATTTCGAATGACAAAAAAAAACCAGGCTAATTTTTTATTTCGGGTCAGTGTATATGAACACTACCTGAAGATTCTATTCATAAACAAGGCATTATAAGTCAAAACATCGCTTCTGCTAATGTAGGATTTGATCTTTAAGAACAATACTGGACAGCCTTTTTATTTTCTTGAATCAGGAGCTAATAGAAACATAGATGTGTGTTCAACAAAACCATGACGCCTCAAGACAAAATTTAGTTTAGCATACAATCCCTTTTCACCTCGTAACAAATCCCAAATTAAAGGATGGATCCATGCTTGTTCTAATTCATAAACAGTGTCATTCAATGTCTTAATCGCATCCAATGTTGTTTCAGACATAGTGTCGAGTTGATCCACAACTAAATGAAGATACAAAGCAGTACTATACATAGCCATAAACACACTTTGTCTTGAGGAAATACCAAAAGGGCCATATTTCATAAACTAAAATAGATTCAATACAAACCACAAGAAATACAAATATACTCACATGCTCAGACAAACGCTTCAATTCTTGTAAAAAGGACACAAATGCTTGCGCTTTATCTTCCCACATCAAAGGCTTGAGTGTATGTTTCAATAACATGGTATCTAAATCCACATGAGCCCATTGAACATCCATTAAGTCCTCTTTGTAAATATTGGGGTTTTCTTTAGCAAACAACGCTTTTGAAGGATCTAATTCTTGTGCCAAGACTTGCTCTAGAGAAGACTAAGTATTTTGTTTTCTTCATGTTAATTTTGACTTACGAGTGATGGGATAATCAAGTACTTGAATAAGATCGGATTGAAGTCGGTCTGACTGACTAAACTGTTCAGCTAAGAATCGATAGACTAATTCTAGTGCACGTTCGTGATGCACAGGCGCAGATAACCCAAAAGCATTTGAGACAATAGCAGCTGTATCTTGACGTACATCCACATCATCATCTTGTAATAATTGAGTGATAGCCAAGCCAGCTGTGACGCGGGCATGGTCAATACCTTGCAATGGATCAAACACTTGCTTGGAGGTCAATTGTAATGACTTCACTACTGCTTCACGTAGAGGTAAAGTAATTTCTTTTTGGCTATATGTCGTGATATAATCACTCCATGTCACTAAGCATTGCTGGACCCAGTCATTGGATAAAGAGACTGAACCAAGGATCTATCGAGTATTAAGAAAAACAAAAGAGAGGGGGACAGAATAAAGATCAAACTTACTTGAGATAAAAGAGCACCGAGTAAAGGAAGAACGGATTCAGTTACTGACAAGGCGCGCTTTTGTTTGAACTGTAATACCAGTTGATTCCAATAAGATTCTAAAGAAAACGGCAGCGTTGTATCTAAATAAGGTTGTTTGGGATTGACAGCCATTAATAACTGGGCTGTCAAAACATAACAATTCAAATTCTCTTCGCCTTCATACGTTCTTGAGACAAGCAAGGTTTGTAATGCTTGTGTTCTATGGTATGTATTAGTTTTTTTTTTTTAAAAAAAGAAATAGCATTACCCTTGAGGTTGAGGTGTTGTCTTGTAAAAAGCCAGTAGTTTTTGCAAGACGACAAGACGTACTTCGTAATCACGGTCTTGTAACAAGTACAGAATACCATCTAATTGCACTTGAGGTTGCATCAAAGCATGATTGACAATGTGTGCCGCCATACTAGTACGCAACAAGTAAGCACCAATACCTGAAATATCCAACCCAATACGTTGCGTACAAAAACCGATAACAGCTTCGCGCATGGATGCAAAGCAAGTAGAAGCCAACTCATTTAGCGATGCATCTTTGATCCATGTTGTCTCCACACAAAATTCATAGAGAATGTCTAAGAAGAGAGCCGTATTCATGGGACACCATTCAGAACATTGCTTCAATGCCTGATGAAAGACAGAAGGCATGTGCTCTATAAATTGAGTATGCATATCTTTTGTATCCTTAGGCGAATAGAAATGACCGCGCAACAAAAACTGCACTTGAAGTAATCGACCATGGATTTCATTCTGTGTAGTGGATAGTACCAGTAACTCTTGAACTGTAGGCACAATATCTGATACAAGAGGTACAAGTGCTCTAGCAGCCATTTCGCGTGTCTTGTAGATCGCACTGGATGCACAGGGCATCACTAAAGGAATAAAAGGTGTCAAGACATGATCCTTGTCTTCTCCCATGGCAGGTTGCATACGAGACAAAAGTGTCAAAATGGGATACAGGCCTGGATGAACTTGGTGTGCTGCCTGTGTCAGTAACTGGTTGACGGCTACATCCAATTGATTCAACAGGTAAGGGTGCAAATCAGGAAAACGGACAAAGAATTCACGGCCTGTCAAGGTATTGACCTGGGCATGTTCATCCCGTGTCTTTTTTGTGCCTAGTGTACGTTGTAATAATGTCGAGAACAACATGACACTACAGTTACGAATAGCCCAACTGTGTGATGAAAATCCTTGGATGGCCAACGAGAAACCTTGGGAAGCATAGGAAAGCACATGATGTCCTAGTTTGGAGTCCATAAAAATGGTACGCATAATATTATAAGCATGGACTTGAGGTAGATCAATACGTTGGTCGGCATCAGGTGGAGGTGGATCACTAGCTAACTGGATCAAGAAGGCCATGGCATGGCGTAATAGTTTCTTAGCAGAAGGTTCACTACTCACAATAGCCAAAATACAGAGAGGCAAACCCGCACTACGACGTGTGATGGAGATATTGCTGGATACAAGACTATCCAAGTTCTCTTGAAGCCAAGCCATGGGCAGCTGAGTCAATTCAGCATTGCCTGAAGTCAATAATCGTGTATTTAAAGATACATAGGCTGGATAGACAGCAGAAAAGGCACCTCGGTGACGAATATGAGTCAACAAATGACGGAAAAGCATACCACTTTGAATCAAGTCCTGATGCGATAAACGGTCGAATCGAATCATCACTTGAAGCAAGGAACTAGCTTCTTTCACAGCACGCCAACAACAACTCAAGATGACTTGATGTTTAGGGCCTGTCATGTCGTCTTGATCCATATCGTCTTCCTCGTCCTGGTCATCATCGTCAAAACGCGAAGGCACATTACCTTCAGGTGAAGCATCAGACAGCACAGGCAAGGCGGTATCACAAGTCAATTGAATCAATCGCATAGCACGTTCAAATGTCTTTTGCCAAGCTTCTTCATGAGCATCTTTCAATTCACCTAAAACATACTGAAGTGCTAATAAAGTACCATGCATAGGATGTTGTTGAGCAGCTAGCATCAAGTTGGATTGTGCCACTTTCACTTGTTTCTCCAACATGTCCAACAACTGTTCTGTAAACACATGGGCAGCATGGCCTTCTTTTTGAGTCGCCTGTTGTTCAGGCACTAAAGGACATCCTAAATCCATCACGTATTTCGAAAAGACAAGACGGAAAATCATAGCACCACTATCACTTTCGCCTGCACGCGTGCTGACAACATGGTTTAGACCCCACCATAATAGATCTTGTGCTTCCTGTGGATCAATCCCAGGTAAAGGACTAGGAAATTGGCCCAAGATATCAAACGCTTGAACACGATTGAAATCATAAGGATTCAAAAATGTGTCCATCAATAACTTGGTCAATTTGGGGGTAGCGATAGAGATGATTTGAGTCGACTCGGTCACACCAAACACTTTGCAAACCGTAGACAAGATACGCAATGCAGTGGCAATACGTTGATAGGAAGCACCGGGATACAGGGATTGAGCTACATGGTCTAATAACCAAACCAACCATGCTTTGGATCGATGCATCATCACAAGACAATCGTGTGCATCTAACAAAGCGTTCTGTCGTTTCTCGTCTTGGTGCTTATCAGCATAAGTCAATAAAGAAGTATAGTTGCGATGTTGAGCATAAAAATGGCCCCGAAGACGCGTGAATAGTTTGCCTAGATAGGCACACATCTGTTGACGAAACTCAGGTGCTGTTGAGTTCATGTTCAGTGGGATGAATAGCTTGAGCATGTCTAGTTCTGTGGATGTGATTTCAGCCGTTGCTTTACGGGATTCACACAGTAAACCAAGCACGTCCAGACGCACTTGAGCATCTTGATGATAAATAGCACACGTCAAGGTGTTGATGGAGATAGAAGTGCCATACGCATGACCATCTACGATATCTAATCCACGACCTGCTTTCAAGACAGCAATAAAGGCATTCAGACGATAGCTAGTATCCATCTTTTGCCATACAGGATGATCTTCTTGTTGCAAGATGTCCATCATGTACCAAAAAGAACCAGTACTGATCTTGAGTAAAGGCGATAACAAAAATCCACTTGCATTCTTACGCAAGAGTTCAGACGAAGCTGTCAAGGCGTGCAAGGCAGGTAATGTCCATAATTGAATCCATGCCTCTGTGGCATTAGGGTCACTTCCAGGCTTGATTTTACCGTTATGACCATTGAATTTAGCATGACCAGGAATCGTGTCTTGAATGCGACGCGACAAGAAGCTCACAATAAAGAAAGAGATTTGAGGACACAAGATAAAGCTATCCATGGCTTGCATACATTTGTGTATTAAATCAGGTTCCATCGATAAAAATTGGCTGGTATCCATACGATCAACCATCATGTTCAGCAGTGCATATTTTACTTTACGGTGCCAGTCCATGGATAACAAACGACCCAATAAGTCCTTTGTAAAGCTGGTTTCGTCTTGTTGATAGTAGGCACATTTGCGTTGAAATGTAGACAAGACAAGTTCGAAAATAGAGCGCATTTTATGTTGAATTGAATCGGTAGGATCGTCCCAATGATCCCATACGTATTGCACCAACATGTTCATATTGTCTGTGGCAATAGGACGAGAGACAGCATCCATATGGTGAGCCATCATGGTCTGTGTTTGTTGGAGCCAAGTAGCCATGGATTCAAATGCAATTACTTTACAGGAAGGGTCTAGATCTGCTCTTGCACAAAACATATTGATACTAGCAAATAGGGCATCATTCAAGTTGTTCCATGTGCCACTAACAAAGGTATAAATCAACCATTTCAACCATGCTTTCTATTACCTTTCCTGTGTAGGGACATGAATAGAAGGACAAGTCAAAGTCAGGATTTCCTCGGAAAGACTCGAGACAAGTCCTCGAAGCACAAAAACCATGGGCGCATCACGTCCTTCCCAACTGATCTGAGGTCGAGACATGCCCAGGACAGACATCTCTGTCTGATGAAAAAACCAGGCTAGGACCCAATCACACGCATAAGCAGGTTCTGCTAAATTGATCATAGCGCCCATTGCCATGCCTCCTACTTGGTTGCATTCTTTAGGTGTAGTCGTATCCATACAGATCTGAATTAACAAATGCAAAATGCGGCCAAACAATGGATCTTGTTGCTTAAACATATCGACAGACACACCTAATTGACGAGACAAAAGCACAAGGAGCGTCTTGCTTGTAAATTGGATATCCAAAAGGGCTTCTTCAGTTGAGGCCAATAATGCTTTTTCTAATCCCTTCACAAGAAAAGCGAGTGTGTCTCGATAGTGTTGCGTGATGACAGCTTGGCCTAAAGGAAATTTAAGGGTGGCATAAATCGTCAATGCCTTCTGAGAAAGTGGCTTGTTGTTAAAACAGGCAATTCTGGAGTCGTTCGTGATATAAGCGAGATAGGCGTCGTTAAAATAACTGGTGTCTAATAGACGAGCAGCTTGTTCAACCAATGGCACAAAGGTACGTCGAGATAAGTTTTCGTTGGTAGCAAAATAGCCTACAGTAGCCATGGTATCTATCCATCGTACTTGGTCTACTTGATCATGTGTCTTTTGAAATAACTTGGCTAAAAGATAATTAAGACAAAAGCAGTGGATCTCGATGCCTACCTGCTTCTTTAATACAATTTACTCGACGATCATCAGATACGTTTTGACAAGATACAAGTTTTGCAAGAGCAGGTAATGACACTTGTTGTTGGCCTATAAGATCTCGCCAATAATCAAACAAAGCTTGAGGAAATTTGTCCTGTTTGCTCATGCTTTATAAAAGAAAGAGAAAAAAGAAAGTAGAGAAATTAAAGATTGTGGCTTATGTATTTATTCAGGAAGACATGCAGTGATTTGATCGCATGTTTCTTTAGCAACACCTGCATTACTCAACTTGAGTGCAAAACTAACCAATTTTGTGTCTGTAGTGCCATCTTCTTTTGTCTCTGTCTCAAAGCCTGCAAAACGAACAAATTTATCTTGCATCATGCAAACTTTCATGCCCTTGAATAATCCCAAATTGAGAATAAGACGATAGACAGAGTCTGTGCGCATCACAAGGCGTGCCTTGTCTTCCTTCATGTTGATACGAAAAGTGCCTACACCGCGTTCTTTCCAGTTGTTGTTATCCAAGACGAGTAACTTGGCTTTTGTTTGATAGATTGTCTGTTCATCCTCTTCTCCTGTTTTGACTAAAGAAAATGAGTGATGTGTACATAGATAACAAGTGTTACCTTCAGTGGGTTTAACACCAGGTACTTTGGTTTTGACAGACCCACCAAATCCAGTTGATCCTTCTTCTTCTTGTGTTTGTGGTTTATCAGTCGATAAGGCATTCACATTCACAGCAGCAGCCACATTAGCAAAAGGAGACACTGTTGTCTTTGCAAATGCACTAAAAGAGGGTTCTTTTTCCTGAGCCTCTTTCTTAAATCCACCAAAATTACCAAACCCACCTAAAGTAGACTATCATTGATCGAATCAGTCAATGGCCATCGTATGTATGGTTGACTTTACCTTGACGGGAACAGTTTGATGCGTCGTTGCCCAACCTTTAGAACCAAATCCAGAAGAAGCACCAAATGTGTATTTGGGCTTATCGTCTTGTTTGGGTTCTTCCTTCTTTTTTTCCTCTTCTTCGTCTTCTTCAGCAAATTCTCCCCAGTCATCGTCGTCTTGCTGTTTACCAGCAAATTTAGCAAATGCATGTGTGTTTTTGGGGGAGTTCTCTGTACTTGAGCTTTCTGACACGGTTTTATCGGTCGTGGACATGTCTTTCATGTTTTTACGAATGGTGCTGACAGTGGTTCCACTTTCTTCATCATCGCGTTTTCTATTTGGATTCAGTCATGAATTATTGTTCATCATTTGCTTACGTCTTTTTAGGCACAGTAGATAGAACAGGTTCTTGTGCCGTGTCCTAAAAAGATAAGTATCGCCATGTTCAACAGTGGTCGGTTACCTGACTAATAGGTTGATCAGCTGTAGGTTCAACGGATGTGGCTCTTCCTCTCTTTTTGTTTAAACCAGCATCATCTGAGGTAATTGTCAATAGAGGATCATATAAACAAGAAGGCATACCAATATCAGTAATGGAATCAGGTGGGGAAGACATGATGTACGAAATCTATAAGTGTGAAAAAAAAAATATTAAAAATTGGCATAGCTTTCTTAACCAAGGCCAACATCGATTTTAATACCCGCGACCTTTTTTTTTTTAATTTGTTTGCCCTGAAGAGAGACTCCTCTTTTTCTGTTTCAAAATGAAGTGGTTAAAGAGTAGGTTGATACCGTTTATCTTTACTGCTATTGGCATCTCGCTTGTTTTGTTGTCTTTTCAAACATTCTTTACCATCTCAAAACCATCGGCTCGAGTGACTCGAGATGCACCTGTCAAAGCGTGTATCGTAGTGCTTGTACGTAATAGTGAGCTCAACGGTATCTTGTCTACCATGCATCAACTCGAAAAGACCTACAATAGTAAATTCAACTACCCTTATGTCTTTTTGAACGACGATGACTTTACAGATGAATTCAAACAACAAACTTCGGCTATCACTAACGCAGAAACAAAATATGGCAAATTAGACCATCAAATGTGGGGATATCCTTCATTTATCAACCAAACGTATGCTGCTGAAACAAGAGCAGAGATGGCGCGTATGAATATTCCTTATGCTGAAAGTGAATCATATCGTCATATGTGCAGGTAAACTGTGGTCGATCCCAGTTGGTTGTTAAACAAAAACCTAGATTCCAAAGTGGCTTCTTTTTTAGACACCCTTTGTTGGATGAATATGATTATTATTGGCGTATTGAACCTGATGTAGACTATACTTGTGATATTGACTATGATGTCTTTAAGTTTATGCGGGACAACGATAAGAAATATGGTACACGCATTGCAAAATGACCTATCACTCATCATAGAATAGGATTTACAATTGCTTTTAGAGAGTACATTCAAACAGTTCCTTCTCTTTGGCAAACTGTCATGAATTTCAAAAAAGATTATCCTGATGTAGCAGCACGCTGGCCATCCAACAAAGAATCTTTGTTTGATTTTGTCACCAGTGATGGTGGACAATCGTACAACGGCTGTCATTTCTGGACCAATTTTGAGATTGCTTCTCTTGAACTATGGCGTAGTAATGATTATCTCAAACTGTTTAGTTATCTTGACCAGGCAGGTGGGTTCTTTTATGAACGATGGGGAGATGCACCTGTGCATAGTATTGCTGCTGCTTTGATGTTGAAAAAGGATGAATTTCATTTCTTTAATGATGTGGGCTATCGACACACAGCTTATACGCACTGTCCTTCTCAACCTGAATATCGCTCGAAATGCTCATGCGATCCCAAAATTAGTTTAGGTAAGCGTATAAGGAATATGCCATATTTATTGAATCTATATATTTATAGACCTGACAGACCCTATGTCTTGTTTACCTGAATATAATGCAGCTATGAAATAAAGAACTTAGCAAGTGGCGCAACAATGGTCCATGTATTTTAAGTCTAGTGTGTATCAGTCAAATCGATATGATGTAGTCTATGTTACCTGCTCTGTTACCCCACCAGGTAGGAAATGGAATGGATGTACCTGTGGCTCCTCCATAAAGAAACATGGCAATCATAAACACCATGAGAGAAGTACCTGAGTCCAAGGCTGTAGATACAAGGTAGTTATATTTGATAAACAAGGCACGATAGCGTCGCTTGATATAATATTGAGATACAACAGTAATAATGAATGAGACTGTGATCCAACTGGTGGCTGATCCTGGCACAATGGTTAACCCGACAAGTACCATAGGTATATTGACATAATTAAACCCTAGAGAGGGATAGTATTGATGCAATAACCAAAACGGAAGAGGCACAATAAAGCCAATCTATCACAGCTGTAGACAACCTTACTTTACCTAGATAACTTACCACAAATCCCCAGAGAATGATATAATAGTCTGTGCCTGGACCAAACATATGCATTGGTCCAATGGCACCCCAAGTAATAGCAGCAGCATTCACGGTCTATGAGAATAAGTGATTGCTTAAAAAAAGCACTTTAGTTTTGTATACTTGAGGTGAAGCACCATTCCATATATTATTGCCGATAGGATCCAACAAGACTTGTCTTTGAGTTTGAATGATACTCTATAAGGAATCAATAAAACAGTGCATTTCTTAAACTGTACTTGCATGATTCACAATATAGTTAAAAATACAGCCTATGGATGTACCCAAAAACTGGTTCAAGAAAATAGCTCTGGGTGGTATATTGAGATATTGACCGATCTTTAAATCTGTAGCCATCACACCTGCTTGATGGAGTGTATTATAACCCAATGTCTTAAAGTACATATTAGCCACTGATAGGGGTTAGTAGAGAATATATTTGTCTTTTTTTTTTTTTATCATACCAGGTAGACCAGGAAAGATAAACCCGCCAATCATTTCCGCAAACACATTCAAGCCAAATCCTGTGCCTGTAATAGCAGTGATCATATTTAAAGGTAAAGACAAGAAAGTAGACATAAAAATAGCAATCAAGACACCATACCAAGGTAATTGAGATTGATTGACATAAGCAACTAAAATATTAAGACCAATACCGCTTATATAGACCACATAATACCACCATGTAGGCACCTAAAAAAAAAAGAACAATTAAGAACAAGCTATCATTTGCATGATCTTTACTTGTGGATACACGGTGTCTAAAGATGGCCCTTTTTCTGCTACTTTGCCTCTACAGTGTTGATACCAGCCAAATCGAGAGAGACCTTGTTTAACAGATTGATAGATATCTTTGCCATGAAATAATCCTATATGAGTAATAGAGGCTGTCACGCCCACATTCATCATGACATATCCAAATGCAGCCACGGCAGAGAAATGAGGTCGACCAATCTGTTCTAGTGCTGTCTGGTTCAACGAGTTATCTGGATTCAAGACTTGATGTTGGGGATAAATAACAGACGTGCCATTGGCCAGCAATTGAAAAATCGAATTGGATAAGAAGGGAAAACTTTGTGCATGCCATACATTAAAATGGTACAGTAAAGGCGCAATGATCCATAACAATACAATGCCTATATAGATGTTCAGCTGAACATACAAAGGCAAGACCAAGGGACTCAAGTTAGACAGATAATTCCAGTCAAAACTGAGACTCAAGATACCCAATCCTTCATTCACTGCCAATCCACCAAACAGCCGTTGAATCCAGACAGCATTCGTATTGGCCAAGCAAGCAACAGAGACACCTCCCAGGATAGGCATCATATACTGAGGTATAAACTCATAAAAAAACACACCTGCGAATACCAGAAAAAAAAACCGAGTACGCCATCGCGACGCTTGTTGATTTAAAGTGACCAACAAACTTACCGTGGGTAAAGACGTAGGCCATATCATATGCGGTGGATCCACCAAAAACGTCTTGAGTTGTCCTGCGATACCATAACCTACCATTTGTGTGGCCATTAAGAGAAAAATCGCACCTGCAGGTCCAGGTGCATGATTGTAGTACAAGTCTTGGGCTGACAAGATATACGTGGCATAAGCAGAGGCATTGGCAGACGATACCAAGACGTAAATACATGCATGTTCTTTAAGGTTAAATGGACCTGGATTGAACCATGGATGAGGGGGTACCCATCGTGTCCATGCGTGGCAAAAGACATAAGCTAGCATGAGCATGAACGTATTGGTCAAAGGAAGTCCTACAGGTTTGAATGTCATCAATTGATAGACTGAGGACCCTAAACAAGCCAATACCTAAATCTATCAACAAACCTGTTTAATTACACCAAATCACTTACTATGCCGACCACAAGCGCACGTAACGTAAAACAAGGTAGTGAAGGATCATCTTGAATTGAAGCTAGTTCATTGACAATTTGAATATCAAGATCATCTTTTATCAATTCATCGTCTTTTTCTTTGATTACATAGTCTTCTTTTAAAACATGACTATCAGATGATTGTCGCTTCATGTTTGTAAATACAGAAAAAAAAAAAGAGGGAGAACAAAAAGAGAGGAAAAGGATAACAAATGCATAGCTTGATGCATTATAAAAAAGATCATATACACTGGATTTTCCCTCCCTCTTTTTTTTTTTCCTTTTTTATGTATCGTTTAGGAAAAAACCTATTATAGCCAGTATAGACTCGGTTATTGAGCTCGGTATAGGCTTATCGCAAATAAGGTTAAATTTCATGGTTTGGATAAATAGAGTATTTTTATTACTTTCAAGCACTTGATGGTATACTTTTCAAATCAATAAACATATGGACAAGCTACTCCTATCATTGCTCATATGCATCAAGCCAAAAATCATCAGTATCTGTTTTAAAGGCTACTTACTCATGCTTCATTGACTAAAATATTTTACCTATACTCTTAATTTTTTCTATCGTTACTAGGCAGCCAATGATATCAAGATCCTTATTGTTCCTGAAACCAAAACAGACAAAGTATTGATAATACGTTTAATTTAAGGACAAAAAAATCTTCTATGGTAATAACCAAAATGAATTAAGAGTAGCAGAACAGCCAGCCAAACCCATAGAGCCTATTCCTACTTGGTTTGATACCCTAGATTCATACGAGCTATGTCTACTAACATACACGGTACTTTTGGGGTTGATTTGCACTAAAAAAAAAAAGCGACTTGTAAAAAATGGCTAAAAATCACTCTAATCTAAAGGGTACTACTCATGGAAATACTCAAGTTGACAACTCTTTGATCTTCTTTTTGACGCTACAAGACAAAAAATAGAGGTGTCGACAAACTTAAATACTCAAAATGTGCATTAAAGGTGTTAGCTTTTGTCAAATGTATTTGTCTGTTAACTGTACTATGTAAATGATGAGATATGAACAAAAAACCTTGTAAACGTCTTTGTCCATTTGCTCAATATTTTAGCAGCAAAGTTGCTGTGTTGCTTAGATCAGTAGACTCAGAAAGCAGGAATCTCCAACTTTCATCACTGCACCAAAGCCCAATAACAGCCTCTTTATGCAGTTACAAGCAAACGCTTGATTTTTGATGCGGCTGGATACAGAATTGAGGTTGCCCTCTAGTTTCGATCTTCAACACATGCCAATCTGTACGTCCTATGCTCATTTATCCCATATTTACAATATAAAAGGCCTACTTTTTCGGCTATCCTATGTTCTTTAGCACTTGATATAACATAGGATGTCTTATAAAAGCCTATAAATGCCACATTTTATAAGTCATCTGGAGTAAAAATGTTCATAACACAGCTTAAACAAGCCAATCTTTGATGTGTCATTACTCGACAACCAGACTATTAAAACAGTCCGTTTTTTCATTTAAAACATCTTCTTTCCAGTCTAAAAATTGAATGGTACTACTGGTTTGGCGCTTGGGTAAAACTCATTTTTTGATCCATGGGGATCCACGAAGGTCTGTGAAGATGAAAAAAAAAAAAAAAAAAAAAAAAAAAAAAAAAAAAAAAAAAAAAACTCTATCGAGAATTTTTGGAATAACTCAATGTAGGTCTGATCCAACCGAAATCAGGTAAGACCATGTCTAGGTACTTCCGATGAAAAGAAAGCGAGTTTACTAAGACGAAACAGGCGATTTCATTTGAGCATTGGCTTCAAATCTGCGTTCAAAGCTCGTGGTACACTGTAATCAGTACAAAAGAGGTCTTTTTTAGTGAGTATCAGATATCAGACAAGGCTTTTTTTCTATATCATTCAATGCGCTTACTATAGAAGAGAGAGATATACTAAGGTAGTTGATTGTCTTGAGGTAAAAAGGACAACTTCGAACATAATGAAGTGTAAGTATTATGTAAAATGGGAGGTCCATAATTTAAAACACCGGCATTTTTTCCCCGCATACTCAAATCATACAAAATTACCTAGGCAGATAAGAGGGTGCAAAGCTACCAGGAATGCTAAAAGAGGCTTATTAAACAAAAGATTGGAGCATTAGATGGTGTGGAAAGAGAAATAAGTTTCCTATAGAAATATTGAGAAGAAAGCAAAAATGTCGTGTTATTCTCTGATGTTAGCATAACCTTTTCTATACCCTTTACAACATAAACACTTGGAATGCCTTTTACAGCTGTATACAAACATTCTTGTTATGAATTAGCTTAATAAGAAATTTTTATATCTTTGCTAAGTAAAGATAGTATAATTCTGAACAAAACGGCTCTACTCTCCCTTTTGAGGAACTTTCAGAATCAATTCAATCTCTGATTTGTCACTCATTCTGTATGCATGGCAGTATGATGCGCAAACTTAAACAGGGAACGAATATGTCTACTAGCAAAAAAGAAAAAGAAAATGCGAAAGCGCTCTTAGTAGAGAAAGAATCACAAAACTATCATAAGGATCGCACACACATAGCAAAAGCCTGTAGAACCATGGTTGTTTGCTTATTTACTCACATCTACATGATAAACGAACCCTACTCTTTGATACTGCAAATAGGATGCAGTTCTTTACTGCTATGATAGTAACCAAGACTCAAAAGATATTGTTTAAAGAAATTACCGACATTTTCATGTTTCAAGCTAATCCTAGAAAAGACATGATTCAAATGCTACAAATCGTACAAAACATTTGGGTCATCGCTCTCAGCCAAATTCATGATGGTTCATTACTGCACTTCATAAAATGTCAGTTTCCTTTTTTTTTAGTACTTTGCAGATATATCGTTGTTTGACTTAATAAAATACATTGATGCCAATGTTTCTTCTTTGCCAAGATTATGCTGATGATATCATGTTTTAAGGAATAACAGGAGCATTTGGCCGGTTAGAAATTCACGTTGATTGGTAGATTGTCCTTTTAATTGAATGTATCGAAAATAGTTTGACCGTCTCCACAGCGATGCTGATTCGTCAGTGGAACAGAGGCAGATCTGATTCGCGGAACAGGCTGTGCCGGCTATGTAAGTGTCTCCGTGGAATGGGCATACATGATTCGTGGACTCATAAAGCATAAAATAAACAAGAAAAGAAGTCATGATAGAAGGATTGCTTCATATGAACGCTATTAGAAGCTGTATCTAGTACAGTATATTAGAACAAACAGAAGACATATCAGCTTTACTTTGACATTTTCATTCAATTCAATACTTCAAGATTATGTAACACAAACGTATTCAAATTTCGTATAAAAACGTCAAACCAGTTGTCTCTCTTTTTTTCTTTTTTCTTTTCTGTTATGTCTCTTCAAACTCAACTCTCAGTTCAAAAACTACTTGATCTTTATCAAGCCTACATTGTGCCTCGCCTCACCCAAAAGAACAAGACAATTGGTATCAGTACTGCTGTTGCTCTGTCTTTAGTCTACTTTATTCGTAATCGTATCTTGAAACCACCCAAGTCATTGCGTCGTATTCCATATATTGGTTATTTTACCATCTTGGGCTCTTTTATACGAGGTGAATCTCAATGGGACTTTGATCATCGAGTCTTGTTTCCTATGCTTGAGTCTAAATGCAAAGACGGTATTTATATGGTAAGTTGCTTTATGTTTCATGCGATCATTCATCTTTTGTTGAATAGAAACCTACTGCACTTGGTTGGACTATCTTTGTTACTACACCTGAACATGCTAAAGTTGTCTTCCTCAAGACAGGTAAAGAAAAAAAAAGGAGGGGAATACATATTGATGGGCACCTAGCTAACTCATACTAGACATGTTTCCTAAAGCCCTACAGACGTCTAATCAACGCAGCACAGTCATGGGCAGATTTGTTAATGGCCCCAACCTCGTCTTTTTGAATGGTCCTCATTGGAAATCACAAAGAAAAGTAGCTAATCCTGCCTTTCATCGATCGATGCCGGTCAATTTGTTTGGCCAATTGACCTTGAAACTCTTTGATGTGATTGAAAAAGATGGCCCTAAGGTTGATTTCTCTGATTTGATGCAAAGATGGACATTGGATGCAATTGGCCAAGCAGGCTTTGGTAAAAAAAAAAAAAAAAAAAGCTTTTTATTGTCTAATATTTATTCTCCATAGGATTTAATTTCAATGCACTAGGTGATAAAGACAACGATTGGGTCAAGACATACAACACAATCAATGAAGGCTCCACTAGTATTCTTTACGGTGTCTTTCCTGGTCTTGATAATCGAAACTCGTTCTTCTTACCTCCTCGACGTCGTACAATTCACCGTGAACTAGATCGCTTTCTTGGTATGATCGACCAAGTCATCTTGAAAAAAAGAGAGCAAGTCGCCAAGGGCAACCTACAAAACGACGCACTTCAAGAAAACGAAAAAGACTTGTTGACATTGATGATTGAAAGTGAACAAAGAGGAGAAGGTGTCTTGTCAGACGAAGAACTTAAAGTAAACCATACCTTGTCTATGAAGTATTGTTCACCGTCCTTTTTATTTATTTAGAGCAATGTCTGTATTTTCTTTTTAGCTGGTCATGATACAACAGCAAACACATTGTGTGTGATTGTTCTTTATTTGGCTCTTTATCCAGTAAGTTGTCTTAAAAAGTAGAGCTCTTTGTTTATGTGTGATGTAGGAAATGCAACAAAAAGCAAGAGAAGAAGCCTTTCGCGTCTTGGGTGATGAGCCTAGAGATATCTTGCCTACCTTAGACCAAACCAAAGAATTAACATACATTAACCAAATCATGAAAGAGGTAAGAAACCTACTGGCAGAACATATGGCATAACAAATACATAGGCATTACGTATTCGTGGTCCTGCTCCCCGTGGTATCCCTCGTCAAGTCACTGAAGATATTGTCTTGTCTGACAAACCTATTCCCAAGAACTCTTTAATTTCAGTGGACCTGTTTGGTATTCATCACAACAAGCGTGTCTGGAAAGACCCTGAAGTCTTTGATCCTGACCGATTTGATGAAGACAATGAGAACAATGGTCCTAGACCAGGCATGGCTTGGGTTCCCTTTAGTAACGGTGCTCGTCAATGTATTGGCATGAATTTCAGTTTATATGAACAGCGCGTCTTGTTAGCTATGCTTTGTAAGTCATGAACCATATTAACATCAACGTTAATACTGTATAATCATAGTGAGAAAGTACATTTGGACACTGCCTGAAGATTCTATCCATAAGCATGGTATTATCAGTCAAGGTCATGGCATTGTTGGTCCTGCTCAAGTCAATATCAATTTTAAAAAGAGATTTTAGCCTGTATATTAAAATAAACGATTTTCTATAGTTAATTGATAGTCCTCAAACAATGAATCCAAGTGAGCTTATTGTCTAAAGAGGATATATATATATGTATCAAGAACATCAAAAAAAAATACTGTTTATTATGCTTGTTTCGTTTATTTTCTGCTTATTTAATTATAGTGTTTATGCTAGCGTCATTAATCCTATACAGAAGAAGAGTGTCCATGACCGGCTTATTGTCAATTCCACTCAAGGCTTTTATGATGATCCTAATCCTTCTCCTTCAAAAGACACCTCAATTTGGCTTCCTATTTTTCCTTGAGATGTCTTCATAATAAAGTCCGCTAATGATGACGTTAAATTCGGGGATTGTAAAAACGACGCGTATTTCTTACTGCAGATACAAAAAGCAAACGCAACATGCTATTTCTTTTTTTCTAATTGCTTTATATTATGTCTGGATACGATCGTGCCTTAACTGTATTTTCACCTGATGGTCACTTGTTTCAAGTAGAATATGCTTCTGAAGCTGTTAGAAAGGGTACCTGTGCTGTAAGTAGATGGATTCGTTACTTGGTTTCTAATGTCTTGCTAGGTGGGTGTTCGTGGCAAGAATGTCGTTGTTCTTGGTGTTGAAAAGAAATCAGTATTGAAATTACAAGATCCTCGAACTGTGCGTAAGATTTGTATGTTGGATGATCATATCTGTATGGCTTTTGCAGGTAAGAGAACACATAATGAGAGAATAGACCTCTCACTTTATTAGGTTTAACTGCTGATGCCCGTGTTCTTGTTAATAAGGCTAGAATTGAATGCCAAAGTCATCGTTTGACAGTTGAAGATCCTGCTTCTGTTGAATACATTACGCGTCATATTGCTCAAGTGCAACAAGTAGGTTAACTTTTGATAGGCTTTATGGCTCATTTTTTTTTTTTTTTTTTTTATAGAAATATACCCAAAGTGGTGGTGTTCGTCCTTTTGGTATCTCTACTCTTATTGTCGGTTTTGACAATAAGGAACCTAAGTTATACATGACTGAACCCTCTGGTATTTACACTGCCTGGAAGGTATGTGCCCTTATCTATCGATATTTTTATCTGATTAGCTATTAGGCCAATGCTATCGGTAGAAGTTCCAAGACAGTACGTGAATTTTTGGAAAAGAATTATAATGAAGATATGGATGAAAAAGAAACGATCAAACTAGCCATCAAGTCATTATTGGAAGTTGTGCAAACAGGTGCAAAGAACATTGAAATTGCTGTCATGACATCTGACAGTGTTGTTAAGGTAAGAAACAACTGTTGATATCGTATCTCATCCTCTCTATGTGATAGCATTTGGAGCAAGAAGAAGTTGAAAGTGTTGTTGCTGAAATTGAAAAGGAAAAGGAAGAAGAAGCTGAAAAGAAGAAGAAGCCTACTGTGACAAGTGCTTAAAAAATAATAAAAAAATGAAAAAAAGGACTGTACAACATGAGATCAAATTCAGCGTTGCATAATGTTATTTGATTTAGCCGGAGGGAAATCATTTTGCCATGAGTAAAATAATAATTTCTGTACCTGAATCATGAAAAAAAGCTGACAAACATAACATATGGGTTTTTCCATTTGTTTTACTCACAGCCATCAAAGTCACATTTCTATATAAAAAAACCCTTTATTTATTCAGCATTTTTCACTCGTTATCTTCTTTTTTTTTTTTAGTTGATTATGAAAGATACTTTACCTCCTGTTGGACATGCTGCTGCTGGTTCAGCTGGTGCCATGTTTGCCTTGTCATTGATATACCCACTTGACATGTAAGCCATTACTCTATAGACATTCAAGTATTCATGTTTTGTTTAGTATCAAGACAAGAATCCAAGTACAGACAAAGAATGAATCAGAACACTATGCATCTGCTTTGGACGGCATTAAACAGATCATTGAAAAAGAAGGCATTTCAGGACTCTATGCCGGTCTCGGTTCTTCATTGATCGGAACAGCATCGACCAATTTCACTTATTTCTATTGCTACAGTTTCCTCCGAGAGAACTACAATAAGCGATACAATCCTCGCGGGGGTACTCTTTCCACTGCTCTAGAACTTGTGTTGGGTGCAGCAGCAGGTGCCTTAACAACATTGATTACTACGCCTGTGTCTGTGATCACCACACGTCAACAGACACTACCACCTTCTGAACGACAAGGTGTCATGGATACTTGCAAAACTATCATTCAAGAAGAAGGCATTCAAGGACTATGGCGAGGTATTCAACCTTCTCTTGTGTTATGTGTCAATCCTGCTATTACTTATGGTAGTTTTGAAAAGATCAAGCAAATTGTTGTCCAAGTACTCAAGTTGCCCTTGACACCCGGTATGAATTTCTTAGTGGGTGCGCTCTCAAAGACATTAGCTACCATTATCACATACCCTTACATTATGGCTAAAGTACGTCTTCAATGGAGACCCTCCAAGGAAATGAAGGATAAAGTGGTTGCTTACAAAGGATCTGTGGATGTCTTGACTCGTGTGCTCAAGACAGAAGGATTCTTGGGTTGGTATAAGGGTATGAGTACACAAATCACAAAGGCTGTCTTGTCTCAAGCCTTGTTGTTTATGATGAAGGATATCTTTACCAACTATACGATGATTGCTTATGCGCTTATCAAAGCATCCCAAAAAGCAAAGTCAGCTTAGATTTTTTATTTTTTTTTGATAGAATTAAAAATTGTTCTTGTATGTTCATTGTTTGATTGTTTCTATGGGTATCTATTTTTCTTTACCCGGATGGCTTTGTTTAAAGTGATTGTGTCTAATTTGATCCTTGCTTTCTGTTTGCGTTATTTACAGCCTCATGTACTACAAGAAACTAATATGACAAAATGTAAAACGTATTTTTATTGGACAGTATTAACATTTTCATATAGCCTATCATATTGAATTCAGCAAAGTAGACCTTAGTATATTTCAACAAGATCCTTTTATATTTGACTTCCATAGGACGGGTGCTATACGTTTATCCAGTTGTGACACATTAACACCCGTCTTAAACACTTTTAGGTTTGTTCTGCTCAATCATACATTGCATATCTATGATCCAGAAAGTATGACAGATATTGTTCAACAGGTAGTTAAAGCCCATACTCTTTTAGCAGAAACAAGGCATGCCATAGCAGCCATCCACAAGACTCCAAACGTACTCCATTCAATAGATCCCAACCAAAAACCATTCAGAATGGCCTCTGTCCCATGGACTGAGTTCCCTGTACTTTTCATACGATTGGTATGGCATCATATTCAACCTAGTGAGTTTATGTTACTCGCTATCAGCCTAGCCATTTGCTCGGGCATCCACTGTTTTTATTCCGTTTATCGAATCCAAGATAATCAAATTTGCCTGTCAAATAAACCTATTCGACCAACACCGCACAATAAAAACAAACTAACTTTACCAGCAGAAAAGAAGGAAAACAAGATAGCCCATAACCCGATTTCCACAGCACAACGCAGTGAAAATGACATCGACAGTTCAGTCCGTCGTGTTTGGGTAGACATGTGGGGAAAACTAGGTGATAAACCCTCTTATGAATTTCCTCAGTCAATCTTTGGACCTTCTTTTAGACCATTACACATGTCTAAAAAAAGACTGAGCAAGATGCCAAAGCAAAAGTTTGAGAGAATCAAGTGGTATCTAGACTGTCTGCCAGAACCCCTGACTCCAAAGGATTATGCAGCAGCACAAACAAAAAGAAATGAAGCTTTGTTAAAAGACAAAGGTGTTCAAACAAGTCCTATTTATTACAAGTATTTTTATGCAAATGCATCTTCATAAGAAGCCTAATTTTTTTGTGTGTGTGTTTTCATCTAGACTTTGAGAATCATAGTAGCATAACTGATAAATCATGAAAGTCTTGTTCTTCTTTGTAGAAATAAAGTTTATTTTCTTTTCTTTCATTCAAAACAATGGCTATACCATTTGATTTACCAAGTGAGATACTATCGAGTATTTTTCAATATCTTGATACAAAGGATATTTTGCAATCCCAACTTGTATGCTACTATTGGAGCAAACCTGCTAAAATAGTCCTCTATGCAAATGTGAGTATGACTTACGTAAGTCAATTGCAATCATTTATTCATACAGTCACCACATCTTCCTATGGTACTTACACAAGACAATTGTATACGTTAGGCATGTATGAAAAAGACATGTCATATACGTTAGAGACAGAATCCATACTTTGCAAGTTGGCAAAAGCAACTCCTGCTCTTGAAAAGCTCAAGGTGTCTTTTGTCACTGATGTTTTTTGGATTTGGTTAAAGAAACAAGTACTGGAGGGACAATGGCAACACTTGAATACGATACCTTACCCAACCACACCATCGCAATTCATGGAGTACAGCCGTGTTGTATGGGCCATGCGAAACAGACTCAAAAACCTAAAGATATTTATCAGTTCACACTGTGAATTGGACCGTACAATCTACCAAGGCTATGAATTCTGGAGAAAAAAACTAGATGGATTTGCATGCTTGGAAAAACTCGTAATTGATAACCCAGCTTGGCGAACACTCTATGACTATGATAGTCTGATCGATGCCTGTCCATGTCTGAAAGAGTTCCAGTTAAGCTCGACTTTTCCTGTGGCTGTGATTCGTTCCAACCGAAAGATGCATTTGTGGACCCCAAATTACAGTGTGAATCGACTTGATTTGTTGATCTCGATTTGTTCCAAAAACGAAATCCTGTATATCATACAGAAATTCAAGGGATTAAAGCATTTGAGTGTTCATCATCCATTGTTGTATCCAATTACCTTTGAACAGGCAGTCAGGACTGACTTTGGAAACCAGGTAGCAGACCGGTTTATAATGTTTATTCATTCTTTGGAAAGCTTTCAATGCAACGGTGTATCTCCTCGTTATCTCTCATAAAATGGATGTAAAAGAGCCTTTTACGCTTTTTAATAATAATGATAAAACAAGGCGCTTGCCAAGCAGATCTTTTCCTCCCCCCCTTTTTTTTAACGCCTCATAATTTAATATAACAAACATCGCATGGTCATTGAGTGTTCTATAAAAAAGGAGGGTTGTCTGAATAACCAAACACTATTAGTTGATGGTTATAAAGCGATGGGCAACTTCTTTAATTTCTTGATTGATATTTGACTGTCTGCGGTATAACTAAAGCGTGTTCAGATCTTTTACAGATCCCTACAGGAGACAAAGAAGAAACAAACAAACTACTGCCTATAAAAGTGCGTGCCATGTTAGCTTTTTTTTTTCTTTTTTTCCCTTTGCATATCTTTAAGGGCGAACACTTTGCTTTCCGTTCTCTGTGTGGCTCTTGCCTTAATGGCACGTTCCTCATTTGTATATGCTCAAGACTGCAAAATATGTCCTTGTCCAGAAAAGTGTGACTCTTGTAATGAATGCCATCTTCATCCAAACGGAGCCTTATTGACTGTTAATTGCAAATTATGTAGAACTTACAGACAGATGTAAAAACTACTTTTGGATTCGTCTTTTCTTGTGACGATGGGAGTAAGTAATGTAGTTGTGGCGAAACGAAAATGGAAAGCGACAGACTTCGTTCTCTTCCATACAATGACACCAAATGCGATTTTGATCATGGTTTCAAATCCACACATGCGATAATGGTTTATGCCTGTGTACATGCAAAGGCTATGATTATGCTCGTTCAATATTCTATAATAAATATCGCACAAAATGTAGAAGAAACTATGCATACATATTTCTAGATGCAATATCTTCAAAAGGCTATTGCTTATGAACACATTTCAGTGGTTCCTTTTTTTTAAACATTAAAGAACAATAAATAGAGCTATTAAGACAAAGACAGAAAATCACACTTTCATGCATATTTAAGTAGAAGCTTCTTTCTAGTACATCTTTTTAAAATTTTATTCTTGGTTTGGCATGTTTGTTGTATACTATATAGAGTGAAAGGATAGAGACACAACATGCTTCATCACATGATGATCCAATACATTTAGCTGTCTCACAGGACAAATAGGTAATTGAAGAGACCAAACGGACAGAGAAACCAATTGGCATATAATAAGAAAGTTTATTATTAGAAGGTTTGACGTGTAGCTAGCAAGTGTATTTCTGAGCACACTTGCGCTTAATGAGACAAAAAAGGTCAAATCAATCTTTGGAAAATTGTAGAATAAAACAAGAAAGAGTATTTTAAAGCTCCCTAATACTACACTATCATAATCAGTGCATTTAATAATTATTTCTAAAGTGTTCCTTGAAAAAAAAATAGAATGGGATGAAAAGAAAAAAGAATGGCACGTTTTGAAGCTTGACATAGGTAGAGTGCTCCCTTAAGACAGAAGGAATGTTGATAAATACTCAAAAATTACCGCAATTACTCAGAAAGTATGACCAATTATAAAAGACAAGTTGCCACTTCCCATCCATATTGATAGTAACAGAACCATCATTAACCTTACGCACTCTTCGATTTAGAAACTGCTTGAAATCATCTTCAGTGTAGTATTGACTGAGTTTTATAGGAAAATGGGAGGAATGTTCGACCGAGCAAGATTGTAGAGACCAATCCCCAGGGCTGACAATCGGTCTAGTTGCTTTCTTATTCATTATAGAAATACAGTCCTTATACAAGCAATGGAAAGCACCTTTTACTGTTTTTGTTCCCTTCTCGGTTCTGTTCACTGAGTGTACTAATTTCTGGAAACAAAAGACACACGTCTGGGACGTATCATACTCGTTTGTGATGCATAGAATACTTGTGCTCACAAATAGTTTTTGCTTCCATACCGTCCATGTCCTTTTATTCCTGAGTCAATACCAAGGCCTTGATCTCCAACAAACAAACAAGCCTTTTTGATTTTTTAGGACCGAGTCAGAATGACACAAATAATACCGATCATGCGCCATCATGAGTAGTGATTACCTTCTTTCTGTATAAACTTCTTTTCTTGACTATAGATCCTTAGACGGACACGAGTATTCTGCAGTTCATTTCTTCTGATAACATTGGTTCTTTTACTAGAAGCATGAAAATCGCGTAATCCTTTTCTATGGCCTAAATGAACTTCATTCCTTTGTTTAAACTCTGCAGCATTTACAGGATATTGTAAGCTATTTTCAAAGAGAATACAACAGCTAGTTTGTTTTACAGGTCCACTATCGTTATAAATATCTCACGTTATGCTTTGATACGCATTGTTCGTAGCAAGGAGTGTGAGAAGGTATTCATTCACGTTTTGTTAACAGCTAGAAATCTCCCTAAGTAACTATACTTGTAGATCTAAATATCAATAGGCTTTCTTGGCTTGAAATCTACAGTACTCAGTTTTACGCGTCAAAAAGAAATAGATGAACCGCCTTCAATATCGAAGAAGACATAACTTTTGCTGACAGTAACTACTAAATTTTTTAGCATGTCAACGTTTGAATTAATATTCTCTTAATGAAAATTTGAATTCAAAAAAAAAAAAAAAAAAAAAAAATAGAATCTCAAGAAATGATGGACTAAAACCACCCAAAAACAAAGAGCTAGCAAAGAATCGTAATAACAAAGTTGATAGGAGTTAGCAAAACGTATTGAATTATGTAGAGAAACTAGTATGTATGCTAGTAAAATAGTGAGCTATTTCTTAAAACTTGTTTCATGTTTCTGAGCTATAGTGCTCACTTTATATGGTACTTTTACAAATCTAACACTTTGAGTATGTTTTATGGATCTAGAGAAGCAATTAGCACTAAGCCATGTTATGTTTAAAGTGTCTCTATCCCCCACAAATCGCAAAATAGTGAAAATTGAAGATTCTGTAAGAGTATTATAAGGGATTTATTACTTTTTCTGAATTCAAACATCAATAAACGACAAAACCACACAAAACAGTGACATTAGCACATTCAATACTAGCAGCAGCAACACTCATTGCAACACACTGCCTAAGTTGGTCCTCATCACCAAAATAAGAAATCTATAACTTGAATATCACTTATACTCAAAAGCCAACTAGCTTCCCGCAAAAACACTCGAAGTCTGATATGCTCTTAAACGAAGACAAAAAAAAGTTTAGAGAAATTAAAGCATTCAAACTAAAGACTAAAGTTACTACCAACACCCGAGATACTCCTGGTGTCCCTGACTCAATTCTCTCAGGCCTGAATTCTCAACTGGATCATGCCGCATCAATGTCTACCATTAACAACCAAGACCAATTATAATGAATGAAATTAATTCAAATAAAACTAGAATAGAATGATAAACGCTTTACCCAATTCGATCAGCATATGAAATTCTCTACACAAATTGACCGGCAGGAGGGATACTCTTCCCAATTGGAACAACTTATGCCTAACAACCAACAATTGGAAGCTGCTCTAGTAAGCGCCAGTATGAGAATTTGTTAATTGGAGACCCAATTGCAGCAAGCCTTAGAATCATAACAAGATATTGAAATGCTTACTACCCCAGCTCTCGATAACTCCGAAGTACTAGCTACTTTGGATTGGGAGCTGGACTCACCAGCCTCAAACTATGCCTCTGTAGCCGCATCCGGTCAGAAGCTAAATCCGACACCAAAGGAAGCTCAAGAGCTCTCTGTTAAATCCGCGTCCAAGACAAAAAACCCCTCCAAAAAACCCAAGAGGACTATTGGAAAACAGCGACAAGCAGCCACTAAAGTATTCACAGCACCCGCTGCATATGATCCGCTCTCATTCTCCGATGAAAATGGTAACTATGCTCCTAAATTTAAGTATATCTACCTTCCACAAATTGGACGCTGCATCTAGCCGCATTTTGGACATTCATTACCCAGCACGAGGAATTGTTGCGGTTTTCATTCATATCAGGTATTTTAATGAATTCAATATACTTTTAGACAAATGGAAGATTATGCCTCTCCATGATTTCAGTCCATTAGATCTTTGACAAGTGACGAAAAGCGTGCAACAAAATTGAAGGAGATCCACCAACAACGACTGGACCATGCTCTAGAATATATGTGAGAGCATGTTCGCCGACCAGTGGCTTTTGATTTTATTTTTCGAGGCTAGCTCACTGCAAGTAAGGCTCAATCAGCTTTCACTAATGGGGCCTTTCGCATAAAACAATAATTGCCCCGATAAAACATTCACAAGTGAAGAAAATATCTCTATACACCATTGTTTATGCTTCCTACCCTTTTTTCTATATTTTTCATAGCTTTATAGTTTTTTTTTTTTTTTTTTTTTTTTTTTTTTTTTTTTTTGCTCTTTTCTTTCTTTGAACTGATGGTTAGGTATTTAACCCATAAGGCCCAGTCTTCACAGCCATACAAATAGAAATATAAACTTTTACTGAGTATCATAAGGGTAAAATGACGATCTTTTTTACTTTTTCAAAACTTGCTATTTTTCTACACTAACATGTTCTTTGATGTATGCTCAACTATGGGAAACATGAAAAAGCGAATTGGAAGGTAGAAATTAGGACTAGTTTCGATAAAACACTCACAACTGTAGCGGGTTACCAATCCGCAGGTAGTACCAGTATGTTTGTCGGATGGATTCAAAAATAAACAATAAACAGAATTGGTTTATGTATCAAGACTACATCATATGTCGAATATTAGAAAAGGGTGCGCACTGAGGATTAGGAGCATATCCAAGTACATAATGTGCATGACTGTTTATATACATTGTAACTACCAAATTCCATTTGGTATGGTCAAAATAGATTGACTGCTGTCATCAAGAAAGAGGAACGCTTTGAATTATTCGAAAAAATCCTCGCTCAATCTCCCACGCTCGGCGCACGCATCAAGCATCTTAGTAATGAATTTCACTATTGCTTCTGTTTAAACAATCAAACTTACCCAAATTGATACCTAACCTAGAAATCCTTTATGCAGAAGAACCCGTTACCAATTTCTGAGGTTCCCTTAATGATGTCTTTGACAGAGATGAATGGTCACATCTTGTCTCATTCCCCAATTTTGATGAATGCACCCCTCATTCAAGCAAGCCTTATGAGATTTGCTAAGATCTAGTCTACCCTTGACGTGCCAAAATGAAGAAACTCAATATCTATATTGATTACCGTTACCGTGACGATGAGAACAGCATCATGGGCTATCCTTTCTGGTTCAAAATGATCACAGATTTTTCTCAGGTGGAAGAACTTACAGTCGATATCAGCGATCATAGAGATATAACAAATTACCATGACTTTATTGAGGTTTGCCCCAAGATCAAGGAACTCAGGTTGAGAATTGATCGTCATTATGTTCCTCGCAGTCAATACAAGAAACGCCGTTATTTTAGCTCATTGGTTCCAAACACAACTATCACTATACTTGAAGTACAACACAGTTTTCTTAGAAAACCTGATCTGAATTACAGCATGAAGAAGTTTAAAGAATTAAAGAGCTTATATATTATATAAGAGGAAAAAGATTATTACACGCTGGAAAGCTTACTTCACAAGGAGCTTGGTGCTGAAACTAGAGATCAATTCTATAGAATGACAAGCAAGCTGGATTGTTTTGAAGACATAAACAACTATGATTGTTAATAAACCCTATTTTACACTGTGAAAAGATTTTCATCCTCCCCCCCTTTTTTTCTCTCTCTCTCTCTCTTTATGTCTAACCCCCAGATCCACGCTTCAGTACTTAACTTCTTAATAGATCATGGTTATATGGAATCTGTCGAAGCCTTTAAGCGTGAAGCGAGGCAACACCTTGACTCTGCTTCTGGTGATGATCAACTCGCCTATGATCTATCTCAGCTTCATCTTGAAAGGTAAATTTGTAGTCTCGAATAGCGGACTCATCGAGTTAGATCCAATGAGTTGTTAGAAGGCGACAATGACTATTTCAATCAACTTAATGCAGATTACCCCTTGATTCATGACACCAACATTTTAGCTGTCGCATTTGAACCTCATACACGCGTCTTGGCGACAAGTTCAGTTGATAAATCAGTTAAAATTAGCACCATGTTAGCCAGCCAAGACTTGTATCCAAAAACCTACCGTCATCATCAAGCACCTGTACTTAGTATTGCTTTTCATCCTACATGCTCTGGACTCATGATGACGACATCTATGGATGGTACAGTAGCCTTGGTCAATACAGACCATGAGCCTGAATTTGGTGCTGATACAGAGAAAGAAGGTCTTCATCAACACTTTAAAGACCATCAGAAATATGTAGTTCAAGGCTTATTTTCCCTTGAAGATGGGCACTACATGGCCACGGCTTCGTATGATCGTACTGTCTGTCTCTATCAGTCAGACAGATCCACTCTACCTAATTATACCATGATCAAACGCCTTGGGCCTTTTATCGGTAATGTAGAAACCATTTGTTTTATGAAAAACCAACTGGTCGTGGGTGTCCGTGACGATAACTATTTACACTATACGCATCTTGACAGTCTTGCATCGTATCGTGTGAACATGAATGCCACAGGCGATGATTGGGTCTCTTTTTCACCTGTGTGTCTCTCTGCCAACCATGGCTTGTTGCTCTGTACGACAGATCATGCTAGTGGTCGTACCATCCTGTTTAAAGCTGGTTCGGATAAACAAGTTCAAAACTACTATATTTTTCCCAACGACAATACGTTTATTACACGCAAACATGTCTGGCATCCTTCCGGAAGGTATTTTTATGCGATTGGATCAAATGAACATGACATTGCTGTGGTGGAGGTCAAGACAGGGCAGATTGTTAATACTTTAAAGGGGCATCAAGGTATGGTGCGTTGTTTGGATGCTTATCACCAGGGTTTATTCAGTGCAGGCTATGATCACACAGTGAAACAATGGTCTAAACAAGAAACAGTTGCGCGTTAAAGTTTGCATGAATTCAATAAATAACTCCGCCTATTTAAACCACACCATATTTTTTTTTTTCTATCTGTTTTTTCTTTTTTTTTTCTTTACATTAAACACAATGGGTAAGTTGGTATTCTATCAAGTGATAAACTAACATGTCTTGTTTATAGTTGTAAGTATACAAAAGAAAGAGAGAAAAAATAGACTTAAAGAAACTAGAATTTTACAATTGAAGAAATTCGTGGATTGATGGACAAGGTGACCAATGTCCGTAACATGTCTGTGATTGCTCACGTTGATCATGGTAAATCTACCTTGACAGATTCCTTGGTCTCGAAAGCAGGTATCATCTCCAGTGGTCGTGCAGGTGAAGCTCGGTTCATGGACACCCGTAAAGATGAACAGGAACGAGGTATCACTATCAAATCCACAGCCATCTCCATGTACTTTCAAATGGAAAACGAACAAGACTTGAGCGAAATCAAGGGTCAAAAGACAGACGGGCGTGCTTTCTTGATCAACTTGATTGACTCGCCTGGTCATGTTGATTTCTCTTCCGAAGTCACTGCTGCGCTTCGTGTAACCGATGGTGCATTGGTCGTTGTTGACTGTATTGATGGTGTTTGTGTTCAGACAGAAACTGTCTTGAGACAAGCTTTGAATGAACGCATTAAGCCGGTCATTTGTCTGAACAAGGTGGATCGTGCTCTTTTAGAACTTCAGTTGGATAAAGAAGAACTCTATAATGTACAGTATACGCCTTTAAATATTTTTATTTACATCATATAGTCTTTTGCTCGTACGGTGGAATCTGTCAATGTGATCATTTCTACCTATGTGGATGAAGCCTTGGGTGATTGTCAAGTCTATCCTGAAAAGGGCACAGTGGCTTTTGCTTCTGGTCTTCATGGCTGGGGATTTACACTACGTCAGTTTGCTAACCGTTATGCAAAGAAATTCGGTGTCGACAAGAACAAGATGATGTCTAAACTCTGGGGTGAAAACTACTTTAATCCCAAAACCAAGAAATGGACTACCAAATCCGTCGATGCTGAAGGTAAACCACTTGAACGCGCCTTCAACATGTTTGTCTTGGACCCCATCTATCGTCTGTTCGATGCCATCATGAACTTCAAAAAAGACCAAACCTCTACACTGTTGGACAAACTCGAGATTTCTCTTGCGAATGACGAAAAGGACTTGGAAGGCAAATCGTTACTCAAGGTCGTGATGCGTAAATTCTTGCCTGCTGGTGACGCCTTGTTGGAAATGATCTGTATTCATCTACCTTCGCCTGTGACTTCACAAGCCTATCGCTGTGCTCAGCTGTATGAAGGTCCTATTGACGATGAATGCGCTGTGGGTATTCGTGCTTGTGATCCTCACGGTCCTCTGATGCTCTATGTCTCCAAGATGGTACCTACTTCTGACAAAGGTCGATTCTATGCCTTTGGTCGTGTCTTTTCCGGTACCGTTCGTGCAGGTATGAAGGTCCGTATTCAAGGTCCCAACTATGTCCCTGGTCAAAAGAATGATCTGGCCATCAAGTCCATTCAACGCACAGTGCTTATGATGGGTCGTAATGTCGAAGCCATTGATGATTGTCCTGCAGGCAACATTATTGGTCTTGTCGGTGTCGATCAATTCTTGGTTAAGTCAGGCACTATCACGACCTCTGAAACTGCGCATAACATGAAGGTCATGAAATTTTCTGTCTCGCCTGTCGTCCAAGTCGCTGTCGATGTCAAGAACGCTAATGACTTACCCAAGTTGGTCGAAGGTCTCAAACGGTTAGCCAAATCCGATCCTTGTGTTTTGACATTCACGTCGGATTCAGGCGAACACATTGTCGCTGGTGCGGGTGAACTTCATTTAGAGATTTGTCTGAAGGATCTGGAAGAAGATCATGCTCAAGTACCTCTCAAGACAGGTGATCCTGTGGTTCCTTACTGTGAAACGGTCACGGCTGAATCCAGCATTGACTGTCTAAGCAAGTCGCCTAATAAACACAACCGTATCTACATGCGCGCCTTGCCTCTGGACCCTGACCTGGCTAACGATATCGAAAGCGGTAAAGTCTCTGCCAAAGAAGACTTCAAGACCCGTGCTCGTGCGCTTGCTGATCAGTACGAATGGGATGTCACTGAAGCACGCAAGATTTGGTGTTTTGGTCCTGATGGCACAGGTCCTAATGTGATGGTCGATGTCACCAAGCAAGTACAATATCTAGGTGAAATTAAGGACTCCTGTGTCGCTGCTTTCCAGTGGGCTACTAAAGAAGGACCCTTGGCCGATGAAAACTTGCGTGGATGTCGATTCAATCTGTTGGATGTCACTTTACATGCCGATGCTATCCATCGTGGCGGTGGTCAGATCATTCCTACTTGTCGTCGTGTGATCTATGCGTCAGTCTTAACAGCCACACCGGGTATTCAAGAGCCCATGTATCTGGTCGAGATCCAGTGTCCTGAATCAGCCATCGGTGGCATCTACTCGTGTCTGAATCGTCGTCGTGGTACTGTCTTTTCAGAAGAACAAAAAATCGGTACACCCATGATGACCGTCAAGGCGCATTTACCTGTGAATGAATCGTTTGGTTTCACAGGCGATCTTCGTGCAGCCACATCAGGCCAAGCCTTTCCTCAAGCTGTGTTTGATCACTGGGCATCCATGTCAGGCAACCCTTTGGAACCAGGCAACAAGGTCTATGATATTATTCGAAATGTACGTATCCGAAAAGGATTGACGCCTGATATTCCTGGCTTGGATAAATATTATGATAAACTATAAATACTTTATTTTTAATAAACTACCAATGACTAGCTAACTGTGTATTCCACAAGACACTAGATTGAAGATGAGGGGGTATCTTTGCCCATTGATCATGCCATGATGCTTGATCTCGTTTGCGTTTCCCTAGGTTTGTTTCAAACAAACGCAAGGCGGCTTGGGAGGCAATCTTCTTTAAGCTCCAGACACGACTCGATAGAAACTCGTAAGCCAGTACGCGCTTTTTTGTAGAAACGTAAAGTAAAGTACCATCGCGAGACCATTGAAGACCGTTGATTTTAGCCAGAATACGAAGGCGTCGATTCTTTTCGCCTCGAAAAGACACCATGGTGATCTCATGTCTTGCAAGCAAATGACATGTATGATGGATTGTATCTGTGCCTTGAAGACAATGAGGATGGCATTCATGTTGGCTATGTTGATCTGATAATTTAAGGATGAGTTCGGGTTGATTTCGTAAGATACAAGTCTCTAGATCGACAGTATGAATATAACCATATCGATTTGAAAAGACCAAAACACCTTCTTGTTCAGGATGAAACTGGATTGCATACGTATATCCACCAGCATCAATGCGATAGACCATTTCCATCTTGGGCCTTGTTCTCCACACAATCACAGAGTTATGTGTATCTGAGGTATGAGCAAAAAACAAAGAAGACGCACTCCATGCCACATACTGAGATGAATACGTATAAGGACAAGACACATTGTACGGTGAGGGTGTGAATGACAACGACAAGATCTCTGGAGTCAAGCTGATCTTTTGAGGTGCACTCAATACAAATCCTGTCTGAACACTGAAATGAAAGATACACGCTTCATCACCCACACAAATCAAGTGTAGACCATCTGGACTGAGTCGAGCATCGTTGATAGGAACATGATCAAACCGAAGATGAGACTGTAGTGTAGGTGTAATTTGTCTGCATTGACGGTGATTGGGTAATCGATAAATTAAGACTCCAGCATCGTTCATGCAAGCAATCAAGTAATGGTCTGAACCATGCCTCACCATCTGAACAGCATTGGTCATCAACAGCACATTGTTCTTGCCCTTGAATTTAGTGCCCCAGATCTTGCAAGGTGGTCCCATACAACAATAGAGTTCAAATTCACCTTCGATACCACCAATAGCCATATAGCCATATTTTTCTGCTAGACACATGGGTTCAAACGAGAGAGCGAGAAATGCTTGAGGAGAAGGTGTGCGTTGAATGTATTTGGTATAAGGCATAAAGCCATTTGTATTTACAATAGGAATATAGGTGTGTTTGACAGGTATGGATGCATGTGTGCTGATGAACGTAGTATGGTCTGAACTGGTCTTGTTGTTGGCTGATTCATGGTCCAACAAGGTAGTCGTATTGGTCGTGGATATCTGTGTCTCTTGTGCGGCATGACCACATTCTATAATCCTGTCTCGATAGACTGCATGTAATTTCTCTTGTGTGCCATATTCAGAAGACACTAATGAGAGTGCATTGGCTGATTGATCATGATTTGTGGTTGAATTGGATGCAGGCAGTTGTCGAGGCCAGCCTTTTTCTTTTCTCCAAAATGAAGGCCATGGATAGAGTTCTTTTTGTCGTTTCTTGATAGACCCAGTCAGTCGCATATCATTGGATTGCCAAGTAAAGTCATTAGTGCTATAGGGGTCTTCATCCCACATATCGAAACCATCATGATAAGACCGAGCAGATAATTCTGAAGCATCAGAATCTGCATCATTCTCATTTCTATAGTTTGGTTGACGAGGTCCAAGGTACTCATAGTCTATTGAATAGTCAGAATCATCTTCATAATAGTCCATCCTTGTAAACAAAAAAAAAAAAGAGAGAGAGAGAGAGAGAGAGAAAAAGAGAGGGTGTGAAAAAGAAGAAGAAAAAGAAGCGAATTAATAATAAAAAAGAAGGTTCAGTCTCATATTCTGAATTCGAAAATGATCCACAAACAAATAAAGGAGTGAAAATGGGCCAGCATTCTGGATAACAGCGCATTGGATTGCTTCTTTATTCTTCTTTACTTGTTCTACAACACGCTCTTTCTGTTATGGTCTAGTTTACATGTATTGTAAAAAGAAAAAAACCTATAATGAGAGAGAAAGAGAAAGGGTCAAAGAGCTCCGCTCATTTCTTCTTTTTCTTGTCCTACCCACTCGTTTGGATTTAAGAAGGTTTTTTGTTTTTTCTTTTTTATACTGTCACTAGTGCTGCACTTGTCACTGGTTCGATTTGTGTCTCCTTCTATTGTCTTTTCTTTTTTCTTTTTTTTTTTTAGGAGGAGAGAGAAGGGTGCTTATATCGATACTCCTGACGAAAGCCACAGATTCAATTTTTTTCATTTTACTTCATTAGTTTTTGACATGTGGCGATATGCAACTCGGTTGATGCGATCGATCCATACCACACCTGTAGTACCTAAACGAGTGTCCAAGCTTAAACTGAGTGAGATGATGGTTGATCATACATCAGCACTTCCTCATGTCACATTACCCACTGGGTCAATTGTATTGGATACTGTTCGAGAATACACAAAAGCTTATCCACATTGTGTCTTGTTGGTACAAGTAGGTGACTTTTACGAGGTAAAAATGAACTTTATGAGACAAGCAGAAACTAATAGTCAGTTGTATGAATCCCATGCGACACATTATGCTGCTCAGCTCGACTTGAAACTCACAAAGAAAGCCATCAGTGCTGGTCATGTGGTTGATTTTGCTGGATTCCCTGTACGTGCACTCGATCGATACTTAGACATCTTGGTCAACCGACTTCAGTGCAAAGTAGCCTTATGCGAGCAACTGGGACCTGTGAGTCGACAAGATCAGTCTACGCTTGGCATGCAACGACGTATCACGCGTGTGTTGACACCAGGCACTGTGATTGAAGAACGGTTTCTTGAACCCAATCAATACAATTACCTTTTGGCTATTTATCCTCAAGATGAATGGGTAGGATTAGCATGGGTGGATGTATCTGTAGGTGAATTTGTGATGCAACAGACCGCCTTGAGTCGACTCAAAGATGATTTGGCCCGTATTCGTCCTCGAGAAGTGATTTTGCCTGAATCAATGCAGTTTCACAGTCTGGATCAAATGGATGATTTGACTCGTCTAGTGCTGAATGATGCCTCCATAACCATCAGTTATCAACCTGATAGTCAGTTCAATGCACAATTAGCAGCCAAGACACTCCATAGTATGTTTCATCATCGTCTGCCTGATTTCAGTCCTCAAGAACTAAGTGCCAGTAGAGCCTTGATGATGTATGTCAATCAGACACATGTCCACCGCAAACCCAAATGGCAAAGACCCACTCAATTCAGTCTGAGCGATAATGTGTTGATTGATAGTGCAGCCATGAATTCATTAGAACTCGTCAAAAGTCTTCAGGGCAAAAGAACAGACAGTCTATTGAGTGTGCTGGACAAGACATGTACAAGCGCAGGATCACGACTGTTGACACGATGGATATCTTCACCACTCACGCATGTAGTCGACATTCAGTCTCGACTCAACATAGTGGATTATTTTGTACAAGACAAGTTTTTGTTACAAGACATTCGGTCCTTGCTAAGATCAAGTACAGATGCACAAAGAGCCATTCAGCGACTCGCATTAAAAAAAGGTCATTATGCAGACCTGGTTCAAGTAGGCTATACATTGGATGTTATGCACCAAATACATCAAAAATTAGCATCTGTATTACCATTACAAGACGTGCTGAATGACATGGATCCCCATGTATTGATAGCAGAGTATATCAGTGGGGCATTAGACCATGACAAAATACAAGGCAACACAAAAGACTATGGCTATATCAACCACAATTTTCATCCTGACCTTGTCAGTCTACATCATCTCCTGTCTGAACTAGAACAACAAAAACTTGCGCTAGAGACTGAATTAAAAAGCATATGTGGTCCCTCCATTCAATTAGTGACAGAAGGGCCATTGAAGCATCTGATTGAAGTTAATGCTCGTCAAGCCAGACATCTACTCGATCGATTTACTGATGCAGTCCCATTAAACCATACCAAGGCCAAAAAGAGATTTGCAGTGGATACGTGGACTGATATAAGTATTCAGTTAGACAGTGTTCAATCTCAAATCATGCAAGTGGAAAGCCAAGTGTTTGACCAAATGGTGGACCATGTATTAGACCACAGTGCTAGCATCTTACTCAGTTGCCGACAATTGGCTCAACTAGATGTCTTGACTTGCTTTGCTCATCTAGCTATCGAACACAACTATGTTAAACCACGTATTACCCGGACTCATCGTACCCTGATTCAAGGCGGAAGACATCCTGTAGTGGAGGCCAACTTGGCTAAAAAGGGACAGTCCTTTATTCGTAATGACTGTGATATAGGCCATCCTTATCGTATTTGGTTATTGACAGGTCCTAATATGGGTGGCAAAAGCACTTTTTTAAGACAACATGCGATCATTGTAATTATGGCTCATATGGGATCCTTTGTGCCTGCAGATCGTGCATGGATAGGTGTGACAGATAAGGTCTTTAGCCGTGTAGGTGCAGCAGATAACTTGGCTCAGAATCAATCAACATTCATGGTGGAAATGAGTGAAGTAGCGACTATTCTTGATCAAGCGACTGCCAAATCTACTGTGATTATGGATGAAGTAGGCAGAGGCACATCAACCCAAGACGGATTCTCATTAGCCTATGGCATTCTGGACTATTTACATCAACACATTCAATGTCGCACACTGTTTGCTACACATTACCATGAATTAGCAGCAGCAATGGAAGATTATGCAAGTTTAGGATGCTATCATACAAGGCTTGAAGAGAATAAGCATGGATTTCGATTTGTACATCAAGTGGAGCCTGGTGTTTGTCGACAATCGCATGGTTTAAAAGTAGCACAGCTTGCAGGTAAAATGCGTTGGATGTGTACGCCTTGATACTGAATGATGTAATAGGACTACCTAAAACTGTTGTTCAGAAGGCACATATGATGTCTCATGTACTTAAAAAAACTCAAGTGCATATAACACCCCATCTCATGAAACAAATAGATTGTAAATAATGATATACCCCCTCTTTCTTGCCAAGCACTTTCAAGCACACTTTTAGGTTGAATTTAAATAAAATAAGAAAAAAACGCTTGTGGGATGACATTTAGCAAGAAATGAATGAGTTTGTTTCCCTAAAGAGGAATACTATACAAGCATCTTGTTTCATTAATGGATGCAAGCAACCAAGTAACTGTTGTATACATGGCTATCTACGTGACTATTCTCTAGAATGACTCGGTATCTTAGATTGCAGGTGTATTCAGGAGTGAAGTAGGCACTGAGCCTTGAATTTGTACTCTAGGTTATTCAGTCCCTTTATTTACCATCAGATTATCCATGGAAAGATACTCAGTTCATTCAAGGGATGCTATATTTTATATAAATAGAGAGAAACAACAGAGTGCAATAAAAGTCAACTTTCTTTTAGCCGTTTTCAGATCTTACTAATCACCCAGCGACTCAGTGAGTTCAATCGCGATCAAGCGACTGACTTGAAAAATTAACTTCTATTCATTGAACTTCGCCCAGTATCGCTCACCGGTTGAATTTCACCTGATAGTCTGATTTCGGGCGAACAGCACTCTGATCAGGTTTTACAGTGGATGTCAGGCTGTCGAGTGAAATTGACTTGATAACCGCTTACAGGTTAGTTTAGTTGATATCAGGTTGTTCAATTGAATTCAGTTATTGGTTGAATTCTACCTGATAGTTTGATATCGGTTGTCAATGATCGTTTTCAGGTCTTTTCAATTGATAAATATCTACATTTGATTCGCTCAATGTTTATTATAAAAACGTACAATTTATAATAGTTTTATTCCAATCATATTACTTTGTTTATTTACTTTTTAATACTATATGATTGGTTCTATTTCTACTAGCTACCAGATAATTTTTTTACGCCTGTATTGCTTGCTAACCCAATGTTTATCCTGTTGAGCCAGTAGTAATAGTACAGTCCAGTATACTTGCCTTCAGGTCCTCTTGCTGTTCACTTACCTTGTTGTATGATCACATTCTGTTTAGCATTAACATATATAGTCTTGGTCTATTTGCAGCAATGTATTATTTATGCTAGAGTTAGTAAAGAGATCTCAAAAATGTTCATTACTATAGTATAATACCTTTAAGCTGGTGAAATGACATTATATGAGAGAATTAAAGGCATTGGAATATAATCTAATCTTTTTCTTAGACCTTAATCGTATCTTTTTGAGTTGAAATAGTAGGATTAGGCAATTACCTTTAAGCAGTCAGTATGCACTCTGAAGTTTTAAAAAGATGTGCAGACTAGCTTAAGTTATTAGTAGGTCAACCATACGAATAACTCACCATTGAATAATCTTGAACTGCAAAGGAAGTAAGTAAGCTACTACTGTAAAGTCCTATTAAAAAAAAGAGAAAATGGCTGTATACCATATACGAGAACATATCTGCATCATAAAATAAGACATAATCACGCATAATCACTGATTAACAAAGAGACATGCAACAAAGAACCTAGAATTACTATATATTTTTTTAAAGTGTTTTATTTATTGCTCCACGTAGATGAATGTAAACCATTGTCAAGAGATGGGCGCAAATTAAAATGTTATAAAATAAAAAATTAAGAAAATAATTGAGGTAGAAATAGAAGAGGTCAAGTATGGGCTAGATGATTTGGGTCATCTAGTTTATCATCTATCTATTAAAGTCTTGAGTTTATGTGTTTCTCTGCTATCTGTGGCTGCAGACTAATACGAGTTTTTTGCAATAATCTTTGGGGATCAAATGGTATATGATCAAAGATGGATCTCCAGTGAGCCTTCCAAATTTCCATTAATGCAGTGAAAGCTACGTCTTGAACAGTCAGATTGCTATTTTGACAGTACTTGATAGGACGAAAGTCCAATGATTGTATTGCCATAATTGTATTGTCGATTGTAAATGTTGGCCACAGGAATTCAAAAATCAGCTCACGCCAAAAGAAAGCCTTGGGTGGACACATAAACAACAAATGGTTGTCATCTTCAGCATGGAGTGTACAAATTAGGCATATAGAAGACCGAAAGGTAGCTGGGATGAAGCGATTCAGGCGGACTCGAGTGGGCAATTTATGTAAAATAAATCGATATACCACGTTTCTTGTTACAGAAAGCAGCGGCATGGCCCAGAATTCAGGCCAGAACTGTGAGGACCGACTTTGCAGAATCGAAGGTAAAGGTTGAAGAGCAAGGTAGTTCAAACGGTATGCCTTTGCCGGTATGGACTTGATTGAGTTGGAACTATCAGGTAAATCTAGACAACTCACAAAAGACCGGAATGACAAAATGGCAGCATATGGAGGAGTACCTATCAAGTGTGGAGGAGCTTCTAAATGAGCAGCAAAAAAGGGGAAAGGTTCTACCTTATGTCTTTAGACAGCTTAGATTAACTTTTGTTGAGGGCCTCTCAGTTCTTCAGGGATATCATTGGCTGGCTTCCATTCTATGACTCGAGTAGAAGAGTTGAACGACATGAAACTACCAACAAGATGACGACTAGCAATTGGCAGATATGGACAATTTGGGACCACTGAGTGCATGACAGCGACAAATGGCAAGAGTAGACAAGCAGCAGGGTTTAATTGCATAAAGTCAAAGTCCCGAGGAATTCGATTCAAAGAAGCATATAAAAGATGTATTGTAGAGGTTCTTGTTTTAGGAGCAGAGACAAGCTTTATGAATCTCTTAGTGTTCGAAAACAGCAAAGGAACCTGAACATGTGTTGCCCCAGTTGTATTCTGTAAGTGAATCTGCAAAAGCTTTTTCCAGTGTGCAGCAGATGAATCTAGTAACAGATGCATTACCTACCGAGAATACAGATCATATCGTTGCAAATCTAGGTCTAGCACTCCTAGTCTACCAACATCTTTTGTCTGTGTACAAGTACTCCAAGAAATTTTCGGAAAAACATTTCTGTTCATGAAATGGCTTGCTAGCGATTGGATGCGAGAGAGTTCTGTCTTGGTAAACGGAACCACACGGAAAAGGTACCAACACTTAGAAAACATCAGGGCATTGATTACCGTTGTTCGTCTCAGTACTGGCAGATTGCGTAAAGAATGCACATTGAAGCGTTGTTCTAGTTTGGCCAGTAGTTCAGCAAAAAAGGTGGTTCTTTGTTATAGGGATTATAGCAAAGGAAAGCCAAGGTATATTGTTGGTTAACTATTTTCAATTGATATTACTCGTTCAATTTGAAGCGGCAAAAGGTGTCTAGACCAAAATTGAAAGGATTTTCTTCCTTATAGAGATACTGTGTCAGGAATAAGACAGACCGAAGAATACTTTGCAGGCAAAATGAGCTTATCAGTTGGCTAGAGAATATAGAGATGCTTATTATATTATAAGTTGATAATATAACTGACGAAGAAGTAACTCAACGGCAGAATATTTAGACTATTTATACTAATATTAAGGTAACATGGAATATAGGTGAGGAAAGGGCTAAGTCATAACATGACTAGTCTTGGCATTACGTTCTACCTCATGACCTGAGGACTGAGTCATTTGTACATGGAAAAGTGGCATTGTTTGTCTTGGCATTGTTACCTTAAAACTACGCCATGGATGCTGGTAACTAGATGCTGGTAACTTGATGCTTGAAACTAAGGGTTGGAACACTGAGACAAGCGTGCTAAGGCTAACTAAGCTTGCTTGGTTCATGACATCCTCGCTGGTAGGGTTATGAAGCAGAGTGAGAGCGACATGAACAAAGCTTTTGACCGTGCTTTCCCTGGTAGAAGTGTCCAAAAATGTACGTTCCCTAACGGTGATTCCAGTCGTTATAGCCTTCTGCTTGGAATCCTTAGATTCGAATCGTGCCTCGATCAACATATCCTGTTTGTTTGGATTGGGAGTGTAGCCACTTAGATGTTGAAATTCTGCAACTTTGCCAAAGGTATCCTGAATCGCTTTATAAGCCGCAATATGATTGACAAAGGTACCAGGAGGAAAGGTGAACAAAAAAGAGCCTGTAGTAAGTGATTGACTAACAATGCTAGCTGCTTTGCAATTCAACATCTCGGATTCAAAGCTACGCGATTTGAAGATGATTTCAGATACGTACTTAGTCGCGTTGTTTTGGGAGCTGATCCTCGGTGTATGAGGGATGCGCAGTTTGTTACCGATCTCGGCAACCTTAGTCCAAGGTATTTCACCAAAGACTGTCATAGTTGGATAGGACAAAGAAGTTTGTTTTTAAAGGTTTGTTTATTATCACTACTCAAATGGCACACTCAAACTTTCTATTAGTTATGAATATGCGAAAGAGCCTTATCCGCAGCTTCAATGGATGTCTTCCATCTTGGTTCAAACATGTTAAAGATCAGACCATCACATAATCACAAATTGACATTTGCATCAATACCAATGGTAGACGAGGTCTGTGCCCTGATCATGTACCCAGTTCTTGTGTACCTTAATCCATTCAACCGATTAGCTAGTGTATACACACTCAGTCCCAAATCAGGGATAATCAATTATCATACAAACAGTATAAATACAATACAAAATATAACCTTTAATAAAGCAGACTTCTTTTCGGCCGTTTTGGTTCTAATCGACTTATTGATTTGACCATTTTATTAGTGATTATATCACAATCCCTACAGTCCGCAATTTATTTTACGAGAGAGTCAACACTCTATTTTGGAGGTAAAAAGAATTTGTAGAGTCTGGCCAATGGCTAATTCAACACATCAGCTACAGGTTGAAGTCACAATGCCGTGTGTCTGATTTGTTTGTTGTTGCTTTTGGGTACTCTATTTTGTTGAATAGCTCTTGATCTGTATATGTAATTTGTCTTTTTGAAGGTGTTGTTCTATCAAGGAATGAAGTAGCTGTCGTTTGGTATAACTTTGGTAAGAATCGGGTCAGAACTGGTAGAGTTATGGCGGTTACAAGTTTGAGCCAATCGAAGTGCTTTAGTGATTCGACCAATCACAAGTATTGTAAGTTTCGCGAGACGTTCTGGGGAAATTCAAGAAAAAGATGCTCTGGGTATGAAATTTGATTGACAGATTGTATTTTCGCTCGACAAGTATTCTTTGATTACTTTAATTGTTTTATTATCCCTTCATTTGATTCTTTCTTTATTTTTGCTTGTTTTGTTTATTTTATCTTATTCGTTTATTTATTCATGTATTCTATCTTTGGTGTCACGATTGCTCTGTTGTTAATGGCTGTATAGTCTATTGTTCTGTTGTCAAACCTGTGTTCCCTCAAGAAAAGTTTATTTGGAAAAGCGATTAACTCAAAAAAGGCCGTACTTTGATATTCTTACGAAGTGATAAGTTATCAAGGCTGAATTAGTTGACTGTTCACATTGTGTCACTCTCATGGTTCGTATAGTTAGATGTAGATCTAAATGTGAGCACACTTTACTTAGAAAAAAAGAGATAAGTTAACTATTAATAAAGTTGAAAGACTTGTAAAATCATTCTCTTGCTTTGCTTTACTACATAATACGTGTTTTATTTCTTTTCTTTACAAACAAGATATTTACTACTGTTGCTATGAACTACTTTGATATCAAATATCTATCTTTTTCTTTTATTTGAGACCCTTTCCATCACAAACTCCTCCCAGTCATTGTACGTGATGATGTCCTCTTCCAGCTTCGTATTTTTTAGGACTGATAGTACTTCTTCTCTCAATATATAGTCAGTTTCATCATCGACCATCCAGTCATTATCTTCTTCAATATCCCAGCCAGCAGTGCTATCAGAACGTAATTGAGTTTCATCAATATCGTCATCAGTTGAGAACTTTGCCATCTCTATTTCGTAGCGATACTTTGTTTCTAAGGCGGCGTTGAGTTTCGAGTAATTTATCATGACAAGGCGCTTCAATGAAAGGACAGCTAACAGCAAACGGGCAAAAGAGGCAGCATGGGTTTCTTCTGCTGGAAAAGCGAACGTTCCTTTAATGTAAGTGATCATATTGTTCTTTGACACAAATTTCGTTCCATAAATGCTTAGTTTCAATCCTTCCCACTGACATGTTATTGCTTCAAACTGATCCATGACACCTAATTTCTGAAGGCATTTGGTCCATTTCTTTAGCATGCATTGTTGTAGTATCTTTCCTTTCTTCAAATCACTCTTCACACCTTTTAGGCCTGGCTTCTCCTCTACAGAAAGATAATCAACACCATCATTGATATTGCGAAGAATGAAATCGACACGTTGGTTAGGAATATTTTTTAATTCTTTTGTCATATTCGAATAGCAATCTGCTCGCTTTGAATTGAAATAATCATCGCATATGAAGGCATTGTCCCATACTGAGGTATACACATGCGAGCGGTACCAAGATTCATTATGTTCTTTTTTCAGAAGTTGTCGCGAACTCCAAAGTTCTACCGCATTTGCTGTAGCCAGCCTTATATAACGACACATGGGATTCAAGTCTTTTTTGGCGTAAAACTTACTCAAGATTGTATCAATGTCGTCCTTGTTTTTACATTTGGAGATATCAAGGAGCATTTGTCTTTCTTTTATTGTTGTCATTGGCTGTAGTTTAAAATTAAGTTGAATTTTCATATCACGCATATATGGCTCGAATCTCTTTGGTATTTTATCACTTGAAAGATCCAAATTCCCACCATTTCCTAACTTCTCGCAGAGATAAGCCATCTTGTTCATTGGGGTCATTTTATGGAAATCATCTTTCACTGCATGCTTTTGTCTGTCATCTTGTTGATCATCTTGTTCATCAACAGAACTCGTAATTGCACTGTTTTCAATATCATCCACAATTTGTTTTGAATACAATAGTTTTTTGATAGGTGTTGCAGTAGAGATTTCATAGATGCTTTCTTTTAATCCATGAATCTTCTCTTCTTCTCTTGTGTTAAGCTTTATGGTAATATCATTTATTTTTTGTTCTACTTCATCCAAATATATGCTTCCTAACTTCTTCAAGTTTGTTTCTGTTGGCCGCATAACAAAGTTGGCTTGTATCAGAGTCTTTACAGCATCTTCATACTTCCATTTTAGCATGACATGTTGATAGAGATATCTTGCTATTATCTCTCTTATTTCTTCTTCGTTTTCAGTTATATTCAGTCTTGTTGGGCTTAACATTGTTGAATAAATACAATGGTACAAAAGAAAAAAAAGTGTTGTAATAAAGCTTTTACTACGCGCAAAAGTTATCAAATCATACCCCGACGATGTCTCCATAAGACGTGCAGTGCTTCCAACAAGTAATGTCACAGCCAATCAAAATCTATACCACTGATCAATGAAAAATGATGTCATTGGTCAGCCAAATTAATATTATTAGCCAATCAATGAAGTTGTTGTGAACATATATGAATTCATATGCATAGATCGATAAATGATGATCATGGCAGAAAACCAGATCACATCTATGGCAATTGCAATGGATCTATAGTCAATGACGTTCACTCATTCTGCTAGAAGTACTACATCGTCTTCATAGTCAGAGATTATGAACCTATTGACTCTGTTATTATTAATGGCCCTCATAAAGTGACAGTTAGAGCTGACAAACACATTAGCATTGGCATTTGACAAATATGTAATAGTTTATTTAAGTTCAGGTCAGATCATGTACTATTGGCTGAGCTGACAACTTCCTCTAAAGGCATTTCTCTTAATTGCTCCTGATCTAACAAATCAATCCGTAGTCAAGAAGCTAACCCAAAACAATAGTTTGACCGAGAAGAAAAAGTATAAATACCTTGACATTTTATAGCAATTGAAGGATAACATTTTTCTTGGAGAAATAAAAACCTATACAAGTTCTAACGGACTTTGTGTTCTTACCTTTTCTCTTATTGAATATCTATTCTCTCTTCATCTCACAACAAAAGTCAACATTTTTAGAAATCACGTCGTGATTCTTGGCACCCGAGAAATATAAATAGAGAATGAGTGTCTTCTTTTGGTATTTTTTATTTTTCAATACTTTACAATTCAACATGAGTACATTATTTCTATATGAAGATGGACATGGCAATGTTATTGAAGAGAATGGTGGTCCTGAGCCCATAGACTACATTGTTGATCAGGATGAATTCATTGTTAAGACTATTGTTACTCATATAAAGTACTTGGGAAATGCAGTCCCCAGTGACTTGTCCAATGTTGTTAGAAAAGCCAAAAAATGAAAATATTCAAATTAAGGAGGCAAAACCAAAGCGAGAATATGTACGTTATAAAGTCCAGGATAAACTTACGATTTTCGATCTGAAGATTGAAAAGTGTATGGCTGCATCAGCTACAGCAAAGCAGTTAGGCATTCACCCTCGAACAGCTCATGGATGGGTTAGCCAGTATAATGCGTGCCCTGACAGTATTTTTGAGAGCTGTAAAAAACGTAGTTCGTAAGTGCATCTTAACTAAAGAACATAAAACGACTGTGATCAACTTCATTGATCCTAATTCCTCTGCTACTGTTGTTGAAGTGATCGAGCATTTATTGAAGGGATTTCATGATCTTAAAGTATTACGCAGCACTGCTAATAACTTTATGAGACGTGAATGCAACCTTTCGTTGAAAAAAAAGCAGATTTTCATTCTATTGAGAGAAACTAATGTAGTGGCCAGTGACAGTTCCTGAGCTTATATATCCTTCTTAAAAATGACTCTCGACGAAATGGACAAACATCCACATTTGAAAGGCCACTATATTGTTATGGATAATGCACCCATTCACACGCATGAAAGCATAAGGAAGTATATTGAGTATTGAGGATACAGATATGTGTATCTTCCTACTTACTCTCTTGAGCTTAATCCAATTGAACAATCCTGGACAGTGGCAAAGAGTAAGGTTAAGTGTCATAGGTTTTTTGCAGGAAGACACTTTGTCCAAGAGGATTACAGAAGCCTGCAACAATGTGAAGCAAAGTCATTTCGAAGGGTTCGTCTCGCATTCTTACCAGTGTTGGGATAAATGTCGAAACAGGCAAACTATGTAATGACCCCAACGAATATGCGATCACGGAGAACAATAAGTGGCAATCAGACAAAATCTACAAAGAAAAGCACCGTCTACACTCAAAATGTGCTGTCTACACTCATTAAATCGTTGATCATCAAGTTTGTTTTAATGGATGTATGTTATTCGATGCCAAGATGTTTATCCTTTAGACTGCCTTTATTGTAAGTTACCTCGTTTTATGAATCTGGATTGTGTGTTGAATGTCACTGGTGCTGATCGCGAAGTTGACCTTGGAGTATCAAAGCTCTACTCTTGTCCCCGTACAAACCATAACTGTTGTTTCCATTAGTGCTGCTTTGGCAAATAAGCTGCAAAATGAGGATATCCGTGATTTGTTTGACTACAAGACTGATTTCGATCAAAATGCACTAGACAATCAAGGTATTTACAAGGATGTTTTTTCTGGTAGTGTGTATCAACAGCACAGATGCAACAACATCATCCAGTACAGCTCCATCGTAATCAACTTGTATTTTGATGATTTTGTCAGCAAAAGTCAACAGAAGCCATTGCAAATGATCATTGCTACCATTCCGAATATTGATCCTATGCACCGCTATATGTTAGAAACACAATCACTTTGGGATTGACACCAGGCCCAAAGAAGTTGAAAGATGTTTGGTCTTTTTTGAAGGTTTATATCGACGAATTAAACGAACTATCACGTAATGGTATGATTGTAAAGAAAGATGGTAACGAAATATACAGTTGTCGCGTATATATTCATGATTTGGGTGGTGATTTGGGTGGTGATTTGGTGAAGCTTGGTGAGCTCACAGGAATTATTCGTACTGCTGAATTTGGGTGCAAGTTGTGCAATGTACGTGGTGTTCACCTTCAAGGTAGCTCATCTGGTGAACACTTCTTGTATAAAGGTTAACTGAGATCAATGCATGAGATGGTCAATGGCAACCCTGTAAGTACTAAACTGAATATCACTAGAATAGAACAAATACTAATTAGATCTTTCTTGTTTATAGGATATCAACATGCCTGCTATTCATCCTCTAATCACCAGTGAAATCTTGGGATTTTGTTCGGATTGGATTTTGAGATAGAATTTAACTAGTTTGTTATATTTTGTTGATAATATAGTAAAAGCTTTATTGATATAAGTATATGATGTAATTGATAATGTAATATTGAGTTATCTTACTTTTTCTAATTCTCGAGTAATGCTTGAGACAATATCCGAAGAAAAAATAAAGTGATAGGATAGATGATAATTATATAAAAAATTGAAGGATATGTGTAACAGGCACACAGCAAAAAAAGAAAAGGGAAGACAGAGACAACTCAAAGGTATACTAAGTACACACTATTTCGCAACCTTTCACCAGCCTTCCTACTTTTAGCGGTATCGACTTTTTCCTCTATGACGAACTGCATGGTATTGCTCGTGGTGTCAGTGAACTCTGCTTCAAGCTTCTTTCGTCCGAATACAATGAAAAGTTTCGTCCTATCGTTGGTGACAATGATTTATATACGTTCGATGTCAAGCTTAGAAATAAATCGCAGTTGGTTCCAATTCTTGTAAAAGAGATTCAAGCATCGCGACAATACATTCCCACTGTATTTGAAAGCTCTTGGGAAACTCTGAATGGCGACAACAGATTCATGGACTGGCTAGATTTCCTGTTGTATATGATTCCAACTTTAGTGCTCCATCGTCTCAAACATGAAGCTACCAAGAAGGCCTTCATGAACTTGATTACTGGCTGTGTTCTTGCATCGCAATGACAAGAAATAAGGGCCAATCGACTCAACGAGCGTGTGTTTACAGCCAACAATCATAACCTATGTCACCTCAAGCGTATTGTCAGCCGTAACGGTGTTATGAAGTCGATCAGTGCACGATCAATGGAAAGAGCAATCAACAAGTTCAAGAATTTGATCACTTCAAAAACACAAGCAGGTGTAAATGCTTCCAATGTCCTTCCTCTTCAAAATGGCTTTAACTCTTCTTCGACAATAAAAGCAATTGATGGATTGGAGACAATTCGCCAGTATAGCTCGGCTTCTTTTAGAGAAAACGCACAGCAATCTAGTGACTATGGTCAGCTTTGGGAGCATTTCTTGGTTGAGGATCTCTCATCAGATGCTGAAATATGTTCTGGAGTCCCAGCTTTCAAACTTGTAAAAGCATTCAAGTCGTTTTACTCTCGTTTTTCTGGTACTTCTAGTTCTTCTAATGTTGAATTGACAAGTCTCCTTTTTGAAAGTGCCGCTCGCTTATGGAAGGACAACTATGTATATTCTTCAGTAATGGATCGCCACAAGAAAAACCTGAAGAATCGTAAACAATATTCTTTTGTTTGAAGTAGCTGGTCAAAGAAGGTAAGATATAAAGAAAGGATTGTGTTGGTGGTGGTATTTACCTAAATATCATCTAGTGTATTTTGGTATGTCGGCTTCGTACATTGTTACTTGTCCCATGTGCAAGATGGGGTGCTGCACTTTTTGGCAATTGCAGAAGTCATGTGCATGCATGCAATCGAAGGTGAGACTGGGATTCCGGTTGTTGGTAGAAGTCGAAGGGCTTTAAGGGATAGAAAGTTTGTCGTGTTTTCTGTGGAGGGGGAGGTGCGGTCAGTTGAACTTGTTCAGTATTCGGCAAATGCTGACAAGTTCAAAATCATCTGGCCGTACATGAAGTACAAGAACTGTTTGTAAGGCAGAAAACCTGGTGATCTTCCACCGGTTTACTAGCTGACAAAAAATCAATACTACATATCACGTGGTTTTATCGTTTTAGGCCCAGCATACGTTATAATGGAGTAAGTTTATAGCCAATCATGAGTAACTTTTTTTCGACGTCACACATTCAGAACAAAAAAAAACTATTGCATCTGAACTCTTTTGCTTCGTAATCACCAAATACTATAAATGAATGTAGTTCTAAACTAAGATAAAGAGAGAGTGAGGTAATGACACGTATGCTTCAATCTAGTAACACCTTGTTCTATATGTGTATTAGGAGTGTCACTATCAATTGTATGGGCGACTAGAGCAGTATCAATAAGGCAGCCAACAAACACTACCTCTGGTTGTGCGTCTTTCTTTTCTCCTGATGGCTAGCAATGTTTGGAGTGTGGGCGAATAGAGCAGCACTCGTGGTTGTTGATATGGGCGACTAGAGCAGTATCAATAAGGCAGCCAACAAACACTACCTCTGGTTGTGCGTCTTTCTTTTCTCCTGATGGCTAGCAATGTTTGGAGTGTGGGCGAATAGAGCAGCACTCGTGGTTGTTGATATGGGCGACTAGAGCAGTATCAATAAGGCAGCCAACAAACACTACCTCTGGTTGTGCGTCTTTCTTTTCTCCTGATGGCTAGTAATGTTTGGAGTGTGGGCGAATAGAGCAGCACTCGTGGTTGTTGATATGGGCGACTAGAGCAGTATCAATAAGGCAGCCAACAAACACTACCTCTGGTTGTGCGTCTTTCTTTTCTCCTGATGGCTAGCAATGTTTGGAGTGTGGGCGAATAGAGCAGCACTCGTGGTTGTTGATATGGGCGACTAGAGCAGTATCAATAAGGCAGCCAACAAACACTACCTCTGGTTGTGCGTCTTTCTTTTCTCCTGATGGCTAGCAATGTTTGGAGTGTGGGCGAATAGAGCAGCACTCGTGGTTGTTGATATGGGCGACTAGAGCAGTATCAATAAGGCAGCCAACAAACACTACCTCTGGTTGTGCGTCTTTCTTTTCTCCTGATGGCTAGTAATGTTTGGAGTGTGGGCGAATAGAGCAGCACTCGTGGTTGTTGATATGGGCGACTAGAGCAGTATCAATAAGGCAGCCAACAAACACTACCTCTGGTTGTGCGTCTTTCTTTTCTCCTGATGGCTAGCAATGTTTGGAGTGTGGGCGAATAGAGCAGCACTCGTGGTTGTTGATATGGGCGACTAGAGCAGTATCAATAAGGCAGCCAACAAACACTACCTCTGGTTGTGCGTCTTTCTTTTCTCCTGATGGCTAGCAATGTTTGGAGTGTGGGCGAATAGAGCAGCACTCGTGGTTGTTGATATGGGCGACTAGAGCAGTATCAATAAGGCAGCCAACAAACACTACCTCTGGTTGTGCGTCTTTCTTTTCTCCTGATGGCTAGTAATGTTTGGAGTGTGGGCGAATAGAGCAGCACTCGTGGTTGTTGATATGGGCGACTAGAGCAGTATCAATAAGGCAGCCAACAAACACTACCTCTGGTTGTGTGTTTTTCTTTTAAAATTATACACATTGACCTAATCGCTGCTTATCCCATCAAAGTTTGGGCCTTTTTTTTTTCATCAAGTGAATACGCATTTAAAAAAGAATAGTTTTAATATAGAGCATAGCTAATATAGATATAAACAGGTAAATGAAGACAAGCAAAGAGAAAATTATTATTCAAATATTTTTAGAGAGGACAATATATAAACAAACGACAAAATGAGTGGATTCGTCATAGTTAAGTACAATAAAATAAAAGGTAGCATATAAAAGCGAATCGATACAGTAATGATCGTAATACAAGGCATAAGCATAGAAAAGTAGCACAAAAGGAATGCATTTGATAGAAGCTTAAATACAAGGAAAGGACTTGAAAGCATGAAAAAAGAAAAAGAAACGCTTAGATGTAGCCTAAGTTGCCGGGTCTTTCAGGTTCGAGATCTGAATCATACATGATGTATGGCCAGATCGCTTTGAATCTGTGCTGATTAGCAGAATACTGAACCAGATCAACAGAATAAATTATTTCTTTCACAAAAAACAATTTTTTTTCTTCTAGGGATTGAGTACTTCTTGTGACAATAGAGATCGAACATTGACCCATGTTTGGCCATCACCTCAACAACGGTAAGAAAGTGTACCTCATTATCTTGACTATGGGACATATAGCACTGCACAAAACTAACATACTACCAGGTGCTATAAAGACACAATCACTGGTCAATTCAAGTTCTTCACCTTTTTTCTCTTACCTTCTATACTGATCCACTTCAAACATCACAATGTTATTGGCTCTTGTTTCGTCTCTATTCATCACCGACGAGAATACATTGTTGTGCTTCCGAAGTCTACCAGCAGTTTCAACAACGGTTTTGGATAAATCAACAGATCTGCTTGCACTTCTTTAATAATAAGCCTTGAGGCCAGCAAGTATCTTAATGGCTGGCACACCCGCAATCTCCAAATGGGCAACGAATAGATTGTGGAATTCAAATGATTCCCAAAGTTGCGCGTATCCATCAGGCTTGGCAGGGTGTTTTCTAAAAGAGTCATACGAATACTGACGTGTGTTGGTCTGTTGAAGTCATATTTTCTTGACAGCAGGGGAGCTGAATCCAATTTACTGCTTTAGGACGTTTGACGCATTTGCATCAGCCTTTATCTTGGATGTGACCGATTGTTCTTTTCATAGCTCTACAAGAAATGGCCTTGACAACACCAATTCGAGATACAACATACTTAAGATGATATAAATTGTAGATGTTCATTGTGGAAGCATGCTTTGTCAACCTACCACCTTCGATTTCATCCCCAAAAAATTGCGCCATTGACAAAAATAACGGTCCATCTTGTTCAACTCAAAGCTAAGGCACATCCTCGAACTAGCGACGTGATGGCGTTTCTTGCTTCAACTTTCTCAATTCTTGTCAGCATCAAAGTGGGAATAACGTACAATAGCACGTCTTGCAAATCAACAAAGCTAAGAAAAGCTCAATGCATCCCATGCACCTTCAAATTGAGTTGGTATATATTGACGAGAGGCGATCATTTCTTTGGCGACTATACTGAAAATGCTGGTAGTGACGGCGAAGGAGTAGTTACTTGGATCAACAATGTAAGACTGATTTTTCTGTGGCGACAACATGTACAAGTAAAGAATAGATACATCACGGGCAATACCATGCAGCTCATTGTATAAAAAAAAGTCAACAGCGGTAAAAGTAGGTAAACGAGTGAAAAGAGGAGAAATAGCAGTAGTACCATTAGCCTATTGTTGGCTGATTAGTATATATTCAATAGCAGCAATTGATTTCACACAAATTACTTCGTTACCATGAATCATATCATCCTTTGTTTTAAGCTGGCGTTTTTCCAAAAAGTACATACCATTCGAGTTGCTCTCAGCATGGACACCACACACATCACAGAAGTTACATCCCAATTCAGCAGCATAATGGGTCTTGGTTAGTTCAGCAAGCTTCACCAAATCACAGTCAACACCATTCAAATATACTCTGCTTTGATAGACAGTCTCACCTTTTTTTTTCACGACCATACCATTGTGTGAAAGCAAGTTGATTTGATCGATATACGGCTTGATAAAAGACTTGACATCGTTGGGCTTCGATGGACCAGGAGTAAGACTCAAAGTCAACGTATTCTCGGCAAGGTAACGTCCAGAGGGGCTAATGTTCAGCAGTGTGGCAAAGACAATCATTTACGATAACCTTTGATGTAACTTGCTGACAATATACATCACCAAAAAACGCATCAGTATACACTTCTTCGATCTCATCCAGTTGATCATCAAACTCTTCCTTATACTTAAACAGCTCACGCTGATCATCATGTAACATATTTGCCAACAAATCACCAATTTTTCCAATAGTTATCTGTTGATATTATTGTTCAAGCTAATGCCGCTGGTAGTTGTACTCATAATGTTCATCAAATTTCTGTAGCGCAGTCTGGTATAATGAGTGTATGCAACAAGGTAAGCATCTTCGATATCGTAAAGCATGCATCCCTTTGGACAAACATGTTGACTGATTACTTCACTGGTAGTGGCGTTGATCACGAGTCTTTTATAGGTCTCAGGACTAGGGATAATACCCTCAAAGACTAGTCAATTTAACAGTAAGTGTGGTGATCTGAGCACTTTCAATACAAAATATAATAAATAATCTTTCATCATATAAATGAATAATCACTTATAGCACTATACATTATAAATATTGATTTGTGATGACCTGAATATTGAACTTTTGCAATCTGCACCTTTATTTTGAGATTCATTATTTTGTCATTATATAAATTTACGTGTAACCAAGAGTGTAATTCTTAATTACAACTCTTTCATTCACTTTCATTTCTCCCCATTTTTCTCTAAAACTCCTAAAAAACACACATACAACCTCAAGACTACTTTTATAATTATCACTTTTATTACCAGCATCACTTGGTTAGTTTTAATTATAATTTTCAATCATTAGTTACAAACTTATTAACAAACAAATAAAGTTGGTATTATTCTTTTAGTTAAAACAACAGTCCACAAATTATTTGGTGCCTTCTGCCAGAAAAGGTCGAGTTAGGGGAGGATATACCTCATTTTCTATATAATCCAAGCCTCGAAACGATCTCCTGGTACTATTACTGCCTCTAATATGTTTGAAATTCCTAAATTCAAGCCAAACTTCGATGACCCCGAGTTATGGCTTTATCGTTATAACAAGTCTAGTGATATGAACGAGTGGAAAGAAAATACTCGCCTTAAGTATGTCGATAATTGCTTCGATCAAGACCTTCAATTGTGGTATATGCAAGAAAATTTCAAAACTTGGAACCACTTCCAAGAAGCTTTCCTTAATAAGTTTGCTAAGAAGGTCAACTTCAGTAGAATCATTTCCGAGTTCACTAGATTTAAAATGATGCCCAATGAAGACATTTTAGAGTATATAAAAAGATTCGAACTTAAACGTACAATTTACAATTCCGAGATTAAGAAGAGGAATTCTTCAAAATCCGCTGAATTTACTAAAGGAAACCCTCAACCCTCAGACAAGGATAAGGAACAAAACGAAGAGATCGAAATAATGATTACCGAAGCAGGTCTGCTTAAATACTTCATCAAGGGTATAACCTCAACTGGTATCAAGAGACAAATCAGATCCGAAAAACCCAAATCCTTAGAAGAAGCTTACTCCATTATCAAGGACATCTATGATAGTGACGATTCTGAAGATGAATCTGATGAGTCCGTCCAAGAGGATACTAAGATAACTAGTGATATAGACACTAGACAAAAGGATATTGTTGCTCGACACCACAAGAACAAGCAAGATGAAACAATGAACCAATTGGTCAACGAGTTCAAGAACATATCTTTACTGGTCGCCAAATTAGTCAAATCCTCTAACAACAAAAGTTCTAAAACTACTAAACGAACTTGCTGGAACTGTAACTCTACGGACCATCTCACTAAGGATTGTCAAGCTCCTTGTAAATTATGTAAAGAAAACGGTCATCGTCACTACGAATGCAAGTTGTATAAATCTAACTCATCCCAAAGAACCAAAACCCAATCTGAAACTATGCTCATTGAAGAACTCTACCTTTCAGAGAAGCGAAGTGCTTCAGAAATGGATGTAGACCCCACCAACATTCGTAAGACTAGGTCGGGAACTCAATACGACACTCCAGGAAAGAAGAGAATGACTTCACCCAACAGATCAGTTTCTGTTGCTAACATGACTGTTCACAACTCCGCCAAAATTAAACCTAACAAGACTAGCAATGGTGTAGCAATCCAAAAGTCCCCACACCATCCGTTATTGCCTATGAATGACACCTCTATAGTTGAACAGCAAGTCAAGGACCGCGTTGATGAAATTGTACAATCTCTTCTCAATGATAAATGCCACTCACTCTCGTTACAGGACATTTCTATCCTGTCTCCTGTTGCTCGTACTCGTATAAAATCCAATATTACTAAGTCTCAAGAGAAGAAACCTACTCAAAAACAGAACAGTAGCGTTAATCACTCCATTGCCTTACTCGGAGAAACTGAGGATAACCTACCTAAGGGTAAAAGTGCGCCTCGTACGAATGGTACCCTTAACGGACACCCTGTTGAAGTCATCCTAGATGGTGGATGTACATCTTATATCATCAGTCTTAAAATGGCAAAAGAGATTGGTATCCGAGATGTCGAGCCATGCAATCACTCTGTCATGTTTGGTGATGGAAAGCACTATGATCCCATAGGGATAGCAAAGAATATTCGACTCCAAGTTGGTGATTCTGAAGCCGTTTTAATCAATGCCATGTGCTTTGACGTTGGTGATAAATACGGCTTTATTGTTGGTCGTGAAGGACTGCACGCCCTTAGAATCGGTACAGATTGGTCGTCACATTTCTGGTACATCAAGAATGACATGGGTACCGTACCTCTCAGTGTACATTACACTAAGAATGTGTCTAGAACCAACTTGAATTCAGATGATGAAGAATATCCCGATGATGATGATCTTGCGACTGACAATGATTATAATGAAGATTATATCGATCAAGATGATAACGAAGAAGGATATCTTATCGTCGAAGCATCCGATGATGAAGAGTGTCTAGAAGCTGAAGGCATTGATAAAAATTCCAATGGTGAAGATAATAGACTCGGTGGGCTTATTGACCGTATCGCCCTTTATGAAAACATTGATGACATTACCAAGGTCAAACTTATCCAACTGATTAACGAGTATAAGGACTGTTTTGGAACAGGCTATGAACATCTTTCCCAAACGAACCTTCTTAAATTTCATGTCGATACGGGAAATGCCAAACCCATTTATAAGCGACCGTACGCTTTCCTCTCTTTATCCGAAAAACAAATGCTCAAGAAGGACCTTGAACTTATGGTACAACAAGGAATCCTTATACCAAACACCCACGTCCCAGGTAATTCGTCTCAATCAGGCTGGTCATTCCCTTGCCGCTACGTGCCCAAAAAGACAGGTGATAAGAGACTAGTGATAAATTTTCGAGAACTAAATGCTGTTACGGTTAGAGACACTTGGCCTTTGCCTAACGTAATAGACGTTCTTGAAAGTCTTGCAGGTGCACACTGGTTCGGTATCTTGGATCTCCTAAAGGCTTTCCAGCAAATAGCTGTAGAAGAAGATTCTATACAAAAGCTCACAATCGCTACTCCTTGGGGAAATTACTCCTATCGATGCATGCCTTTTGGTGTTATCAATGGACCGTCTAGTTTCAGCCGTTGCGTATATCTCGCAATCCAACCATTTCTAGACGTATTCGCTACCAACTACTTGGACGATGTGACATTATACTCCAAATCTGAAGAAGATCACCTAGAACATATCAAATTGTTCCTCGAACGTATGCGTGAAGTCAACCTGAAACTTAATGCAGACAAGTGTGACTTTTTCCAGACATCAGTAACCTTACTTGGCTTTGAGGTTTCTCGTCGTGGTATCTCTCCTTCCCTATCCAAAATGGACAAGATAAGGAATTTTCCCCGCCCTCAAAATGAATCTGCTGTAAGAGGATTTGTCAACCTTTGCGGATTCTATAGAAGACACATACCTGGTTTTGCAGATATTGCAGCACCTATGAATAATTTACTCAAAAAAGAAATCCTTTCATCTGGAATAACGATTGCGAATCCTCATTCAATGGGTTGAAGGAAGCACTGATCAATGCCGCTACGTTGGTCATACCAGATCAAAACACTCAGTACCGATTATATTGCGATGCTTCTGAGGTTGGCATTGGTGCATGTTTAGCAACCATTGACGAAAATAACGAGGAAAGGCCTGTTCTTTTCCTATCTCGCAAACTACAACCTGCGGAAACGAGGTACCCCACTGTCGAAAAGGAACTACTAGCTGTCATTTATGCCTTTAAAAAGTTGCGCAAGTACTTGTTGGATCGTAAATTCATACTCTTCTGCGATAACTCGGCTGTCTGTTACCTTTTCAAAAAAAATGAACCATCCCAAAGACTACAAAGATGGATCATGTGCACACAAGAATTCTCGTTTGTTGTCAAGCATCTCCCATCGAACAAGAATAGTGTCGCAGACGCATTATCTAGGTTTCCTCCTCGAGAACATGAAGGTTCAGAAGATGGCGAAGACCATATAGATGCTCTTTTTGATCACTTGATGATTGAAGAACAATATAAGCCTGTAAACTTTGAAAATTGGCTTCAAGACTTAACACATTACTTCCTCTTCCCAGGAAATACTGGTACCACCCCCGCTACCAAAAGAACATCCTTGAAATATCACTTTGAAAATGATAACCTCTACCGAAGAGTGGGTCAGAGAATTGTTTTGGTACCCCCTATTCATGCCCGACAATCTATACTACATGAAGTCCACGAAGGACATGGTCATTTTGGTATTCACGCATCATGGGCAAGATTGTACAAGGACTACTGGTGGCCCAACTGCTATCAAGACTTAAGAAAACACATCAAAACATGCAAAGAATGTCAATTATTCTCCCACCCAATTACAAACGAACCTTTACAAAGGGTCCCTATCCATTACATGTTTGAACAATTTGCCTTAGATTTTGTTGGTCCCTTACCAAAAACTTCGAATGGTAATATGTATATATTAGTTGCTGTTGAAGCCTTTTCCAGATGGCCCGTGGCACTCGCCACTACCAACACTGAGGCCAAAACCGTGTCTAGCTTCCTATACAAACACATATTTTGTATGTTCGGTCCTCCCACTCATATTCTTACGGATAATGGTGCTTCGTTCGATAACGAAATCGTAGATAATTTCATCAATCTGGTCAATACTCATCACAAGTTCACTGCCCCATATCGCCCTTCTACCAATGGTCAAAACGAACAAATGAACGGTAACCTGATGCGTGCTTTGAAGAAATTGTGCATTGACAACCCCAATGACTGGGATGATCACTTGGATGCCGTATTATATGCTTACCGAACTAAGGCTCATTCCGTACTCAAGATATCACCCTTTGAGTTTATGTTTGGACTGTCACCACTCTCCGCTCGCCAAGATCCATTACAGATGATGGGACGCGCTATGGGAATGGAAAGGTTGACTGAGATATCTGATCGAAACAACCAAATTCAAGATTACAATGCCATGAAAGGCGAATATGACTTGCAACCCAGGTTTCGAAGGAAGTTCTTCCCTCCCGGAACTAAGGTCATCCGTGTGAGACACAACAAGTTTTCGAAAATGGACACCAATTTCAAACCCGAAGTTTTTACAGTAACAGCATCGTTCAATAACGGTACATGCCAACTTGCGGACGGTGTAGGTCGATTGCTCAAAAGACGTGTCAATATTAGCTCTTTGAGACAAATCCACCAACGTGGTTAATTTGTCTGAGGGGAGCATGATTTGTGATGACCTGAATATTGAACTTTTGCAATCTGCACCTTTATTTTGAGATTCTGTTGTATACACAGCATTATTCATCCCTTCTTACACTAGTTATGCCTTAAAAGAGCAAGTATTAATATCATGTATAAATATATCTTTCAATCACAGTTTTATCCGCAGCTTCGATGGATGTCTTCTATCTTAGTTTAAACATGTTAAAGATCAGACCATCACATAATCACAAATTGACTTCTGCATCAATACCAATGGTAGACGAGGTCTGTGCCCTGATCATGTACCCAGTTCTTGTGTACCTTAATCCATTCAACCGATTAGCTAGTGTATACACACTCAGTCCCAAATTAAGGATAATCAATTATCATACAAACAGTATAAATACAATACAAAATATAACCTTTAATAAAGAAGACTTCTTTTGGCCGTTTTGGTTCTAATCGACTTATTGATTTGACCATTTTATTAGTGATTATATCACATTTTTTTCGATTAAGAACGTATATTTATCTCTACTTTATACTACCTACCTTACTATGTCTTCTCCTACTTCTGATTCTCCCATGGATACTTGTCAAGACTATCCTGTCTCTTCTTCTGGTTTTTCTCGTACGGCTCTCCCAGCCACTTACTTGGAAACTCTCCAGCAAGCAGTCAAGGATCTGACAATTGAACTTGTCATCTTGGGAACTAAGGTTGCTAATCCTCCTGAGGGTTGTGATATCACTGTTTTGCGTTCAGATCTTGTTGCTCGTACTAGAGATCTTGACCTGATCAAGCAAGCTTTGGTAAAGGTTCAAGGCCCTGCTATTACTACTCTGTCTTCTTGGCCCTCTGCTCCTTCTTCTGTTCCTGTCTGCCCACCTAATTTACCCATTTTTCAATGGACAGGTGTGGTTCATGACCACCAAGCACCCATCTTTTTTGATGTTACGGCTTGCCTCGTCCGCTTTGAGGATGTTCTCTTTGCCAATGGTCTCAATCTTGATGATCATTATCGTCGCCTAATCCCACAACAATTACCAAACATTGTTAGGAAATGGTACGAACAGTTTGTTGCGGTTCATCCTATACAAAGTCCAACTTGGTGCGACTTTAAGGAGGCCATCACTCTTCGCTTTGGTCGTTCGACTGAACAAGATCGTGCTGACTGCGCACTCAAACTCGTCAACATCTCTATGAATCACGGTGAATCTTTTGCTGCCTTTGTCGATAGATTCCGCGATTTACGTCGTCGCTCTGCTGACCAGAGTTTGCCTGTTGCTGTACTCATTGACAAATTCTTCAAGGCCATGCCTGGAGCTCTCCGTGAGCGTGTTTCCCTTGCCCGTGCTACTTTGCCTGCTGAAAAACGCTTGAGCATTGATCACTTGATGCAAATGGCTCTCGACATTTCCAAGGACTTGCATGAGATGTCGTTCATGGGTAACAAACCTTCCTCTGGCTCTTCTGGCTCCTCTCCTTCTGTTTCTGTCATGTCTTCTAAACACGCTGTTAAGTCAGGAAAGATCACAAAGAAAGTCTTACCTACCAGCAGTGGCAAGTACTGTGAATTACATAAGGTCACCACTCATCAGACGAGTGAATGTAAAGCTTTGTCGTCAATCTCAGCCTCCTTGGCAAGCAAGCCTAGTTCTTCTTCTGTCGCTGTTACTGGTTTTTCCAAACCAAAAGGTGAAAAAGAAAAGACTTGTTTCCGCTGCGGGGCCCCCAACTGGTCCAAGAACCATGTGTGCAACTCCGCTGTACCATCTTCGAACCCTAGGTTTGCAATGATGAAAGCTATCGAGTCTGCTTCTTCGAATTTATCTTCAACAGATGATTCATTACTTGACACTTCCTCTTTGGCTGTGTACCCTCGCTCCGAGTTTGTCGCTGGCTCTTCAGCTGGTTTACCTGTTTCTTCTTCCTCCGCCGCTACATCAGCGATCGCTGATCCTATGGCCACCACTTCTCTTACTTCCGCTCCTGTTGCTCCTCTTTCTTCTGCTGAAGAAATGGAACTTGACGAGTGCTTGGCTACTGCTGCCCAAGATTGTAAGTACACAAAATTTTCTAAATTAACAGAGCAACGGTCTAACGCTCTACTTATTCCTATTGTTATAGAACATCATGCAGTTTATGCCATGGTTGACAGTGGAGCAACACTTAGTGTCATTCATCCCGAACTCTTTGCCTTGCTTGGTAAGCCTTCTTTGCCTTCTAGTGGTATTGTTCTTCTTGGTGATGCTAGTTGTAGTACTCCCAGTCTAGGAAAAAGAAATTTAGAACTTTTGTACAATAAACGATTTGTAACTCATACTTTCGAGATTTTTAATACATCTTCTATCAAAGATAATGTACCAGTCGTTATTGGAATAGACTTAATGCCTCGCTTAGGTTTATCTGTGCATGGTTTAGTTACTTCATGGTTTGACACCACTGGTCCTACATTACCTTCGCCTATCGATCCTGAACAGGTGAAAAATGAAGCCAATGATAGTCCAGTTGGTACACCATCTGAACGTGAAGCCTTGATGAAGACTTTACAACCTTTACTTGATGCCAATGCTAGCATTGATTTGAAGGCTACTTACTGCAGTTTGCCCAACGCAATTGTAGACCTTGAAACAAAACCTGGAATGAGTGCATTTAAGAAACCTTATCCAGTACCTTATGCGTACAAAGATGCAGTACTTGAACAATTCCGAGTTTGGCTTGAAGAAGGAGTTATCGAACGCTCTTTTGGTCACACGGATTTTAACGTACCAATTTTATGTGTTGCAAAGAAGGACGCTGATGGTGTCTATTCTATGAAAAAGCCTCGAGTTGTGGCTGATGTTCGTCAATTGAACAATATCCTTATCAGTAACGATGTGTTTCAACTTCCGTTGATTTCGGATATTCATCAAAGTATGGGTAATGCTACTATTATCTCTACGATTGACATTCGCTCTTGCTTCACTTCTTTTCTGGTTAATCCTAACCATCAACATAAGCTTAGCTTTATGTGCCCTTTTACCAATTTACGTTATCATTTTCGTAAGATGTGCTTTGGCATTACATTTATGAGTGGTTTTGTGCAGAATGTGTTGCAGAACTATTTCCATGACTTGCCTTTCGTTACCATTTATGTTGATGATATTACAGTGGCTACTTCAGACACTCTTGAACATCATTTCACTTGCCTTGGATTAGTTATCCAACGCCTCACTGATGCTAATCTCCAGATAAACGCATCAAAACTCGTTATTGCCATGAACTCAGTCAATCTTCTTGGTTGGACTATTCGTAATGGTCAGCTTTTACCAGATTATCGCAAGATATCTGCTACGTCCACTTGGGATGAAATCCCTGCTACTGGAAAAAAGCTTGCTTCGTACTTGGGCTTCTTGAACTATTTTCGTGGTTCTATTGCCAATTATGCTACTCTGGCTGCTCCTCTTGATGATCTTCGTTGTGAAAAGTCATTAACTGGTTTGTGGACAGAGAAACACACTGTTGCTTTTCGCCAGTTGAAAGCTGCTCTTGCTTCTGCAGTCGTCCTCTCGCCTTATGATCCTAGATATCGTCTTCACGTTGCCACTGACGCTTCTAAGACTGGTATTGGTGGTGTAGTCTACTACATCAAAGAAAACAAGGTGTATTATGTTGGCATGGCTAGCCGTAAGCTCAATCCCACTGAACAACGATATAGTACTACTAGACGTGAATTGCTTGGATTTTTATTTGTATGTACACGTTTTCATAAACTGTTGTATGGTATTAAATTCACTGCTCATGTTGATCATCGTTCGCTTGTATTTTTGAAAAGTCAAGCTGTACCTAATGCCATGATGTTGAACTACTACGATGCAATTTTTAGTTATGATTTTGATATCGTTCACATACCTGGCATCACCAACTGTTTGCCTGACGCACTCAGTCGCTTGTATGAGTCTGACTTGCTCACCGAGGAGGAGGGTGATCACTCGTACACGAGCTCAAATAACCAACATAACCATGTTGACAAAACAAAGCATCGTACTTTCTCTAGAACAGAAAAGAAAAAGAACAAACAGAAAAAGTTGCACTCTGTTTCTAAACGCGCATCCTTACATGCTCCCAAAACAAGTCACCAAGAAATGAATTATAATTATTCTGCATTTCCAACTAAACCTGCTAAGCCAGTAAAAGATGATGATTCCGTACCACAATCAGCTCTGATTTCGCGTGCATTACAATACACTGAATACATGACGCCTCCCAAAACAGACAGAATGTCTATCATCGAAAGCACACATCTACTGTTGGGACACACAGGAATTAATTCCATCGAAAAGGCTATCCATGCAGATAAATTGCACTGGACCAACTTGCGTTCGGACATTGAAAGAGTTGTAAAGAATTGCAATGCATGTCAAGCACACACTATCCATCGTGTAGGTTACCATCCACCTAGGCATGTATTACCAGATGGTGTATTCGATCATATTTGCATTGATCTGGGTACATTCAATGTAACATCTTCTCGAGGAAATAACTTCCTTCTCTTAGTCGTAGACATGTTTTCACGCTTCGTAATTCTACGAGCAATCCCTGACAAAAGTGCGTATACTATTGCACGCGAATTGTTGTCCATTTGGACGCTCTTTGGCTTTAGTCGCATTGTAAACCATGACCGGGGTAGTGAATTCACGAACGAGATTATTTCGCAACTTGTAGAGATGACTGGCATTGACCGACGCTTGTCATTACCTTACAATCCTGTAGGAAACTCCGTCTGTGAAAGATATATGGGTGTTTGCAAACAGTCCATTATCAAAGCCATTGCTGCAGATGCAAATGACCCTGAGTCATGGGATCTCTATGTGGATTTCGTGCAATATGGAGTCAATGTACAGTACAAACATTTGCATAAATCTCGCGCATTTACTGCCATGTTCTATAGACAACCCAATCATTTGGCTTACTATACCAAAGATAAACCATCTTTGACATTTGAAAGAAATGATCACAAGCGC